TTTGTTGCTTCATGATAACTTTAAACGTATTTTATTTTATACTGCTCTTAATATACAGCATTGTATAACGAACATTTGTATAATAAATTATAAAAAATTTTTGAAGTTTTTGGCCTGGTTTTTTACAGGGGTTCCGCTATAGTTACAATTCACTCAATTTTTAGAACATTTCTTATAAAACATTCAATTTTATTAAGCTAGACTAATCCTAATCTAAATCAGTCAATCGTGTAAAAAAGTTTTTTAATTCTTGAGGTTTGTGACAACTTTAAATATGTAAATAGCATAAACATAAGTAAAGTCCAGTCTTACGAAGTGTAAAAACTTTTTGGACAGTTCCATTTGGTTTATCTGATCTTCAAGTCAAGGAAAAAGTCAAACTTTTTTAAGGATATCTCACCTAAGTTTTTTGGTACCTTTTCTAACAAAGTTTATTTTAAACTTTTACTAACTTTTAAATTTTGTTAACTACCATAGCAAGATTATAAGCCAGCTTTTTCTCGTTTACTGAGAGTTACAGAGAAACCTCTTTAGTATGGTTTTTAATATTGTGACACCCTCTTTACAATGACAGTTTTTTGACCTTTTGTAATAGAACCTTTATCAAATAGTACCTGGGTATTGTGTCACTCTGGTTAAAAGAACAGGGTTGAACCAACTTCTTGAGTGTCATACTGAAGTGGTTTGACTGTATGTTATAGTAAATTTGTTTCTTGCCTTTTCTTTAACGAATAGTAAGTCTTAACTTTAACAACTTCTAAGCCTTTTTTTAAATTGTAAGCCAAATTCCCATGATTTTTTTGCAGTCATTTTTTCTTGTTCAAGCTGAACCAAATCTTGTACTGCAAACTGTTTATTCAACGATTTACGTTTAATCGTATAAGTGCGCGAGATGTTTGCAGTAACTTCTTCGGATGTTCGTGACTTGTGAATTATTATTGAACTTTCAACCGAAACTTCTTTTTAATTTTTTTTGAATTTTTTGTCTTTTTACTAGTTAGTTTGGCATTCTTATCTTGTTTTATTGAGTTTGGCTATCATTTTCATAAAATTTGTGCTTTTAATACTTAAAAATGTACAGAAATTTTAAAGTTTTAGTACACACTGTCGTTAAGAAGTCCGTATTTTACAAAAAGTTGTATTAAAGACCTTTAACATTAATCAAACTCCTTTAAAATATATTTTAAAATCTCAAAATTTAAACGACCAAAAAGCGTCATGATGACACGAATCCCAGCACGCTACCCTTTGTATGACAATGTCTGGTGAATTAATCATCGTGGGCTCTGTGCCGAGATTAATTTGATTTATCGAAATTCTATCATCAACGTCGTCGGCCGTCTCTTCCCGTCTGATATTCCCTCTCGACCTTGTTGTTGTGGATTTTTGCTGTTATCGCGCAGGGTTGGAGGGGTGATCGGATCTCGTGGGATTACTTGCTTTCTTTGTTATTATTTTTTACATTTGTTGGGATTAGGAGGACGCGTGATTTGGCACGGCCGAGACTTTCGGATTAGGTCAAGAAGGCATGGGTAGGGTAATTAGTTACCTCTCTTTGTATACTCAAAGATGTTGCTGTTTTAAGATGATAATTGCGGTTTTAGTATTAGGTTGTGGAACAATGATCAATAGTATTATAATTTGATGTTAAAGCCACACATTGTTTTATCAAAAAAAGCTAGTGACATTATTCTTGTACGTTAGGTTTTGGTTAAAAAGTGGCAGTACAAAAAAAGTTTTTTTTTTAATTTTCAAAAACTGCTTTTGTTGGCTTATCTACAGTCAGAAGGACTAACACCTAAAACAGAAAAAACACTTTAAAAACTAACTGATTGACTGTTGAAGTCGTTCTCCAATGGCTGTAAACTGAGTTCCCAGATCTAGTGGAGGTAGCGCTGCTTTTCTTGTACTAGGGCTCCAGATTTGCACAAGGTAGTGCTGCCTTTTTCGAACTGAGTTTTTATATCTACTGAAGATAGTGCTGCCTTTTTTGATTTGAGCCTTCAGATCTACTGAACGTAGTGCTGCTTTTCTTAAACTGGTCACCTAGGTTTACTAGAGGTAATAATGTCTTCCTTGAATTGAGCCCCCCGGTCTGTTAACTCATCTACATTTTGAAGGGCCAATAGCTTTAAAGTATTGTGTACTACCTATTTTAAGAATATATCTAAAGTTTTAGCTTTTTTTAATATGTAAAATTTACAAAACTCAATTTTAGAAATATTTTTTGAAATTTTACTTTTTTTGTTTTTAGTTTTATTATTTTTAATTTATACTTTAAATTTTAATTTTTTTACTAAAAAATGCAACAAAATTAATTTATTTTGCAAAAGACATTGCAGTTAATACCGTATTAATTACCACGTTTTAATCAAGTAACGTGATTTGGCTTTAACTTATGTCGTTCTTAATCTTAATGTTTATATTAGGTTTTTCGAATAATTCTGGATTTTTTCTAAAAGCAAATTTTTGGTATTAAAGGCACAGAATTAATTTTTTGAACTGCCTGGTATTTTATTTCAAAGTTTTGGTTTTTTTCAAATTGTATTTACTACGTAATTTCACAACGTTTCTTACAGTTTCGACCGTTTTTATACAGGGATTTGAACCGCGTTTTAAGAGGTGGAACAAAACTTTCCAACCTTTATACATTGGTCATGGGCTTGTGTTGCTTTTTTTATTTTACTTATAACAATTTTTTAAAAATTTTGCCTACAAATTTTTAAATCATTATTTCCGATCTTGCCTTTTAACTACTCGCTTTTAAACTTGAAATCTTTAGTTATCTTCACCTTCTTCAATCATTACTCATTTCCTCTCTCCTTCTTTGTCCTCTCTCTACGCCGAATATCTTCTCTTCCTTACTTTCCCTTCTCCACACACTATTTCGCTTCATTCGCTCCAACGTTTCGGGCGATTCGATCACTCGCCAAAACTGTTCGCCCATTTGAAACAATCCCCCCTTTCCTGAGGGCAGAAAGTTTGCTTTAGCGAAAAGGGGGGGGGGATGGGGAGGGGGGCGCGACCGACTGACCGCGCGCAAAATCTCCAAACTTTGTCTGCTTCTCGGGCCGCTCTCTCGCCAGTGTCGTTGTTACGTGTATTATCGACATTTTCTCCGAAATTCCGGCTGATTCCTTGTGGATGTTTCTTTTTTTATGATTTTTGAGGATTCTGTTGCCTTCAGGGCATGGGTGATTAAAGGGCAGGTGGGAGGAGGTGAGGGTGGGGTGTTTTGTGGGATGACAGATGGGGATTTTTGTGGGGGGGATTAAGGAAGGTTTTTCTAATGTAGGTTACTGTTTTGAAATTGCGAAAGAAACTTGACCTTTTACAAATAAAAAAAACTATTTTTTGCGATTTTATGACCGGTAAATATAGGTATTGAAATTGAGGGAATTTTTGTGGAATTTTGTGTTTTTCAAAGTTGTTTTGCCATTTTTAACATGTCTTTGAAAAAAATTTTTGAAAATTTGTAAATTATTGGAAAGAAAGTTTTTGCATTTACATAATTTTAAATATTTATTTTTTTTTATTTTACGTTTCATTTTAATTTTTTTTGTATAATTTGATTAATTTTTAAAACTTTTTTCAAAGTTTCAACTTAATAATTAGCCTGATTTTTGATCAGCTAGCGACTTCCCATCTGAAAATGACCAGCCGGCTGTTATTTTTAGCTTTTTATTTACTTTTTACTCAAAATTTCGATTGTCCTTTTCTCTGGCCACCCTCCTCTCTTTGCATACTCTTTGTTACAATAGTTGAAGCGCCAAAAAATCGAATTTTGTGACCGGAGGCAGTCGCGCGTTCGAGAAAAAACACGATCCATTCACACCTTCACCTGTCTCGCACCCTCAGGGCATGAGGCGCATTGACCTTTATAACTTTCCATTTCGAAATTTTTTTCGAAATTTTTGAGAGCTGTGAGGGGATATTAGTCTGGGGTTTTGTGGTGGAATCTGTGAGGACAAGGGGGGGGGGAAATTTTGAGACTAGACTCCAAAAAAAATTGACAGTTTGTGTTAAACTATGACTATTTTTAAAGTTTTGGGTGCAAATAGGTTTGATGCGTGATTCTACAGTACTCTCTCTATAAAGTGGTAGAGAAGAGTACTGTATAAGCAACCTGAAAGGACCGACTTTTTGTGTTGACTATAAGGGGTGTTGACTTTACAAAGAGGCTTTTTAGTGCAAATTGATTTGACAGGACCAAATTTCGTGATTACGATAGAGAGTTGCTTATACAGAGAGTTTACTATATAGATTGACCACTTTATAACTATTTTTCAGTGGTACCTCACTAGTATGACTCTCGGTAGTGAGAATTTTTTTTTATAATGACAACATTTGGACATTCTTTTGTATAATAATAGAGCTTCTAGCAAAAATTACGGATAGTGTAACACTCTGCTTACAATGGCACTTTGGTTTAGTCTTTTGAATGTCATACTAAAAAGCTTTGACTGTATCTTTATTCTAACTCGTTTTATTAGTTTTTGGTAATTTAGGTAACAAATAATTTATTTTTACTAATTTTAAAGTTATTTTTGAATTATTTTGCTTATTTTTTTGTTATAATTTACCTTTTTGATTAAAAAAATTATCTTTAGTTATATTCTGTTTGGAAAGACGTATTTTAGAAAGACTTTTCCTAACTTTGAATATTTTTAAAAACCGATCTTTTGGTTTGAATCAGTAAACTACGTTCAGATATGTTTACAACGTGCGCGGTTTTGCAGACAATGAATTTGGTCGTGATTTCGTTGTCGTGCGTCAACGTTCCGCGAATTTTATTTTGAAATTTTGAAAAAAAATGTTTTATATTCCTGGAAATTATGTGTGGTATTCCTTAACTGATTGGATCATACGTATTTAACATTTTTAGTTTTTAATAACCCCGAGCTTATAAAATTTCAATTTTAATTTTAAATCATTATTTCCAGGCCCACTCTCAAACCTTGGCCCAGCTAGTCGGCTGATCAGTGTCCACTAGATGCCAAATGTCGTTGGAGCAGCCAACTTCGGCCACTCCGCCCGCTCCACCTTTAACCCGCGACAGTCCAGGCATCGAGAGTGATTACTGTAGTGATTACGGTAGCTTATCATCGACCACAGACCCACTGAGTTTAGAATCTCATCGTCAGAACTCAATGTCAATGAAAAGCGACGATTTTGGGGTTTTGGAACAACTAATGAACGAAGTTGGCAGCGAGTTTGGATTTGTGTTGGATAGGAATGGCACAATCGAAATGGTCGTTGGCAAGACTCAACCGTTCTTTGGAAATGTGAGTTTTGATATAATAGTATGATATTGGGTTTTCCGCATAATTCTGTGTCTTTCTTGCTTTACGAGGGGACACATAATTATTTGAATAACTTACTATATGCTTGATAAAATTTTGTTATATTGTGATGAATAAGTGCTTTTCCTGGACGTATTTTACTTTAATTTTTATTTTTTAGATCCAAATTGAAAAGCAGAAGCTTTTGAAGTTTGTGGCGCCAACTGAATATCAAAAAGTGTGTGGACTACTGCCTTCGGCTGCTAGTTGTAAGCTTTTTTGCATTTAAGGTTGTTTAAGTAATTCTGTGTTTTCTAATTTTTTGTTTAAAATTTTTAAAATTATTAAAAATTTTAAATTATTTTGAAGTATAATAAAAAATAAAATAACTTTTTAAAAAATTTGTAAAAAGCAAAAGTAACTTTAGTTATTGATCGTATTTTACAGCCTCTTCAAGAAAGTCGTCCAGCCTGATCTTTTGTTCACAAGAAAAGACCAAGCCCAATTTGGAAATGGAAATTATTTCACAGCTAATAAGCGCTAACGCTGACAATCCTGAAAGTAAGTTTGTACATACTTTGTTATTTTTAATCATTTTGTTTTACTTTGGTTTACTCTTTATATTTAAAAGGCCTTGGTCGTTCGGCAAAATATTTTAAATAATTTTTTTAAATTTTTTAGGCTAGGTTTTCATTTTCACTCTAAATTGAAATAAACACTTTCAGAAGGCCCATGTGTTGTGTGCGTTGCAAAGCGATTAGTTGCGAATGTTGCCGAAGTACCTCAAGCATGTCAAGAGTCTCGACGTCAAATTTCGTTCAGTCTTTCGGTCGATAAAACTTCCAAAATTGTTAAACAAGCTGATCTCAGGTAAGGTTTTCCAAAAAAAAACTTTAATTATCGTATTTTACTATCACATATACAAAACTTGATAAAGTTTATGCTTATTCTAAGCATTGGCGAATTCGGCGGAGGCTGAAAAAAGTGATTTCCAACTGAAAATAGGGGTATTTCGGCATATCAATACAGTTTTTTAAACATTAAGAACAACCTTAAAATGCAGTTAAAAAATCTGAAATTTAAATCAAAAATTTGTATTAATCTTTACTACCACTGTACTAAAACTCAAAGCTTTGGCGGTGGTCTTTCAAAAGTTATGAGCTATTTCTAAAAACGCAGTTTGGTGAACTAAATGTACGTGAATTTATATATAATAAGTTTAAAAATTGAAAACGTTAAACCAAAGCAAATTTAATATATGTGGTGGTAAAGTACATCAACTAAAGCTTTTGTACCGAAAACTTGTTATACCAATTCCAGGATGGAGCCCAAGTTATTAAGCGTATCTCAACTTCTAGACAAATCAATATATGAGTTGTGTTACAAAACCTCGAAAGATGTGATAGATACCATAGTAGACGCAGTAACGCCTTGTCAAGCTAAGCTAGTTTTTGTTGTGAATGAGTACCAAATGGTTATGGATATCGCCAACTTCTTCGACCCATCTTCACCTCAAGTCAGACTTGAGTGCAATGGGTAAGAAAATAAAGTTTTTGCCGTTTTGATGAACATTTAGCTTTTTTTGAAAAATAAAATTTTGGAAACAAAGTTTTTGCATTTATTTTTTCATTTCTTTATTTATTTTTGCCAGTTTGAAATTTTTTTATTTTTTTAAACTTCAAATTTGTAAACAAAGTTTTTGCGATTTCCAGCTACTACGAAGTTCATCAAGACAATCTGATACTAAAAGATGACAAAATGGATACTGTGTTTGTGTCACAGCCTCAACTAGAAATTGTGACACAACACATTACCACGCCCGCCCAATTTATTCAAAATTTTGATGGAATGGGCATGGTAAATGGCCAAATTGAGGCTGAACAGCCGGCTAAAAAGCAGCGGTAAGCTTTTTTAAAATTTAAAATTTTTTTTTTAAATTCAAATTTTAATTTTTTTTATATAATATTTCCTTTTTTTACAATTTTTTTTTATTTTAAAATAAAAAAAATTTAGAAAGCCCCGAAAGCCTCGTTCGCCGAGTTCAACGCCGAAGCGATCCCGGTCGAAGAAGGCCAAAGATCCTGAGCCAGAGCCTCAAGTCTTCAATCAGTTCGAAGCCCAAGACCCAATGAAGGCTATGATCCAAGGGCAAGCTTATCAAGGACTGGATGGGAACTTCTACTACCAACAGATGGGACCACCTCCACCTTATACTCAAACTGAAGACTTTGGGGACACGAAGCCAAAAGGCAGGGCAAAGAAGGCCAAAAAGACTAGGTGGGTCTATAGTACTGTAACACAGGAATAAAAAAGGAAAATTTTTGAACCTTTGCGCTGTAGGTGGGCTACAGTAACATAAAATTAACCAAAGTATAAATAAAAAACATATTTTCGAAAGTAAAACAGCATATTCAAAATACAGTATACTAATGCTCACCTTACAACGAAAGCTTTATTGACCCCTTAAAAATACGTGACATATCACAAGTTATGATAGAAAAGTACGAAGGTATTACCATGGTTACAGTAGCAAGTACTGGACGGTGATTTAGAGCACGGTGCACGACTTTTTCTCTTGGAAAGGGTTGTGGTCACCTGGGCCGCTGACCAAGCAATCACCTCCTTTCTCTTTCTCACAGTAGTCAATTAGCCTAAAGTTGGCTGTGATTGATTGACAAAGAGTATAATTATCGTGCAGTAAAGAATTTTACATAAATTAAAAAAATATAGGTCTTCTGAAAGCTTGTTCTTTATTTTGGTCCAAAATATTAGGTTGTGTAAAAAGTAATGAGCCGTTGGACTTTATAGCGCTATAAGATATATAGCTCATTACTTTTTATACAAGCAGTAGATCATTACTTTCTATACAACTTGTAGCTCATTATTTTTTATACAACTTAATAGCCATGAAACATGTAGCTCATTACTTTTTACACAATATATTATTAAAAAAGTTAAGACAAAAAGTTTAAAAACTGAGGAAAACATACTCTTTGGCGACATCAGAAACCTTCATACGATTGATGGCAGCTTCAGCACGAAGTTGTTCGGTTGTGGCCTTGATTTGCTCCATTTTTGAAAAAGTTTTGATAAGTGAAGCTGCTAAAATTAAAGTTTTAAATTTTTTAACCTGAAGTGAGCTTTCACGTAGTTAAGCAAACACGTAATGAGTTCGACACTGTTTTCAAAAAATTTAATTTTTTTTTAAATTTTGAAATATTTAGCAAAAGTATGGTAAAATACGTTATATTCAACTCCAACACAACATTTATGTCAACCGAAAGCCATTCCTTTCAATTTTTAAACTCTAAACTACTGTTTCAACCAAAACCATCCCTTTAAACCAAAAATAAAACCATTTCCTGAAAGGTGTTACCCAAAATGGCGTACCTTTCGGCCGGCTAAACGATGTAAAATAACTCGGATTACATAACCTATGGGACTTTGTAAAGCTGTCGCTATGACAACAAACAACAATTGCTTTTAATTGTCTCGGCCTAAATTGAGTGTCCACACGCCATAAGACATTGTAGTTGGTACGGTAACCGTATTGTTTTGTATGGGGTTTGGAACGTACAATAACAATGTTACAGTAGGAAATGATGAGGCGTAATTACAGTAGGAACAATATAACAAGATGGAGTTACAGTAGGAAAGGTACGGAAAAGAAATTTACAGTATTAACTTGAAATAACATTTGTATGGCAAAGAAAATACAGTATGACATAAAACAGTATGGCTTAAAAGGATTAAAAGACTTTATGACATACTACTGTAAGCCTCAAAAACGTTAAAATACAGTACAATTTATAGAAAGTAAGCGGGAATTATTTGCTATAGAATAATACGAAATGAAATAAAGTTACATAAGATAACATCATAGTAAAGTGATGAGAAGCTACATACTTATATATTGTAGTAAGCATCGTGATAAAAAATGGTACAAAATAAACATAGTAATATATTACAGTATTCTCCTACAATGTTTTTAAACATAACAAAGTTGACATCATCTACATTCATGATTAAGCTATAAAAAGCAGAAAAATGTACAGTACAACTTTTTTACATTTTAATAATGTTTTGCTAAAAGATAATAAAAATATACTGTAGCTTACTGTAGTCTACTTAAAGGTGACCAAAGACATACTGTAATTTGTTGTACCTACTAAACGTTATTCAAGAATTTCAAAAATACAGGCACAAAGTAAATAATAAAAAATTGACAAGAGTAATATTGTTTTTGTTTAGCACGGCTCAACCACCACAGAATGTGCCAGTAAATCAGTTTATTTACCAAAATCAACCAATGGAAATGCAATTTATGAACGGATATCCAATCCAACAAGACTTCACTGCCACTGCTAATGGGGATCAAAGGTTGGTTATTATTGCTCAAGGGTTAGAGTAGGCTTATAATATTGTGAGGGTTTAGAAAAAATGGTTTTATTGACGTATATTACCTAAAACCACCGTTCTTTAACCGTCTTTGGACCGTTTTCTAAAAGTTTTAAAGGTTTTTTAAAAGCTACAGAAAATAAGGTTTTAAATACAGTATCTTTTTAGTATGACCCTCGATAGTATGATGCCCTTTTTATAATGACATATTTGAATTAATTGTCACATTGACATTGTGTTTCATGCTTATAACTTTGTCATTTTTTAGCTATTAATCACTTTCCTTTGATATACTAGTAAAAACTTTTAAATCAAGCCACATTTTTAAATTTGTAAGCGTAGCTTGTCTAGAAAATTGAAAAAAGTGCTTGAAACACAATGCCAACTTTGCCAATTATGCCAAAATAAATTAAAATTTATGAATTTGAAGCAGGGAAAAAGCGAAAATAAAAGATTTTGCCAGTTAGCTTATTTTGTCATTTTATGTTGTCTTCTAGCACACTTATTCTAATCAGCCGCCATACGTGGACCGTATTTTACAAAAACCTGCCCCAAAAACCTCCAAAAAATGTAATTATTCAAGGCCCGACAATTAAAACAAAATTATAAATCAAGCGAATGTGACAGAGTAAAAGCCACAAGAATTTATGTATGTAAAGAACGGGGAGTAGGGGAGCGCACGGCACGTTCGGGCCCGCGACCTTATGGGCTCTATTTCCAATTTTCGACTTTTCAATTTCGCTTTGTTTTGGTTTCGTGCTATCGTTGGTGCAGTTACTTTGTTTACAAAAAACTGTAGGGAAATGCAGGGGATTGAAAAAACTTTCTTTACAGTATTGTTTATGTTTTGGCATTTTAAATTTTTTGAAATTTGCATTTTTAAATTTAAAATACAAAGTTTTAAAAAAAGTTGTTAAACCTCTTTTTTTATCACTTTTTCATCTTTAAATGCCATTTATTAACCCATCTTTCACAAATTTTTTAAAATTTTTCTAAATTTTTAATCACAAAAACCGCAACAATTTTGTTTACAACCCGAAAGTTGGTTGTTTCGACTCGGAACGGTTTGTTTTTTTAATATTTATGAAAAGAGAAGGCACATTCTCAATGTTACTTTGATCACAAACCTTTTTTTGCAAGTTTTATCTATTCCTCTTCAAGACCGGGCTTGTTTTATGACAATTTTATAAACTCGTGTTTGTTTTGAGAACAAATACGTTTTAATTTGATAAGAGAAGGCAGTGGAATTTATCGATTTTTGCGGGATTTTGGGTGATTTTGGGGATTTGAAGTTCAAAATTTGAATAAAAAATTGCAAAAATTTTATTGATAAGAGTAGGCAGTGGAGCCAATTTGAATAAAAAAGAATTAAAAATGTTTTTATTTTAAAAAATTTTGAAAAAATTTAAGTTGTACAAAAAGTTTTGAGCCATATGACAATTTTTAACAAACTCTCAAATTTTTTTTAAAAATAATAAGCTACGGTTTATACTTTAACTACGTAATATTTTACACTTTATTATTTTCCTTCTATCAACTTTCTTTTTTCAAAAAAAATCGTTTTGGCTCAAAACTTTTTGGACAAATATTTTTTCAATATGATGTGTACAACAGCTTTAACCTTATGAAACATTGCTCTTTATTCTTTGAATCCGGATTTTATTCGCACAGAATTGGAAGGCTAAAGACGATTCTTCCCTTTTCGAAGCGATCGATTGAGGTATAGTGAAGAAGAAGATGGGGGAGGCCTTTACTGCCGCAGTTATAATAATATTATTCTTGAATAACTTTTAGTTTGAATCCGGAAAGCTTTGCTTTTAGACTTTTTTTGGGTTTTTGTAAAATACGGGGCAGTAAATGTTACATACCTAAAATACTCTAAGACCCTGCCTTAATATATTTCGAAATCTTTCAAAGTCAACCTCTTACAATAAAACAATGTTTCGAATAGTTTTTGACCGAAAACTGGATCTTGGAATTTAATTTGGGCCAATTTTTGGGCAATAATTTTGGCCAAGGACATTTCTAATAACGTATCATCTGTTTGCACTTTAACTGACTAAACCTACATGAAGGAGACGGGCCGAATCTTTAGTATTGTCATAGGTCTTTTTGGTTTTGTAGGATATTCGCTTTGGCCCACTTTATGAATTTTGGAGATTTGAAGTGTACTAGTTGTACCAAAAGGGTTAAACTAAGGTTTTCAACATTTTTTAGTCATTTTAAACTTTTTTTAAAACTTTTGTGCTGCCATCCTTTTATTAAGCCCTTTAACTCTAACATTGTGAACTTGACTTAAAGTTTCATGAATCACAATATATAATTATTATTGGCATAGTATAGTAAAACGTAATAACATAGTATACTAAAATGTACTGGATAACGTGCTAACCACATAATTTTGATGACGTACTGTGGCGAACGTCACTGCTGTAAATGTAGTTTTAATCTGAGCATCTTCTAATCTTAACATTGAAAATGGGTGCTATTCAGCATCAACAAGAAAAGTTATTTTTGGTTTGTTTTAACTTTGTTCTTGTACTCTTTGGCGGACGTGTATGAGTGGGTTGAGGAGTGCAATTTTGAAGGTTCTAGGTAGGGGTGATAAGACTTTTTTATTTTTTAGAAGTGTGTTTTTATTATTTATTAGTTGGGGGGGGGGGAGTGTTTAGGGGTGTTTTTAAGGGAAGGGGCAGGTAAAGAATTTGTTTTTGAAAGATATTTTCAAGGTGTTTTTTGTTGCCTAAAAAGTATTTCTCTTTTCCACCTTTATATAAAGGATATGGTTATTTTATTGTTGTTCAAGAAGTAATAAGCCACTGAGTTGTACATTAGAAAAAATTTGTTTTGCTCAACTAAAGCAACTATTTATAAATATTTAAAAAGAATTCACGTTTTTTGAAATCTTTCTGTTTCTATAAGACGTGGCTCATTATTTTTTGAACAATCTAGTATGAACCGCTTCGACTTGTTTTACAGTTTACCTTTTGTCCAATTAAGGTTTTACTGGACAAACTAAAGTCATGTTTTCAAATTGACAGCGCTAACCTAAGCCATTTTCGCACAAACTACAGTAGTACAAGCTTACCACCAATAGTACAAGCCCACCTTAAATCAAACCAATTTCCTCCCAATTTACAATACCCCTGCCATTTCCAATAACAAGCCCAGAGCTTTATTGCAGAGTTAATTAGAATTGTGGTGTTATGATGTTAATCATAAGACGATCCGTTACCAGGTTACCCAGCAGATTCCCCCATTTATACATTTTACTTTTTGTGTTCTTATGGATGTTCCGCGTGCCATTTGTCCCTCATCCTAGCACTACTACGCTCGGGAGGAGGGGGGGGCGCGTTTTTTTGTTAATTTCGCTGAAAGAGTGACATTCCTTGCTAAATTCCCATGGTTTAAAGGTTTTATGCATATCTTTTTAAGGAACGAGGGGGGGGAGGGGGGGGAGGGGGAGCGGAGGTTCATTTTTGAAGAAAGCAAAAATTTGGGGGGTAAGCAATATAAAAAAAATTGATACAAGTAAAGTTTTTTTTTAAATTTTGTGATGAGGAGGTGACATATTAATATAAAGGTTGGGTAGCTGCTCTTTCCTATATTTGTGCCCTGCCCTGCCCTCTACGTACTTAAAAATATGAACTTCATATGACAGTTTTAAACAATAAAACTTTAAAAACCAACCTATTGGTAACATTCAAACATTCAGTTTAGTATCAATTCACCTTTGCTTACTCCTAAAAATTTAAAATTCAATTTTTATTTTCTTCCTTCTAATGCCATTTTTTGTTACTTGCTGTTTAGTTGACAAACATTCGCTCCTAAGAATTCCATAATTGTTTACATGTTGTGCCCGAAATAGTAATGTAAACTTGTAAATATAAATATTTCTCGAAAAACGCCAGCTTTCGAAATGGCAGAGGTTTTTAATCAAACTTTTCGTATTTTTGTAAACAAAGTCCCTGCTCTTTCACATCGAAAGTATTAACCGTTGCACTTTTGATTTGAATGGCTTTTAGATTTTTTAATTTAAAATTATTTTTTGAAATTAAAAAGGGAAAAAAAATTAGAAACATAATTTTTTTTTGATTTTTGAAAAAAAAATTTTAAATAGTGCAAAAATTGTTCAAGTCAACGTATGAGTAAGGTAGGGCAGGCCATTATAGCTGTTATAGCTGTAGTATGATGTATGTATATGAGTGTACTACATATTAGTGAGTATGTACAGCTAACGGTTGTTGGTAAACTTTTAATCGGCTTTAAAGTTAATTCATCTGCCAGCTGGTATTACTACCGTTTTTCTTATTTTACAGTCTTGTTTTGCATCTTAAAAGAAATTTTTTAAACATATGCATCGAATTTTGTCATAGTGTTTCGTGTGTATTGTGATTGGTTTGATACTATAGGGTCGTATAGTACTTCTGCTTTATGGTATCATGTTTCATATCATTAACATGAAATACTATAAAGTTTACAGCACATACTACGTATGATTTTTTGTGTATAAAGGACGAGCAAGAGATGAAACGTTGTAAAGCAGGTGATAAAGGTGTTGGTTTTATAGTACTGAATAGTATTTCCCTTATGGTGCTGATGATATGTACTAATATATAAAGTTCTTGGTCTTTGTAGTACTGTATAGTGTTTCTATTATGATGATAATAGTAGGTACTCTTACATAAGTGTCGTGGTCTTTGTAGTACCGGATAGTATTTCTCTTATGGTGCTGGTGGTAGGTACTCTTAGATAAAGGTCTTCATAGTATTGAATAGTACTTTTGTTATTGTGCTGGTATTATGTATAGCTACATTTCAGTTTAACTTTACTTTTACTGTAGTTTGTAATAAGCATTTTTAAAGTTTATTTTTAAATTTTAGTATTTTTAACTATTCTTTTCTTGTTCAAGAAAGCATTGATCAAAAAGCGCTCAAGAACGTTGTAATAATACAAATTCCAAACGTTCCTTTGTTTTTCTTTTAACTACTCTCTTCTTCATTACCATGGTAGAATTTGGTCTTTCATTGAGCTTGTTTGGGTCTTTACCTTTAGATTTTAACTTGATATGATCAGTACTGGGCAGGGGGTTTTATACTTCAGTATGAGGAACGAGGAGGAGGGGTGGTGAAATCATGGGGAAAGGGGGTTTGGAGGTGTAAAAATTTTTGAACAGATTGGTTGAACAGGCTATGACATGGTTTTTTAAAGGAATTTTTTAGGTTCTAGGTAGTGTTTTTTTCGAAGTAAAACTTTTTACTGTAGTTAAAGCTACACTTAATTAAAATTTTTTTGTAAAACTTTAGCTATTTATACCCAACTTCTGATTAACTTTGCATGCCAAAGCTCAGCTCCAAATTTGCCACTTTTTCTCGAATTTTACAATTCCTGCGGCTCTTTTTGGCGTTTTCTTCCACGAGCGTTCTACACACGTTTCGGCGTGCCGTGCTTGTTGGAAACGTTTCGTTTTTTACATTGATGTAGATACGTGTGTGTGTGTGTTGAGACCGGCTTCTTCCAGTGGTTTCAAGGGGCCTCTGTTACTTTCTCGCTTTTTCCTTTAAAGAGGAGGGAGCGAAGAGGGGGGGGGGATTCGAACTGCCTGGAGGAGGGGGATTCGAAACGCTTGAAGGGGGAAGATTCCAACCACTGGTAAGGGGGATACGAATCGCCTGGAAGAGAGATTCTAACCGCCTGGATGTGGGGTATTCTAAACGCCAGAAGGGGGAAGGTTCCGACCACTGCGAGGGGATTCCGCTTGGAGGGGGATTCGACTGGAGGGGGGGATTCGACGCGAAGGGGGGGGAGATTTCGACCAAGCCTCGTTTCTTTTTGTTTCTGAAAAGAGAAAATAAGCGAGCAAACGTTCGATCTTCGCCGGGCATGTTTTGTGTTGTTTTTTTTCTTCGAACCGCGGCTGTTTGGTCGATTAAATGGAAAAGTTTTTGAATTTTAAGGGCTTAATCAGTAAAAATTTTTGAATTTGGTCGAAGTTGTAACAGAACACCTGTTTTTACATAAATTATTCATAGCCTTTTACAGTTGTTTCAATTCAGTAGATGCTCTGTATAAGCAATTTACAAGCCTCTCTCCTTCTTATAATACTAGGGTTTTCAAATAATTCTGTGCCCTCTCAAAGCTAATTTTCGGAACTAGGAGCACAGAATTTTTTGAACAACTTAAAATTTGGTTACACAGCAAAAACTTATAAGTAAGATGACATAGTAATACCTTGTACGTGGAGTTGACATAGCAAATCTTTCTAATAACTTAATACCTAAAAACCAAGCCCAACTCTAAACCCACACCCTTCCTAATGAACAACGCTTTGGGCTTACAGTTTTTTCTTTGCAAAAATGCATTTTGTGGGTGAAGGTCCCTCTTCGGTGGAGTTACGAGGGAAATCGGAAAGAGAAACGACTTCGGGAACAATTCGGAGGAATCAGACGACGTTTTTACGTGACGCTGCTAGTCGTTGTGTTCGGATCGACAGGTTATGAAATGTGCTGGTCTTATTCCTGAATATTTACGAATCGTTTTTGTTTTGTCATGGTGGTGGTGTTTGATTCGGTGGGTTTAGTTGGGGTTGGAAAGTTTTGGCTAAGTGTTAGGCGTGTGGAGAGGTATGGCAGTGATTTTAGGGGGCTTGCAGGGCATTGTACGATTAAGAGTTAGTCTTGTAGAGAGGTTTAGAAGTTTCTGTTAGGCTTATATAATAGTACATTGTTTGGCTAAGTGTTAGGCTTTATAGAGGTTTAGCAGTGTGATGGTTGGCTTTTATCATACTAAAAACACCTTTAACTTGAGTTACATAACTTCGAAACTCTTTTTTAAGCTAGTCTTAGGTAGTACAAAAGCTTGGCTTGAACAGTACGCATATTTTTTTAATTTGTTTACGAGTTTGTGCACTTTAAAATGTCACAAAACCTCCTATTTTGTAACAATTTCAAATTTGTATTATAGCGTTTATAATTTGCTGTATAATGTTCTCTACTACAGTAATATACATTTAAAGGCAGTTTTTAAGTACAACATAAAAAAATTCCAAAAAAACAAAAAAAAAATATTACATCAAGTAGTGCTACCTTAGAATTGTATATGTTTCATTGGAAGTAAAAAGACAACAATAATATAAGGAAACCCATGTTTTTGTGCACGTTAGATTATAAAGTTTATTGGCCATTTTTTTGCAAGAAACAATACGGAAAATAGTGTGGAGAATGGAGAGACAAGGAAAATAAGGTTTTATACAATTAGGATCAATTTCTTTGAAAAAAATTTTTTTTTTGGTTTTAAAATTGGAGGAAATTTTGGTTTTGAACGGTTTTTATGGACTTTGGTCGTGGTCTTTTTAAGGGCATTACTCTATGTCAGCTCTATGTAGAAGAGTGTACTATGTCATCTTATGTACTTATGTACAATTTTTGTTATGGAACTATGTATTAGATTGTTCAAGTAATTCTGAGCCACATAACTCTAAAAACGTGCTTTGAGAGGGGGCACAGAATTATGTGAACAAGCTAATATCTAACGACTAAAGATAATGTTAACCGTTCGTAATATAAAAGGCTGCTTTACTACGACTTTTTTGATTCTTTAAAAACTTTCAAAAATTTACTTTAAAGTAAAAATTTTTAAAAATTGTCAAATTTTGGTAACACCAATTTTCTGTTCTTTCTGTAAACAAACTGAAAAGCCCTACTGTAACTAATCTCTACCCGATATCCAGTAGCAAAAACACAGTTGTTGTAAGCCGAACAGTGCTTTTGCATAATTAGAATTGTTGGGCCTTATTGTTTGTTTTTTCCCCCTTACCCGCGTAAACAGTCTCATAATTGTAATCACGCACATTATTTACTCTGGAATTCAAAAAAAAATTTCGAAAAAAATTTCAACGTGGTCCCTCCTGTGGATTTTTTCGACCCCCAAACCAAAAGTTCCCGCCCGCTCCTGTTCCTGGTCACAATGTATACGTCATTATATTGTAATCTTTGGCCATTTTTTTCAATTTTAATTTTCTTACATGTGTAATATTAATCTGAATAACCTCTCAAAAATCCCACTTCACGATTTCATTGATCACTGTTACGATCGCCCAATAAATGTTTTTGGTGCAGTCGTTCGCCGCGCAAAACAATAATTTTTTTTGCGAATTCTCGTTTAGCCTTGTGCATTCGTCACCCCCCCCTCTTTCTATTTTTGCCTTGAGCAGTTTGTTGTTGTTTTTGTGTTTTTTATTTTTTATCCGTGTCACCGCGTTAAACTGACCAAAAACAAGCGGAGAAAATGTAAAAACAGATTTTTACCCATCACCAAGATTTGATAACAACCCTGGCAGCCGGTTTTTCGTTTTGTTAGGGGTGGTATTTGGAGCAGTGGGACTAGTAAAGGTGGGGTGGTGTATGGAATAGCGGGACTAGTGTGAGTGGGATGGTATGGAATGTATTTAAAGTTGTTTTTAAGGGCTGTGTGGAGGCTAAAGAACATAGTATAGAAGAGGAACAAAGATTAACCATAGTCAAGTTTACAGAATTTATATAGTGTATTCTATGGCCATGTAGTCAGTTCTAAAGGAACAATTATAGTATAAAACTAAAGTTAGGCTACTTGATGACATGTACTATAAGTATAAGGTATAGTATGGCATGTGCTAAAATCAAAATGTATAGTAGGACATATACTTACAGTAGCAGGTATAGTGTCACATATACTTTCAGTATAAGGCATAGTATGGCGTTTACTCACAGTATAAGGTGTAGTATGACTATATAATTACAAAAGAAGGTTAATTATGACGTTTACTAATGTCACAAAGGCAAATCATAAACTTGGAGCACAGAAAGAAAAGTCACGTCTTGCTCTAATTTTTCATTTTCTGCGCTTTACATTATATGTTTTACGTTCAATATTTACAGAACGATTTGTACTTTACCTGGCCAATTTGTATCATATCTTTAGTACAGTAAATAAGTCATTTTTGGCTTGCAAGGACATTATTTTTTGACATTATATGTTTGTTTCTGCAGTTTTATTGTAAATTAAAGTTCTCTTTTGGCATTTTTTTACTGTATTTTAATTTTTATTAGTCTGGCGTGATTATATTGTACTAAACATGAGCAGTACTATATAGTACGCTAAAGCGTAGAATTATTTTATTTTACTTTTTTTACATAGGGGACTATATACAAATTGAGCATGAAAAGCCAAAGTTTTTGTAAATTTTGTTTATTAAAAAAGTATTTTTTTCGGCCAAAAATCAACAAGAACTTTGTTTACATCGTCCCAATGACATGGTATTTTCAGCTATTGCGCGCGGTGATATCCGGTCAACAAACTTTCCTTCTCTTCCTTATCTTTTTCTCCGTTTCTCTGGCCTCTCTCTCTCTCTCTTTCTCTCTCTACCTCCCTCTTCTCTTTCTCTATCTCTTCTTCAACTGTCATCTTCACGTCATCTTCTATTCTACTACAAAATCGCTTCTTCTCATAACATCCCATGATGTCTCTGTCTCTCTAATTGTGAAGCTTGTTGTCTCTGCCTCTATTACGCTCTCTAACTCACCGTACTCTCACTCCAATCCTGGCAATTAAATTTTAACCGAGAGTATCTTAATTACGGTTGCCGTTGACGTCAAGTACAAAAACTATGTGTTTTTGGCGTGACGTACATCTCGGTTTACTCGGCATCTACTATAATATGCCCAAGTTTTTGAAACACTTGTAGCGTGGTAGATTCGACGTGAATGGGATTGTACTTTAGGGTAAATTGTTGGTGTTTACTGGGGTTGTTATGCATATCGTTATCATTTGGCAATGTTTTGAGATTACAATGTTGGGATCAATTTTTTTTATTTTTAGTAGATTATAACAACGATTTTTTAAATTTTTGTAGACTTATATGACAATGCCGTATTTTACAAAAATTAAAAAATAATTTTTGAAAGATTTTAATTTTTACTTACTTCAGCTGCCGATTCGGTACGTTCGATCCGAGTACGAGTATGAGCTCGCAAGTTGCGAACAACTTGCACCCGAACATGTCGCAACCTCCACAAAACAACTTTGCCAACAACATGAGCAACATGCATGGCTTCCACCTTTCAATGGCCTCAGGCCAGGGTCCTCCGAATTGGCCAAACGGCCAAGAGTTCCATCCAATGTATTCTCAACAACAGAACATGAACATGGGCATGGTATACCACCAGAATGGTCCCATGCCCGCCCAAATGAGCAACCAAATGTTGCTGCAACAACAACAAGCTAAGAAGTTGGGTCAGAAGAGGAAGAATCCTCAGCCAACGCCTCAGGGTGTTAATGCGCGGCCGGTGAAGCAACAGTTCATGCAAGGATATCAACAATATCCAGCCGGTTTCCAGCAAGGTCAGATGGGTATGCAACAGATGCCACAACAATATAATGGTCAGATGGGACAGCAGAATGGTGCTAACATGCCTCAGCAGTACCAAAAGTGAGTTTTAAAAAATATTTTTGAAAATAAAAAATTGTTTTTTGTAAAGAAAGTTTTTGCAATTTCCAAACTTAAATTTTAAAATAAAAAAAATTATGTCTTACTGTATTCCTTTACAGCTACAACCAACAACAATGGATGAAAGACGCGGTGAAACGAGAGCTTCGTAATACTGTAGTAGCACGTCAAGCAGTATCACCTAATCAGCAGAACCTACCTCAAGGCATGATGATGTCAGAGATAGAGATGTCGCGGTATGGTGCTGCTGGTGCCAGTACTCCACCAATTGGAAATGGTATGAATGGTACTATGTCCAACTCAATGGGTACCAATTTGAATGGTGCTGGTGCTAATGGTATGCCTGTCACTAATGGCATACCTGGTGCCAACGGAATTACAGGTGCTAACGGAATGTCAGGTGCTAATGGTATGTCTGGTACCATGAGTATGAGCAACATTCCTAACAATGTTAATGGTACTACTGGTACTCCCGGAGGCCCAATGAGTACTGGTCCAATGAGTACGGGATCAGTGCCAAATACTATGAATAGTACCGTTCAGAACAATGGTACCATGATGGCGTCGCCTCGACTAATGTCGAATCAAATGAATCCACAGTACGACTACCGTAACCCACAAATGAATCAGCGAATGTTGCCGGCTGAGATGCGACAACAAACCTTTTTGCCCGAGCTGAGTTTAGACGATTGTAAGAGCTATCTACATGGTGATGATCCTAGTGCACTGTCAGCGATCGACACGGCTTCATTAACGGACTTTAAGATTTGCGATGATACGGTAGGTTACTGTAGAAAATTTTTTTTCTTTTTTTAGGGTGATGTACATTTTATAGTATTTTTTATCTTTTGGTACTAAAAATTTATAAAAAGTGATTGATTGATACCTATTCTTACTTTTATTTACACAAAAAGCACATAGGTATACCTACATTAATATCAGTATTTCAAATCTTAATATTGACTACATTTCAGTTCGACATGGACAACGAAGATACCCGCAAGATTGTGCACAAATTGCTTAGTTGAAAATTTTTAAAAATTTTGAAAAATAATAAAAATTCGACCTCCGGCAAATATTTAAGGCCGTCTGATCTCGCTAATCGTATGTTTTGATGTATATCTTGACCTCAACACTCTTAATGTATGTATGTTTACACTATAATATTGTCAAGTTGTCTGGTTTCGACACAGATTTTTAATTTACAAAAAATATTTACGATGCAAAAAGAATGGCGCGTTTTGTACAGTAACGTTTTTAAATGCTATTTTTTGTAGCATGGTGGTTACAAATGACATTTCTTATTGTATGGTATATTTTAAAAAGCTTTTTCTTACAGTATTTAATGTACAATGGCATATTTTAGATTACCGTACTACCAAATTTCCTATTGTAATACAGTAATCTTAAAAAATCAGTTTTTAGCCAAAAAAACGCCATTCTTTTCGCATCACCTTAAAAACGAACATAATCTAGATGTAAATATATGTAAATTTCCCCCCACAATACCCTCGTAATATTTCTATTAATACAGCCCGAATGATAAGTATATGTATATGTTGTTGTATATGGCTTGTGATAATCTTATTGTTGTCTCCCATTCCGCTCGTATCTCTCAGCTCAAATCCTATGTATTTATGTTGTTCTCTTGTCCATTCATTTGAGTTGGTATCTATTGTGGCACTTCTGGTTTTTAGGTGAATAGGTTACTATAACTTGGAGGAGGTACTGTAGTTTTAGAGGAGTTACTGTGGTTGCTAAAAACTTTGGATTAGTGTAAAATACGGCATTGAAAGCTTATTTTGCAGTAGTAATATTAAGTAGCTACTGTAACTTCAAATTTTTGAAAAAAACAGTATTTAGGTAAAAAATTACAGTACTTAACTTAAATATATACCATATACAGTGACCAACCTAAAGTTACATTACCCTTTTGCCCTTGAACCAGAATACCACCCATTGCCCATTTTGTTCTTTCCGGCCGATAGCTCTTCTTTCACAGCTCTACAGAACCCGTTAGTCCGTTTTAGTTGGTATGATTGTTAGATTACTGTATTTATTCGAACAAAACCCTATTATTACTTATTCTTATTATTATATTGTATTTATGTTGGTCAAATAAATTTGATGATATTTAATCTTTGGATTGAATATTTGAAAAAAAAGATCAGTCGTTGGTCAAATTAGGGTCATGTGAACCTGAAACTAGTTATATTAGTAATAGCTCCAAACCGGATTAAATTGAGTCAAAGCTAACTTGAACGAGGTCGAGCTGGGCCTGCACATATTCGCTTAGGGCATAGATCAAGGCCCCGCAGGTCTGAAAGAGGCCGTATCCGACACACATGGGGCGAGGACCAAGATCCACATCAAAGCCTGACCAATGGGCCAAGCCAAAAGACCTTTTTCAAAACTAAGATACTATAATACAAAAAATCAACTTGGCTTTGATCATCATGTACATCAAACCTTACTGGTGTGATACTTAAGAAACTGCACAAAGGTGTCATTATAACCAGGGGTCGCACTGTCTAGGTAATTTTCGATAGAAGTTCTATTACAAAGAACGAAATAAAAGCTGTCATTGTAAAGAGAGTGTCATACTACCAAGAGGCATAATAAAGCGGTTTCACTGTAACTTAATGTTTGATTTGTACTGCTGTAGTAAATAACTAACACTAATCTAAAGTTTTTAGCTTGCTATGCTAAACTTCTACTCTGTTTTGTAAATTATTTTTGTACTTTTAATATTTTTTAACTTTTAGCTAAATTTCTTTTCTCTAACCACATCTTTACCTCTCCCCCTCTCCTCTTTCCCCTACAACACTATCCGGAAATTGGCGCTGCAAAAAGTGCACGATCATTAAAAAAGACTACACAAAACAATGATACCATTTTCTCTATGCCACACACAACATATACGAAAACAATGGCAAGAGATAGCAAAAAAGACTGTGTTCATAAGAGGCGTCAGACACGGTAGGAAGGCTCTTTTGGTGCGTAGACTCAGCCGCCAACTGGAAAACACACAGACACGACTGGTCGGATACGTGCGTTATATCGGGGATATACGAGGGTTGGGGTTTCACATATATTGTCTATGTAAATTGTGCGCACTATAGCCAAGTTATAGGTTTGAATATAAAAAGTGTACTGTAGGGTACAAACAGAATACTGTACATAGCAAGTGTAGGGCTAGGTAATAATAATCTGAGTTAGAGACTTATCGTCAGATATATAACATTGAGTTCTAAACGTTATAGTGATACCCATAACTAGTTATTGACGTCATGTTAAGAAAATTTTCACGTTTATCAATTTTAGTAATTGCTGAGCATTATTTTAATGATAAATGCATTACAACTTCAGTTCGTTACAAATAAGCTTTAAAATCTGTAGGAAGTTAAGCAGCAAATGTGATTTTTAATAAAATTTATTAAAATTTACTGTAAAGTTATATATCGCAGCTCTTGAAGAATTGGAAAAGTCATGTAATTCTTACCAAGCTTTTTTTGTTTTGACGTTTAACAAGTTATGTTGTTCTTGATACGTCACTTGTTTATCTACATGTATTTTCTTACTATGGTTTCAGTTTTATCTGGGAATACGTACTCTAGGTATAGCTTGATTGTACAAACCATTATTCAACATATAAAATTTATTACTTTTATTGTAACATATGTATAATAGTACTGCAATACTATATTGTTCAAAAAAAGATTTTGCTTCATCCATATTAATTTATTCTTTGTTTTCATTACGTTGTTTAAAAACTTTTTTTTCATTACGTTGTTCAAAAACTTCTGTGCTCTACTTTAAATTTTTTTCGGAATTAAGAAACACAGAATTATTTAAGCAACCTAATGTGTACTTTTGGCTTATTAAGGGCAGTAAGAAGCAGCAGTTTAAAGTCATAACAGTAACGTAAATGGACTTTCTCCGCTAAATTACTTTATGAGTAAATGCCATAAGAAAACCATATGTCATGCTTAATTCAATTTTTTTATACATATACAATGCTTATTTTAAGAGTCGTTGCGCTAACTTCATGCCAATTTATGCCTTGTAATAAGTCAACCCCAAGGTTACTTTTAAGACATAATTAGCATGTGGGTCTTGTTCAAAAGTAAGTGATGCTATAATTAATAGCTCCAAGTATGTTACAAGCTCAAAACGTTCAACTTAGTATGTATTAGGTTGTTCAATTAATTATGTGCTCCATAGCCCCTAAAAATTTGCTTTTAAAGAAGGCACAGTGTTATATGAACAACCTACTATTAACATTTAAATGTAAGCTACTGTGTTTGCAATTTGCATAGAATTGATGATCTGCTTGTAGCATATCACTCAGCCTTTTTATTATAACTGTATGATTTTTTTAAAATTGCCGTTATATTTTCAATTTCAAGATGAAAAAACACCTAACCCCTACTGTCTCCTTAAGCTCCTTAAAATTTGCCTATTGCAAACACAAGACATGTGAATTATATTACAAAAACGTGACATAAAGTAGCGTATTTTCGTCAAAGCGCCGTGAAAGAGTGTGTTTTTGAAAATATTTAAAAAGCTATTCGAATAACCAAAGGAGACGGGGTGTTGTGTGCATTCGAAACACATTCGGACCGGCTGTGTGAGTCATATTTCAATGGGTTGTGTGCCGTTAAAACGGACGTTTTGGGACGAACTTTGTTGTGAGTACACTGATTTTGGGTTTTAAGGGTAGCTGAGTATATACGAGTATAAGTATAAGCAGTGTATTTTAGAAAATTAGTTGTTAGAAGCATATTTTAGTCAAAATTAGTCTTTAGGTTATACCAATTTCATATTTTTAAAAATTTCTCTCGAAATTTTAAGCTTTTTGATTTACAAAAATAAATTTTTCAAGGCATAGTAAAAAAAACTTTTTTAGTTTTAAACTTTTGGAATTTAAATTAAAGTTCGTCTTAAAATGGCACAAAATAGTTGCCAAAATTTTTTGAAAAATTTAAAATTTTTAAAATTTTCAGTTTAGGATTTTTGTCAATTTCCCATGTTATCATTCTTCCGACGCTGAATTTTCTTTTAAAATGCAGAACTTGCCATATAAGAGCCGTAGCATTGACAACCATCAAATGCATTAGCAAAAAACAACTTTGAAGGCCGTTTTTTCAAAAACTAGGAAATTGAAACTCATGTGAACATTTCAATCTCATTGTTCAATGTCTTTAGACTTAACTTCTAGATCTTGAACCTCAAATTCTAACCTCAAAGCCTACTTTTCAAAATTAGTTACCTTCCCAACACAAATCCAAAAAACATGTCATTTTGCAATGTTCTCTCGTCGTCAAAACACCATTTGAAAACCGTCTTAAAAAGCATAATTATAAATTTATGTGGTGTGCCTTCGCTCATAAACAACGCCACGAGCGAAAGTCGGTGTGCTCCAAACAAAGGCGGGTGTGTGTGTTTTTGAGTGGAATAGAGGAGGAAGGGGGGTTCGTGTGCAGCCAGCCGGGCCGCGGCCGTGTGTCTTAAAGAATCACACGACTCTCCCCTTCCGCCACCAAATGCTGTGTGTGTCTGAAGTCGGGCGGAGGGCATCGGGTTTTATACACAAACCCCACCGCTTCCAGGAGACTTTATACGATCATCGGTGGGGAGTGTGTAGTAAGGAAGGGTTTCGGATGTTTGTACATGATATATAGGGGTTTGTATTGAGAAACGTTGTATTTTACTACCACTTGGTCTATTTTTTCATATCTTGTTAGTAGGACCACTTTATGATGATTTACAGTAAAGATATCTTGTGAAGATGCCTTCAAACGTCCTCTATAGTCATCCTTATCATAACTTATTCCTTTTACCTAACAAGTGAAGCTATTTAAAATTTTAAACTCTTTTTTATGAAATAAACCCTCCAGACCCCCAGGGCAAAAAAACACTGTTTTGTACCTAAAATCCGTGTGTTCTGACCAAGCGCACACCATTTGTCATGACGCACGCGTTCCCGCCAAAAGCGTAAGAGAAGTGCGGCGCTGGCTTCGAACCACGGTGCGCGACTCCGGCCTCGGATGCATTTTGCAAGTGCGCGTAATAGGTCAAACAACCGGGATGTGCGCAAGTGGCTCAAGATTTGGAAAGCTTTTGGAAAAATAATTTTAAAAAATTATAAAGTTTTAGAAAATATTCTAAAACTTTTTTTGAATTTAAAAAATCAAAAAGGCTTAACGTGGTCTGTCCTGTTCATTTTTGATTTTTTTTGAATGTACACCCCATTGAGCAATATTTTTTTTCGATTTTACCCTTACTCCTCCCTTGTTGAAACTTCTGAAATCACCCACTGCTTGAGACTTCTAACTCCTCGTCCGCTTTCAATTGAAACTCTGTAGCGGCATTTACCCTCTAATGACTACTACAACATAACTTTTTTAAAATTTTACAAAGATGTAATTAAAAAAGTTTCATTTAAAAATGCTGTTCGTATTTTACACTAAATTTACGTTATAAAATGACTCAACACAACATTCAGTACAATTTTAGTAATTCCTTTTAAAAGTCAAACTTATGTTTTGCGGCTTTCTGAGCCCAAACGGATGTATTTTTATTGGCAATGTTATTTTTCGAAGGAAACAAACGTGAAATAACAAAAGTCAACGTTTCCAAGGATTATATCCCGTCGTTTTTAGTTGTGGCATATAATATTAGATTTAAAAATATTTTTTAATCGTATTTTTGTGCTTCGTTATGACGTTTGATTTTTATATCTGTTAGGTTTTTCAAAGCCCCAAACCTTTACAATTTGCTCCAAAAAAGGCGCAGAATTATTTGAACAATCTAATACCTCTTTCTCTATACCTACATTTCGTATACGAGATCATTGAATAATTTTTGGCAGCTAAATACCTGCTACGCCACAAGACGTATTTTACAATCCATCTTTTGCAGTTTCCACAATTTATTGTCGCGAGAAGTTGTCGAATTCGCCGTCGCCGCGTTTAGCCGCGACTGAGGACTGGGATTCGTCAGAAAACGGCAGTAAGTCCGGGGAGTCGAGTCGCTTCTACGACCAGTCAAACCTCAACAACAACGACCATTTGTACAAAGAGGAGGAAGAGCTGATTAACATTGAGGACGTCGAGGAGTTGAAGGATTCCGAGTGCTACGGTAATCAGGAAAGGTAAGGGATCTTATCGTTTTGAGGTCTTGTAAGTACTGTTATTGCATCTTTTTTTTACTATGTAAGCTGTTATAAAGCTAGTAAACATCACAATAGTAATTAAGCATTAGAAAACATCGTATTTTACCTTTAAAATTACAGTAAACTTCTGAAATCTAAAAATTTCAGCACAGAAGACGAGAAGTGGGAGCAGACCTTCCAGACAGTCAAGTCGGTAGTCCAAGACCCAGCCTACCTTCGCATTCATCGGCGACGCCAACTCGATATCGCAGCGAAACGTCGGCGACAAGCTGTTGAAAGTGAAGAAGAGCGTCTACAACGACTTCAACGTGAAGCCGAAGCCAAACGGAAGCGAAGATTGAACGAGAGTCCGGAGAAGCGACAAAGACGTCTGGCTTTGCACGCTGAACGCATGCGCAAGGCACGCAGGATGAACAAGGAAGGTGGTGGTGCTGAGCCACGTGGTACCGTTGTAAGGCAGTATATCAACAACACTTACACTACTTACACACAACCGGGTGGGTAGTCTTTGCCAATGATAAGCTAATGATAGATCAGTAAAGTAGTTCAGTAAGAGCTAAGTAAGGCCTATATAGTACCAGCATTGCTAGTACTGAATTAATTTAGTATTAGCATGACTACTACTGAACTAGTACTGATACTGTACTAGCCTTACTTATACAATAATCACCCCACTGTTACAGTACCAAGTCAATCTACTAAAAACCTATAATAATATAACCTTTCAGACCCAGATGAACCCAATCAAGTATCATATCAACCGGAACGAGTACAACTCGTCAGTATGCCTCAGCATCAGCAATATCACACACAACCCGTGAACCAAGGCTATCGTGGACCAAATCAACAACCCACTGTAATTACCGTACCTCTACCACAACAAACAATGGGTAATGGACCCGTCACAATTCATGTCACATTACCTGAGAACCTTCAAGGTGGACAACAACAAGTCTTACAGGTATGATAGTTTCAAGCAATCTTAAGGCCATTTTTTAAAACTAGTTACAGTGTAACACATTTAATCCATCAAAAATTACAGTAAAATCTTTTCAGCTCCCCCAACAAATCCTAATCCCAGCCCAAACCGGCCAGCCCAATCAGTTCGTCCTAGCCAACGACCAAGGCTACAACAACAACCAACCAATGCATGTCATTCGAATCCAAACCCAGCCTCAGGCCACTCAACAGCCATCCCATATTATCATTCAAGGACAACAAGGACCAGTACCTAGCACCAGTACTGCTCCTCGTCCAATGCCCACAACTAGCGCTCTGCCCGCCCCCAGTACTAGTACAGGGCCACCAGTGGAACGAGTGGTACCACCCCGATTCAAGAATTTGACCGATGAACAAATAGCCAGACGAAGAAAGGCGAATGCTGAACGATCGAGGAGGAGAAGAGCTATGGAGACACCAGAACAGAGAGCTGAGAGAAACAGAAGAACGGCCGAGAGAATGAGGCAGAGGAGAGCCAAGATCGCCGAAGCTAAAGGTAAGTACTATAACAAATGTCTTAAAACAGTAACAAAATTCTAAATAATTACCATTAGCAACAATATAAAAGCTCTATATCACATTACTGTAGTTATTAAAAAAAATTGACACAAAAAAGAAAGACATCAAGAAACTGATTTCAATATAAGGAAAGATATTCAAGAAAAGCACAAATAACAATATAATCTCTGATTTTAGTGCCACCTCCCCCACCAAAAATAAAAACCTTATCTGCGGATCGATTTGAAGAGATCTACCGTAGTGTAATAGGTCAGACTTCTGAACCAAAAGAAGAAGATGAAGATAAAAACCACAAACTCGATCACAACATCCCAGATCCTAAACAAAACCCCGGGCAAGGATACCATCCATACACAACAACACAAAGTGTCATGAATGGTCATATGATTGTTAACCAAGTAAGTTTTCACAACTATATATTGTAAAACCATGATAACATAAGATGTTCTGTAACATAATATTACATATACATCTTTTATGACAGTCTTAGTAAACTTTTGAACGTTTCAGCAACCAGAACTCACACATACTTAAGATTTTTCACCTCCATACACCAACAACCTTGGAGTAACCAGCTCCAGGTTATGTATTAGACCTCCAGATCTCATTAACTACACTTCTAAGCAAAGAATCAAGTTTGAAAAATAAATTATTTACATTTTTACCTCGATATTTCTTAGTTCATACTATATCCAATGTAATTTCTCAATTATTTCTAAAAGCATGGCCAAACTATTTCAAAAAATTTAATTGTTTAAGGTAACCCTCGTCGTACATAAAACCTCTTAAAAATACACAGAAAAATTTATTGAATTATCATTACAATACTATACAGTAAACTACATATAAACACAACCATTCCGTAAAGAATTTAAGTTTGAGTACAACCAAAGCACCTCGTAGACGTTGGAATATTAAAGTCTTAAGAAATCGTAGATAATATCCGTTATAAGCCAGACTTTGCCCATTTATTGCTCTCCACCTTCGTGTTTCTTCTCCACATGACCTCGGCAATGTCCCGTTTCGCAATCCTACAACAAAAATCGATATAAAAACGCCGTATTTTGAGAAAAACTACAATGTTTTCATAAGAATGTCGATGTTAATGTTAACATTTGCCTTCTTTGAAAGAAAACCTTCTAAAACTATCTAAAAACCAAAGATAACAAAGTAAAAGCCTACAGAATCCTCCTCGTCCGAGCTCTCATCCCATTTCTTCGGTTTCTTGTAGATACAGCAACATTTCGACTTCTTCTTACCCATAAACTCGTTATCAACAGTATCCTGCGCCCATCTTACTCTAGGCTCGTTCTGTGGCTCCAAATGCAACACCAATTCGGATGGCTGCGTCTGAAATCTCGAATTACGCCAAAAACTTCGGAAAAAGTTTCATAAAGACCAAAGAATAATGCCGTTTAGCCAGCTATAACATCAAAAACACATGTTAACATAAACTTACAGATGTTTCTGGCTGAACTGTGACAGTTTCAGTTTCGGAACGTTCGTTGGCTTGCTGTTGAGACATTTCAAAGATGTTCAATATGCGAGGAAGTATCCAGAACGAAGTTTCGCAAAGAAATAAAAACAAATTTTGTGAATTAGGGCGCAGTTTGAGAACTTGTTTTGCAGGCTGCGATTTGCGGACGGCTTTTTGTCTTGCGGCAATAACATATTTAAATTAGTACTTCTACACGAATTTGGTTTCTATTTCGAAAAAATGTCGACGATAAAATTACAGTAAGTATTCTGTTTTGTTTTTGAATAATTTTTTGCACTTATAATGATTTATATTATTATTAGCACTTGTTCCGTGTTACCTTTAACAAAAAATAGAAAAACAATAATAAGAATGAGATCATTACCTGCGTGTTGAAAGTTTATGGCCTATTTTGGCATTTTACAGTATATTTGTTTTAATATTGTTAAGTGTAGCGTTTAACTTACATGGTTTAACTTGTTTGATATTTTAGGTAACAAAAATGTTGTTGATAATGTAAATGGTTGTTTTACTGATAGGGAAAGGTTTCTGAAGTTAAAATAAGATAATTTTAGACTGTTGAAATGTAATTTCTAGTGTAGGCGTTACAGTGTGTTCTTTAACGTATCAAAGAAGTTCGCACGTTCCAACAAGATAGCTTATGTTATTTTAGGGGAAAATTTGTGAAATAATGTTTGTAATGTGACTTACAAACTACAATTTTAAAAGAATTTGACTAAAGTTTATCTCCAGCTTGTAAGTATAGTTTTTAGGCGGATTAGAAGGTGGTTATTAGCAGATGATGTGTGTCACATTACTTTATTTCCACATTTTAACTTGGAACGGAAACTTGTGGTTGATAAAAGATATGTTTTCGACGTGAAGTTTGAAACATAAATATTTTTGAAATTTGGAAAATACTAAGATTTACCATGTAGTTTTGACAAAACTGCTATAGGGAAGCGACAAATTGTATATTGTTTTAGCTTGCTGACGGTTACTTCAAGATTTCAATGATTATGTGTAAAGGTGCGTAGTGTAGTGTGTAAAGAAGCATAGTGTAATATCCTCAATGCTGTAGAGCTTCCACATGTTTTTAAAACGTAATAGAAATGCCATAATAATGTCACTTTACATGTCTGAGCACTATATTGTATCAAATGCTAGTTAAACATCATTTCCTCGTAGGTTTCCACAAACATTACTAAATTTACAAAATGGCAAGGAATGTAAAGTCAAAATTACTTTGAAGCCGTACGATCCGAAGCCACGTCAGCTGTACGGTAATAGTCATGAGGGGGTTAGAGGTATATAAGCTAAGAATATAAGCTGTTAGTCTTTAATCTTGTGCAAAAACAGACCCCACTTCTAATTCAATATTAGGGATTAGAGGAGGATATTCCACTTGGGGAGGTGTTACACCTGGGGTAGATATTTTGTTTGGGAAGCTATGTTAATTGATGAGATATTACACTTGAAAGTGTAGATGAGGTACTACACTTGAAAGGATGTTACTATTGATGATATATCAAACTAGGAAGTATTACATTTGTTTTTACATCTCTATCAGCTAGCTATGCATGCTTTATAAGCTATATATATTCTGAACTCTGTAGGATTTAGATATAAATGTTGAGAATCTGTGTGGTATTTTTGAGTAGGGCATTTTGGAATAAAATAGTAACTGATAATGATGACGGCATCACTAAGCTTAGCTTTTTTATCAGTAATGGTATCAACAATCTGAGACTTTTTTACTCAAGCTTCAGAGATTTATAGCTTTATAAATAAGATTTTAGCGATTTATCTTTAAAGTTTAATTTTATCGTAGATAGTATTCGTATCAAAACGAGTCTTCGCTGTAGTAATTATATGGTACTATCAGGGAAGTCGCTAGGTTTTTCTAGGGGGAGGGGTGAAAGTTAAAAAATTTTTTTGGTCTATAGGTAGCTAGCGATTTTTATAATAATTTAAGGAAATAATTTATAAGCAATGACTACCATAATATGTTTGTTGACATTTTTATGACGACTTATGTTACACATGATATTTGTGTTTGTCATATGCGTATAAAAATGTATAACTGGATTAGTCATCTTAGCCTTAAATTGAGTTGTTATAGGGCTACTGTTAATCTGAAGTTAGTCAAATTATTTAGACATTTAGGTAGTTATCATATGACATTGTCATAGGCTTAGGGTAGGGTAGGACAGGGTAGTGTAGAGCATTTTGCCTTATATTACTATAGTTTCTAATAGCTTACTCGAAGACGTCTTCATGAGTATGCATAATATTATAATTACTTAAAACAGGATGACAAACCAATTTATTATAGATAATATTAATGCTTTAAGCAACGTGTGTGTCTTTGCATGTTATATGACATGTCTGTTTATTGGCACATGGTCTTATTTACTCTGTCGTTGGTATATCAACTTCAACTCACTCGTATAAAGATGATATTGTTTTTATCTAGATATTTGTGGTGGTATTATTGGTATGAAGATGGTATCATTTCTGTTATAATGACAGTGTTTGTATAGTTACTTTATTGTTGTTGGTCAGAATAATAGCATCATGCTTTGATAGCACTGTCTGTACAGTTTGGTACTAAATTATTACTTCCTGACAAAGTTGTTGTTTATTGTACAATAATATAGTCATAGTTTGGTTGATTATTGATGAATATTAACCTACTGTAGCATGGTGTTTTGCATTTTTGCAAGAATTTAAGTGACATGTAACTACGCAGTTTGTACGTGAAACAAAGTTTATTTGTTCATTGTAACAGTTTTGTTACAGCATGGAAATATATATATACAGCACAGAATGGAAAAAGGTTTTCAGCTATAACTTTGTCATTAAACCTTACCTTTTGCTTATATGTATTACAGTAGGGAAGAAGCTGAATTGTAGGAAAAGTCTAAACAAGGATAGCTCTGTTGATCTTTATCTGAAACTTGAACATTCTTGCACATCAGCATAGTACGTTACAATCTACGGCATCAAAATCATAAAGAATAATAACTCAATCTATATGTCTTGAATTGTAACTGTAGAAGCTTGAAGATTATAGTAGATTCTATTATAGTAGGGTAAGGTACGGGTCATCATAGTCATCATAGTGTTTTGTTGAAACTTCAAAGAGTTTCTCAATAACCGTAAGGATTCAGGGGGAAGTTCCGTGTAACCCTATTAATTATGTCGTATTTTCGTTTGATATATGGTATGTTATGCTAGATTATACGAACATCGTAAATATTGAATGGGATAGGGTTTCATGGTAATTTTTGACTATCTTTTTTATCGAAACGTCTCGATTTTTTTGTAAAGCTCATTTGAACTATTTGTTTTGATCTCTGTATTCTATGTTGTGACTGTTAGAACATGGTACTGTAACTTCATCTTCACAAAATATATTACAGTAACCTTTGACGTGGCTATAGTAATATAATACTGTTAGTTCTAACTCTTTTGCTGTATATTTTCCTTCTTTCAAGTCGTACAACTTGCAATAAAGTTGTTTTTGCAAAAAGCGGAAACAGATCAATTTTTTTTAATTTCCAAATTGTCTATAATACCCAACTTTAGTGCCTCGAGGCTCAAATCTTAAGCTATACGTATTTTGATTAATTCGTCATGATGAGCAATTTAGTTACGGGGGATTAACGTTTCTGTAGAGCGTACTTTCGAATGGCATTGTACGTCACGACTTCCGCGGAATATCTAGCTATTTGTAATACAGAGTTATCTATTGCAAAACACTACATTTGTGTCCGGTTTTAATGGTGGGCAGGGCGGTTTGTTTTGGTTATTGATCTTAACAGAACGATAGTTTAGGGTAAGATAAGGTTGCGCAGGTTAGGGTAAGATGAAGTAGGGCAGCGTAGGTTAGGGTAGGGTAAAGTAGGATAGGACAAAGTAGGATAAGGTAGGGTAAAGTGGGACAGGGTAAGATAATATAGAGTATGGTAGGATAGGGTCGGGTAAAGTAAAGTAGGGCTAGACAGAGTAGAGTATGATAGGTGTAAAATGATCATTTTGCTGTTCAATATGATGTTATAGTCACGTTACGTATGTACGATACATTTTTACTGACATGTACTATCTTTTGCATGATTATGGGATATAACAAAGTAAGCTTCATAGTACAAGATTTACTAGAATAATTAAAAAAGAGATAGTATTAAGATGCATTCTGTTATTTTAGTGCTTTGGTAAAATAGGACGTGTTATAAGGTGGTACGTGTGTCTTTGGTATTTTTAAAATTTTTTAATACTCGACCAACGGATGCCTTGCGGGCATCCTATGGTCTGGATAGTTTAAAAAAATTAAATTTAACAAATTAGTAACACCTTTGACAATTCAAAGCCGAAAATAGAACGACCTTTTACTATACTATATTACTATTTACTTCAAAAAATCGCTAAACCAGTCTAGAATTTACAGTACGACATTAAACTTGTTTGTCGCATTGTACGATGAGAACGTGATAAACATGTCCGTCATCGTACAATGCGACCATTTTAATAGTTTTGTCACTTTGTCGGCCGATCTTTGCTTAAAACGTGGGATAACATAATAATTAATTATTGATGGCATGGTAAATGGCAGTATATAAGGAAGAATAAAGGTCGAGAGGAAGAGGCTGGGTTGTCAGTTAGCTAGTTTTGAAGGGGTGACTTTTAGGTTGATGTTGTTGTAGATAAAATGGGTTTTTGGTTGATTTTTTTAAAAGTTTTTGGTGTAGCGGTAGATAGCAGGGTGGGGGTGGATGTGGGTGGGGTAGTTGGGACTGTACTTTTAATTTTTGATTTTTTCTTTGATTTACTTTACTTTAAAAACACTTCCTTCTCTTCTTTCTCTCCTCACCATCAAAGACAACATTACTGTTAAAACATGACATGACCATGACCTTACAGTAATCACGTTTTTTAGATATATTTTTAAAGTTTTAGTTGTGTTTCTTTAAAAGTGTAGTTAGTGTTGCTTTGTTGGTAATCTTTGATGTCGCACAATATTCAGAATAGTGTTTTGTCACTGTTTTCCGCAAGTTTCCCGTTCCCTTCCGGCAAAACACTATGTAACGGTTATTTACTTTGAAAAAGATTTGAATTTTACATTTTTGGAAGTTGGGCAAGTACTGTTTTATTAAATATTTCTGCTGTATGATAAATATTTATTTTGGCGTTACAACTATGTTAACCTATTTTTAAACTTTTTGTTTTTAAAAAATGGCAAAATTATTAAGCGTGTTACAATAGTACTAGCCTATGGCTTGAGAAAAGCTATGGGATGATAAGAGGAGGAAGTGTAAGTTTGTAGAAGAGCTGGGCATTTTTATGTAGGGTACTTTGTGGTAGGGCATGGTAGGGTATTGTTAGGGTAAAGTAGGGTAGGGTAGGGTAGGGTAAAGTAGGGTAGGGTAAGGCAGAATGAAGTAGGGCGGAGTAGGGTACGGTAGGAAAGTAAACAACGATTTCAACACTTCCTTTATGTCATTTTTTACAAATTTTGATTACGTGACGAATTTATTGTAAATTATATTATTTAAATAGTCTCAAGTTTTCAAAACTTCAATCTTCAGTATTTACAATCATATTGTCATACATATTCTATAGTAGGGTTTTTACGATCATATTATCGTATAAACTATGACTAAACAAGGGATATACACATTTACATCCTGGTTTTGTCAAAACAAATGTAACCGTTTGGCTAGTTTAATGTTTGTGACATGAGTTGGAAGTTCTCACTCAATTAATGCCATTTCTCGAATTATTGTCTACGTTTGGCATGGTATTTCAATTAACGTTTAATTTTATTATGGTACGGACATTAATGTGGGACTGTCTGATCGTATATAAGTTTTACATTGTTAACATACGTTCTTTTTGGCAAGGTTGTGTGGTTAATACGCTCAGGGTTTCGGCTTTGTTATGGGGAAAGTTTGGGGGTGGATTTTGTAAAATGTTGTTAATGGCTTAAGATACGGTGGTTAATGGCTTGGTACTTTAACATACTTCACCTTATACAGATTTTACCTGAACATAAGGTAAAGTATGTTAAAGTACAAGCCTTTAACCTCACTTTTTGAAAGTAATGTAGTAATTTCCGGATTAAGTAATTAGTTTTTTGCGTTCTGTTATTCGAGTAATTACTATTTACCGTGGAATGTTATTATACCGTGCATGCAGACTTAATTTCAAATGTACTAAAATAAGATTTCGAAGGGTTGTGGCGAGGTCCAGTTTCGGGTGGTTCCAGTATCTCGACATGCAAAGGTGCATTCTAAGCTTACTGTAAGTTGGTTTTTGAAGTTTTTAGGTATAACGTTGTGGCAAATGTAAAGTTAGGCTTAGTAAGGGCTCAAAATTAGCGTTTATTCAACTTTTGTGAAAGTTTAAACTCAAAAATATGAACTTAAGTTAACGTAAAATGCTTTTTCAGAAGTTTGCTACTGTTTTACATTGCATCGACAGCTGCAAGGTCGGTAGATCCACGTGAATTCCTTCTGGCACAACATCTGTTTCCACGAAGTAGAGAAGTTGCAGCGTTGTCCAGAAGGTCGATTGACACAAGCGAACTTGAGGATGTTGAAGAAGATGAAGAAACTGTGCTGAAGGTAAGGATTTTTGTAGTACGATGCTACAGGATATGGTACTGTAGGAATGTAATAAAGTGCTGGGTATTTTAGCTGCAATACTACAGTACATGGACTGTATTGTCATGCTATTGTATGTGGTACTGTAGTATGTGAAAACATTACATTTAGGTCTAGGTATAAAGGTTTGGGCTTTGAAGATGATTTTTTGGCTAGGGCGGGGTATTGATTTTTTTTTGACGAGGTGTTGGACCCACTATTTACTTTTCATTTTGAAATTTCAAAAAATTCGAAACTATTTTAAAAATTTTGCTTTTTAGTTACGACCAATAACTCGATCGATGATGTTGAACGACAGTCCTATGTCTCCAGCGCATCGTGAGCGATTGATGCGTCTGAATCGGCCGTATCCTTCGATGAAAGCGCCTTCGTTAATGGACCGTAACTTTGGTCAGGCGATGAAAAGTATTCTACTAAGGATTCATTAGGATTCTGATGGCTATATTGATGATGCAATTGATACAACAGATACATATTATACTACGTTTATATATAATATGTACTTTTTAAAACGCAGTACATTGTTATTGTACATTTACTATTAGGTGCCGACATAAAGAACCCGCCATACTTTTACTGTAATTCCCTGTAAAAAATGGCGGGTTCTTTATGTCGGGACCTAATACATTATATGTCATCAGCTATATATCGTATGTCTCAGATATAAAACTGTTTTACTGCACATACAACCTGTCTATCGTATGTTGTAGAACATACCCAAGTATGTGATCTTCTTCACCAAAACCAGCTTTACACCCAATATATACCGTTCCGACGTCATCATCCCCCTTAAATATAACACTTGCAGGATATTAATAACGTCTTAAACGTGATGTTATCAGTTTATGGTCAAAACAACGTGTTTATTGAATACGTTATTGTATAGAAATAAAAAGTTGACAACAGTGATATTGAACATGGATTGAAAATTGGTTAGACACACAGTGAAACTACCTTTTTTGAGCTGGATATACGACTCTATATTTTTCGTAGGCTTCTTAGGCTTATTTTTAATTAGAAAATTTTTTTTTGTTTTATCGGTGCAATATATATTGACACAATACGTTTATTGCCTCGTATTTTACCTAGTTTGGCCAAAAATGGATTCTTATTAGGTCGTTCAAATAATTCTGAGCCTTTCAAAGCAAGTTTTTATATTATTTTTTAAATAATTCTGAGCCTTTCTCAAAATAAATTTAATATCATCGTTCAAATAATTCTGAGCCCCTCTCAAAGCTAACTTTTGGGCGTAGGGGGCACATAATCATTTGAAAAACATAATATTAGAAAAGGTGCCCTCTAACATTACCCCTCCCATGATATCAAGGTGGTTTCAATTACTGTGCGGTAAAAGTTTACAAAAAGAGTATTACAATATTGATTAGAAATGCCAGTTATTATGATATAAAAAAGAATAGTGCATTTGGTACTGCGTACCAGATGTTACCCCGTCTATCTTTGGGACCAGTTGTGGGCTTGGTTGGTCCCAGACCGTTATGGAGCCCGAAAGTTACATTAGATTTACATTAAAGAGACCAAATATTGTGAAAGGTAGTATGAGATGCAGTAAGTAGCATCATAATGCATCTACCTGCTACTGGTAGATACAGTATGACGGTTTAAAAAGTACAGTAAGAAAAATGAAAAAATTTTCAAAAAATTTTTAAAAATGACAAAATGAGAAGACAAGCTACTAAGAAAGTAATATACAGTAATATAATACTCAGCAAGCTATGTAGCACGAGATCCTGGTTCCAAAACTACCACACTGAATCTAGAAGCCGGCTACATCATCCATATTCAGACAGAATCCCGCTACATCAGCTAGATTCAGGCAGAAGTCTTCTACATCAACCAAATTCAGATAGAAGCTCTCTACATAACCTAGATTCAAGCAGAAGCTCTCTACATCAACCAGATTCAGACAAAAGCCGGCTTCCTCAATTAGTTTCAGGCAGAAGCGCCGTCTCTTCCGTAGCATCGACATTACTACTAAAATGAGATCGACCAGTCATCATCTCAGTCGTATCTGTGGAAGACGTAGCTGTCATCAACCCCGGCTCCTGACTACTCGACCGTGGAATGCCTTCTGGCTTCTGTTGACGTTCCGAACGTGATGACAATTTCTTCAACTGCTCGAATGTTGGGATCAGTCCAAGAGATTGGAGCCGCCTAGCCGAGACTATTTGAATTGGGGCTGCGCGTCCTGGAACTGAGTTCTTACTGAAATGCGAAGTGAGGTTAGGTTAGTGTATTGTGGGGTATATGGAAGTGAAAGGTGATAGGATTAAGTTGAGGTAGAGGTCAAGTTATAGTAGATGGAAATTGAAAGGTATTTTGATTATATGATGTTACAAAAACTTTAAATTTAACATAAATACGTCATACTCAATATTAAGTTGTTCAAAAAATTCTGTGCCTTGTAACACTGCTAATTTGTCTTGAGATAGGGCACATAATTATTTGAAGAACCTAATATATTAGCAAAAAACGTTGATATAGCCTATTGATATAACCTTAACTTTCATAAAGCAAAGCCCATCACAACCATATAATACTAACAGATAGATAAACACCGTAATTATATACCATACACAGACCCATAAAGCATACACAAACCCATAGAGCCTCAGCTTACTGTATCAAAAGTTGTGACGACGGTGTGGTCATGGTTAATCGACCGGTCGCGGAATGAGGTGGTGACGGCTCTCGATGAGCGTTTTGGCGTGTTGGTTTGGCTGCGGTAGGGGCTGAGCTTCGCACCGGTGGAGCGTTGGACTTGATCAGGCGATGTCGACGATCTTCTAGGAACATTTCGACCAGAAGGTCGATTTTCTTGTCGATTTTTTCTACCTGAAAGTGGGTTAATATGAATGACTTTTGTTGTAGAATCAAGTTTTTTCTAGCATACTACAACGTCTTGAAAGTTAAAAAAGTTTTGTTTTTTTAAAGTTACAATATGCTACAGAACCCACCTGTCGTTCTACCTTTACCACCCTGTTAGTCAAAGTAACTTTGACTTCTTCTTTCGATCCCTGCTTCCCCACAATCTGTTCCAACTTCAGTTGAACTTGTTTAACCCTGGCTTGTAGATCAACATGTCCAGCTGAGTATTGTTCGATCACATCTTTAACATCGTATGGCTTCAAGGCTTCTTTGAACTTCCTTCTAGCTACTAATAGCTGGATTCTTCTTATTGCTCTGACAACATTCTTTAGAACTGGTGTGAACTCATCCATTGACTTTGGTTGTAGTGATGGAGGTTCTTCATCTAAAATGTATGTTTAGGTAATTGTTGTAAAATACGATTGGGACCGGTAGAATGGTCAAATAAAAATTATTATAGCACTGCAAACAAATTAAGTTTAAGCATTTTATTATATATTATTATAGTAGTATTTTCAATGATTTTTAAAAATAAACATAAAAATTCAAATTGTTTTTTAAAATTAAAAAAAATTTAAATTTAAAAAAAAGTAATTAATCACATTTTTAAATAATATAAACTCAATTTTAATGATTTTAAAATATAAACTTGATTTGTTTAGTTTTTTAGCTCTTGAGGCCCTAAAGCAATTAAGTAAAACCGTGTTAAAGTGCAATCAATTACCGCCACCCTAAACTAAAAACAGACGAACAAAGGAGGAGAACAAGCCTTAACCAAGTAGGAACGGTGCGATTCGAACAAAAAAGGAAGTAAATGTAAACGTAAAAGGAACATAACCCAGACGGACATTTGTATGAACGATACATGATGTGTTAGAGAACGTGAAAGGAGGTAACTGTTTAGAATTTTTAGGAAAAAGAAGGCAAAGAAATTGATAGGTAACGGCAATGAAAGAAGTAGGTCGTTAAAACAAGCAAAATTTTTAAACACTTTAAAGTAAGCTTTTAAGTCGAGTTTTAAGTAGTTACCAAAACTTTGCGTATCAATAGCCTAGTTTACAAACTCTTTTAGATTAGAGTATCTAAGTTCTTTCTAAACTAGTACTTGCTAAACCAGTAACACAAAAAGCGCCGAGTCAGCTTGGTCCCTCATAAAAATTCATGAAATTAATGTGTGGGACAATTTTTTTTGCAACATAGGGGGCTTCTTTTTAAATTTAGGCATTTTTGAAATTTCTAGCGGCTCCGGCTTCAATTCATTTTCAAAGTTTGGCGCTCAGCTCCAAAACCGAAGCTGATCTTTAGCCGGTTCAGAGCTATTATAATTCCGGATGCAACTACTGAGGTAAAGATCATTACTTTTTAAATCAAAAAAGTTTGCCAAAACAGCAAACAGCGGTATAAATTAATATTTTTTTTTCAAAATCGAAGTTTTTTAAATTCTCATGAACAAGAAATTATTGCTATCAAAATTCAGAAAAAAAACTCATTTTATCAAATCTTTTATGGGACAAGTCATTCAATAAAAACAAAGAAAAAAGTTAGAAATAATCAGATAGGTATGAAAACAAAGAGCTAATAGTTAGCTAGTCATGATAACAAAACATACCAAAACCATCATACATAGAAATACCACAGCAATCAAAACAAAAAAAAATCAACGACCCAAAACTCAAAAAACCAAAAAAAGTTACAGTACACCAAAACGTCCAAAGAAAGAAAAAAATACCCGTAAAAGTGTTGGCCGAAGTCCGTCTCCGCCGACTCCTGCGTCGTTGTTGTGCCGAAGCACACGCTACGAATGGAGCCCAGAAGGTTGAGAATCCCTCGTCAGTACCACTATTCGGTGCAGCTATGGCGGAATGTGCTCTTCTGGCTAACGAATGTTTTGGTGTCGAACTCTTCCGCCGATCCGGAGTCAAAAGGCCGGCCGAGGGTGGACGGTCGGGTGTCTCCACGACTTCTGAATTTAAACCTCACCTTGTAATACGAAATGTTAAAGTAAACGTGAGTGTGAATGTTAAAGGTATTGAAGAATGTTAGAGGTATTCTTGAAGAATGCTAACTGTTTTGATCAATGAACATTGAGTTTGGTGAAAGATGTTATGTTAGAAGAATGAAAATTAATTTTAAAAACGCAACGATACAGTAAGAAGACATCTGATAGTGTGCTGTTATTGACATTGATTTTAATCGTACTTGAAACAAAATTTTGATATTTTTTAAAAATTTTTAGAGAAATAAGTAAAAGAAAGTAAAAAAGAGTGCTCAAGTGTGCAAGGTTAATACAGAAATAAAGTGCTTGAAAGAAAAGAATAAATAACCATATAAAAAACGGTATTTTTATGTGATAACGTTTACTTTTGACATCTTAAATTAAAAATAAAAAAAATTTCTTTTTTTTCAAAAAAAGATTTTAAAATTTGCATAACAATTCAAATTTTATGCCAAAATTTTTTTCCATTTTTTAAACTTTTCAACTACTCTAAAATGCAGTTTTTCAAATTTTAGACTAGTATCCAAAATTTATCCCACAATTAAAAGCTTTAGAAGAGTGTTCACCTCCGCTCGGCTCCACATCGCTTCCATGCAGTAGCGGTGTACCTGGCATACTATTCTCTCTACTTCCATCTTCATCCGTATTGTTATCATTTGATTCGACTCCATTCTCCGCGACTAATCTCATCCTTTCGAACCAATCGTACAATGGTGCTATCATATAATCGCCCACCAATAACGCCGCCGGAGGGTCCGTGTCCCGCAACGAAATTGACCGCGAACCTCGGATGGCTTTGGTGAAGCGGCTTCGCCCACGTTTGTCGCCCTTCTCTCCGGGCGATGAAGATCGATACCCACTAGTGGTTGGTGGTGAGGTTGAGGGTCGATGTTGAGGTTGAGCTGACGTACTGTTGCGTGGTGGGGCTGTAAATGAGGAAGCGTACATCACAATACGATAATCAGGTAAAACGGGGAGGATTCACGCACAGTTAGGGTATCGGAAAGCGGATACACAACTACACCTACACTCGAAAATGAATATTGACGTAGAATGTTGAGGTAGAATAAAAGTTTATGACAAAATATAGTTTAAGATGACATTTTTATATTTACTTTTGAGTTGAAATGACACGGTGTTATTACAAAACTACTTTTTTAATAAAGTGGGTTTAAAAATGGCAAGAAAATCATTTAATAACTATTGGTTGGCATTACATGACTTATAGTAATATTGGCGGATTATGAACAGACTAGCCAAGACAAGACTTTAGTGATAGTGCTAAAGATACTATAAGTGGTACTTCTTAGTCTTGTAGTACTATAAAATAGCACTAAATAACGATAACCAATAACAGACTAGTACTATGAAAGAGAACTAACTAGCACTAAACCTCTCTTAAACACTTGATTAAAAGACGTATTTAAAGGATACCGCAAGATACTAATAGATTGTTCAAATAATTACGTGCTTCATCTCAAAACAAATTTTCAGAATCAGTAGCGCAGGATTATTTAAACAACCTAATAAAAGATTGAATTCTAAAAGTTTATGTCAAGATAAGATAAGTATAATATCAGCTTATAATCATTTGTATTAAAAACTTTACTTTAATTATTTTTATCATAGTATTCGTATTTTACCTCTGCTCCTTACCTAAAAACGAGTTGTTTGGCACTCTCGAGTCATCCACCACCATCGATGGCATTTGTGTTGCACTGAGCGACTTCCTCTGATGATAGTGATGTTGTTTGTGTTTACTCTTCCATGATCCCAAAGAGAAGCCCAATGCTCCCAAACTCTCGATCTCACTGATATCCGACGCCGACACAATGCTAAAATGCCTGTATGCACACGTTACTCGACGAAAACCATCCAAAAAAAAGACTATACGTTGCACAACACAACAAAAATTTTAAAAATTTAGTTTTGGCAATCATTGAAAATTTTTTTAAAAAAATTTTTGACTATGGCACTCTGCAACATCCTTTATGCTTAATATTGGTAATGTCTTTGATAAAAAAGTTATGATGAAGATAAAAAAGTCACTGCAAACCCTTTATAAAGCACGATAAGTACCACTAGCAAGCAAAATAGTACATTACATTATCCAAAACACTCAAGCAACATTCAAAGTTGTTAACGTATGTACTATGCTTCTATACGGCAGTACTGAACAGTACTACCACTGTAACATTACTTTGCAGCTCTTGACAACTCTAATACTGTATCATAGCACCATACTGCTCTCAAAAAATCACTTACTACAGTATTAATCAAAACAAGCTACATCTTATTGCACTAAAAGTACAAAATAGTACTCAAAATTTCAAAATTTTTTGCTATTATACCTAAATGCACTTCTATATGTTTAAATACTAGCACAAGCCAAACCCCACTCAAAACAAGCCAATACACCCTATTCACAACACCACAACCGCCACGACCACCTTACCTTTGATTGTCGCTGGGCTTGGGCACCAGCAGGTTCTTCATGGCCCCCAACGCGTGCAAGGTCTCGGCGGGCGGGGTCTGGGAGCGGTAGTCTGCAAATTGGCAAATGCCCAGTTTTTGGAAGAGCGATTGCAAACCCTCTGTTTCCGTGGCGTGATTGTGGTGGCGGCGGCGGGTGGAGTGTCGCAGGCGGCTGATCAGACTGTTCTGGTGCGGCATCGCGTAGCTGGGCTCGCTGGAAGTTTGGGTAACAGTTTTGTTAGGGGTTAGTGTTTAAGGCTTTGTAACTATTAAATTGTTTGAATAATTCTGTGCCCTCTTTTCAAAGCAAATTTTTGGGTTTAGGAGCACAGAATTATTTAAACAACCTAGAAGTATAACCAACCTGGACCAAGCCAAACCAAATTTAAAAAAAGCCAGGCTGAAAAATATAGGCCCGATTATCTAAACGATGTCCTTGGGAGCCCAACTTAGATCCCGCAACAAAAGATTTCACTTACGAAAAGTGAAAAACGTATCTGATGTTAAGTTATTGAAAATTTACAAAAGGCCAAGACTAGAAAATTAAACACAGCTTCTTAAAACGTCTAGTTAAGCTAGAAAAACACCCCTTTCTTATTGCCTGCCCTCTCCATCTACCTTCATAAAAACCTTTTCTACCCTTCCCAATATGACCTTCTAAACTTTCCTTCCTAAATTTAAAAAAATCACAATGATATAAACATACACGATTGGAGGTGGTGCTAGATATATTTTCCATGTCGCTAATGACCGGCTTTCTGGACAAGAGCAATAATGTCGCCAAAGACATTGTATTAACCTGGCAGCTGGTACTCGCCGTCGTATCAAATGTTTCTGACGTTGATGTTGTTGCACTTTTAACGCGAATCCACTTCCTAATATACCCTAAAATGGCACTTTAAAAATTTTAAAAAGTAAGAGGGTCTTAATATCTGTATCACTGCTCTGCAATAGTAGTTAAGTCGTATTTTACAATAACAAAATTGTAAAATTTTTTAAAATTTCAAAAAAAACTATATTACTGTACATTCTGCCACTTAAAACTTACAGCCGGCAGTGCAAAGAAAGAGATACCCATGAGAGCACAAAAAGCTCCAACAACTTTGCCAGGCCACGTCGAAGGTGTCACATCCCCATACCCTACCGTGGTCAACGTGATCACACCCCACCATAAGGCGTCGGCAAAGGTGGTGTACTTTTCGTTGTAATTTTTTTCACAAATATATACAAGAAAACTGGAGAAAATCAAGCCTAGAAAGCCTATGTACAAGGTCGTGAGCAGTTCCTGAAAAGAGTCGGTTATAGTTTGTTGAGGATAATACAGTAGATTTTGTAGGTAAAAAAGGCTACAGTAGAGCCCAGAACTGACATTTTAAAAAATTCAAAAAAAATTTTAAAAAACGAAAAAATTAATGGATCTATCAATAATTTTTAATTTTTAAAAAAATTTAGTTTAAGACTAAAGTTGTTCATTTAAGTCTAACCCCTCAAAAAAGCCAACGATAACATACCTGTCGATGTGCCCACACCACCGACCCCAGTAACTTCCAGGTGCCGGCTCTTCGGTCGATTCGCAGCATTCGAAGAATTTGGAAAAACCTCAGGCCACGGATGGCACTGGCCGCAAACACCTGAAACCATAAATCAAACAAAATATGCAAACGATGACATAAGACGTGATATTATAGGTGTTGAGTAGATGAAATGTGGTTTTGAAAAGGTTTTTGAGTATTTTAGTCGACTTATTTAAAAATTTTTTTTTAATTTTAAAATTCTAAAATAAAGAAAAAACTGCCCCAAATTTACACACGCCGTTCTTTAAACAGAAGTAAGAGCCGTGCTGAGTCCGCTTTAAAGCCTAACCCAGGCCTTACCAAGCTTTGAGCCTAGCCCGTTTTCATGTTTTCTTAGGCTAACTCGGCCTGTTTAGTCAAAAAAATTTAAACCTGGCTCAGTCTGTTTTAAAAAATTTCAAATATTAAAAAAAATTAAAAAGATTTTTGGCTTTGAGCTTACTTAGCCTATTTTCCAAGCCCATCCCGCGAGCTAGCCTAAATTTTTAGTCCGGCCCGTTTCTCATTTCTGCTAACATTTCTCAACGATACTTCTTTCTCATCATTGTCTGTCATAAAATACAATTTTAAAAGTCCAACTTCACAAAATAAAACCTTCAAAAAGCACCCACTAATTTACTGTATCATACTATGTACGTAGCAATCGTATTTTTGCAAGAACCCCCATAAAACAAAAAAACACTTCAAAATTAAAGGGTTCATGCTTTAATTTACTCGTATTATTTATCAACAAAACCCATTTTTCTCACCTGTCCGGTAGCACCCATGCACAGCACCAAAATCGACGCCGTTATGACGATTATATCTGGAAATAGTAGCTTTTGGGATTTTAGACAATAAAATTTTAAAAAATTTGTATTTTAGTAAAAATCAAACAAAACGCAATTTTAAATTAAAAAAAAATAAAAAATCAAAATTAAAAAATTTTTAAACTTAAAAATATCATTTTCTCCAATTTTAATTTTTGATGCAAAAAAATCGGCGCGTTCTCGAAAATTCAAAAAGTATGAAAAAAACTGTGTCATTCTTTTTATGACCAAAAACCAAAATTTTAAAACTTGAATTTAAAAAAATCAGTAAAAATCATTCTACCGTACCTATGATACAGTAAGCCGAAGTAGCGAATCGTATCCGTCCAGCCACTCCTCGATATCTGGACCGACAGCCGGCTGACCAAACTCGACAAACGTACTCGACGGCCAACCAAAAAACAAAAATAATTTCCTGAAAACAGTATATGATTATAAATGGCAGGTTTGCATCCATTAAACAAATGAATGTTCACAACAAGACATACGTACAATAAAAAAGTAAAAGTAATGTCGTAATTGATAAACAAGGTGTTTTTAATGTGAATGGTTTAGTGTTTTATTTAAAATTGAAGGTGCGCATAGAGTTGAGAAACGGTCCGCGCCTTGGGCCCGATCGAGCCGGTTTTTTGAATATTTTTTTCCCGCCAAGTCCATATCTCAAAAACAATAAGAGATATCAAAATTTTAAGATCATTTATAGTAGTCAGGATCATTCAAAGCACGGGGGTAGAAAAATTTCCAGACCAATTCGACCAGTAGAAAAAAAGCGCGGGAAAAAAATTTTCAAAAAACGGACCTGCTCAATCCCGGCCCGTTTCTCATCTCTAAAGGTGCGCAATCGTATTTTACAAAACAAAACTGAAAATTCACTTAAACTTGATATTTTAAATTTTCAAGGAAAATTTCCGACCTGCCCCACTCTGATTGACTTCAAACTTTTTATATAGAAAGATCATGTAAACGTAAGATCTTCAGCAAAGTACTAAACCGCGCTTTCCAAGAAATCTCGAGAAAATCGCCATCAAAAAATTACGTTTTGAATTTCCCGCGAAATTGTCATTGTGTTTCAAGCTAATAAGTTCGTCATTTTTTGACTTTTAATACTTTTTCACTGATAAACTAGTAGAAAACCTTAAAGTAGACTTACATTTTTAAATTTGTAAGCATAGCTTGTCTGGAAAGAGAGTAATAAAAGTGCTTGAAACAGAATGCCAATTTTGTCAAATTGGCGGGAAACCCAAATATTTAAAATTTAAAAACTCAAAGGGTAAAGTTTTTTATGGGTATTATTGCTGGTACAATGAAGCTATCTTATATAATATTATATATAAAAAATTTGAGTTGATTCTGAGTGAGGCAGGTTGGGTACTTTCCTTGTAAGTTTTGTAATTTTTGTAAAATACGCGTTCTGTCCACGTCAAAGCGCAAAAAATGGTGAGGAAGGGGGAGGGGGTAAAAAAAGGAGTATATTACATAAAACACACCTTCCCCAAAAAATATCTATAGAAACATCCCCGGCAAGACTAACTACTTTCCATTACTAAAAATCAATATAAAATTATAAATTGTATCCAATTAACAAAACAAAAGAGTATTCCTTCCAAAACCACTTTAATTCGAATGTAACTTACAATATAAAACAATATAACAGTAGCTTGTTCTTCGAAATCTGGCATTGTTGAAAAGACGCTTAATGCAAGGCACATTAAAACCATAACAAGACTGAAAACAAAGGTTGTCGTTAGTGATATGAACTGTAAATTTTGTAAAAGATATTTTTAAAATTGTCAGTTTTTAAAATTTATTTATTGATTTTGTAAAATACGACAAAGGAAAATACGACAAAGTCTCTACGAATTATAAAACTGTACTCACATGTACTATAACATCAAAAAATCAGCTTTTTCAAAAAATTTATAAAACCATAAAAATAAAATTTTAAAATTTCAAATCAAAAAGTCTTAAACCTACACTAATAGATGATAACTGGCAGCCCGCCAGCCTCGCGGCCGCTCCAGAAAGTTGTGCACTTTCGACTGCATCCGCCGAAACTTTTGATCCGTCCGATAGTGTTTGTAGACCAGTGGTGCGCCCACAATGGACATGTTCCGCTCCTAAAATGTCCTTTTCTAATTGACAAAAAACCAAAAATTAAAAACTTATTTATATTATTGACTTTGTGAAACAAAAAATTTAATGCTATAGTAGTATTAATAGTATCAAAAAGCTCCAAGAGATATAGTACAACTCGAGAAATAATGCTACTAGTTGAATAGCGCTTGCTATCACTTTAACGTATTTGTAACAACAGTACTATTAGGTTGTTCACTTAATTCTGCGCCTCCTCTCAAAGCAAATTTGTCGGGTAAGGAAGCGCAGAATTATGTAAACAACCTAATATTTCTCAATTATGTAAACAACCTAATATTTTTCTAGGGCCTTCAGTTGTCTCTCAAAAAGTAGTATGAAAAACGTACTGGAACTTTTTAAAATGACTATAAAGAACGTAGTACCATCTTGAAGGTACTAAAAATGACGTAGTAATAAGTTAAGTACTATCACATTTGAATATAATTTCAAAAACTAAATATTAGGTGATTGCGAAATTATCCCGCCAATTTCTCAAAAATTTTTTTAAAAATTCTGGACTGTTCTAGAACTTTCTGTTGTCAACCTATATAAAGAGATGTCCAAGCGCTAAAAAATATTGCATGTTCAAGCTTTCTATTGTTTACGGTGGTTCAAGAAATCAAGGTAAAAAATGGTCATGTTAGGGCAATGTTGCTTCGCAACTTCCGTGAGACCGGCAACGCAACAATAGCAACGAAAAAAATATGCAGTGCTGTAGGGCCTTCAGTTGTCTCTCACGACACCACAAAAATTTGTTTCCACAAAACGGTGACTTTGACATGTCCGAAAAGCTCGACCTGGTAGACCATCAGTGTTGAAGAAACCCCACCTTCTGAAGCTACTCGAAGAAGATTCCAGACAAACATGTACTCATTTGACTGTAGAGCTTCAGTGTGATCCTTCTACCATATTAACTAGACTTCACGTCCTTGCAAGATCATGGAAATATGGCCAAGAGGTTCCACATGATCTCAACAGCGACCAGCTGAAACGCTAAGTGGAAGTTGCACTTATTTGTTGATGTTCCCAAGGACTTTCATGGCTTGACAATTTGGTTACTGGGGATGAGGAGTGGGTACTGTATGTTAATCACACCAGGAAGAAACAATGACTTGGACGTGGAGAACAGGGTGTATCAACTCCAAAACCTGATCTTCACCCACTGGAGGAGATGATGCGTTTGCTGTAACCCAATGGGTATTGTACACTGGGAAATGGTACCACATGGAACTACGATACCTGTGGATGTCTACTGTAGACAAATTAAATCTGTTGCCGTTGCATTGCATGGTAAAAAAGACCGCGTCTTCTTCATTCATGATACTGCTCGCGCCTATGTGACAAAGTTAACCCAACACAAGCTGAAAAGTTTCGGCTAAGCTGAGATGCCACATGCGCTGTACTCCACTAATGTCGTGCCTTCAGGTTATAATATGTTCCACTCTTTTCAAAACCATCTGAATGCAACAAGCTTTGACAACCGAGACGACCTCAAGCGATGGTGGACTAACTTTTTCACTTCTAAAACTCCAGGTTTCTACAGAAGTTAAATCCAAATGCTGCCGAAGGGATGGCAACAGGTTGTTGATAATAATGATACATATATTTGTTAATTAGTTGTTGTTGTTTTTTTAATATTAAATTTTGGTAAAAACAAAAATTGGCGGGATAATTTCGCAATCACCTAATAAAACCCAAAAACCCGCTAAACTATCAACATAATACAAAAATGTTACCTAAAAAATTTATTTCCATAAACTGTTTAAGAATTTAAAAAAATTTAAAACCAGTCCAGCCCACTACCCACAACTTACCCCATAAGCGAGCGGCACGTCCGCAAAGGTGGTGTGTTTGGCGGCAGTTTGGCCGCTTTCCACGTCCGTTTTGTCCGGCTGGCCTGCAAACAAAATCTCATTTCAACATGAACGTATGTATTACATAGTATTCGAGTGTTACAACAGAACAGATTTATTTTTGTGCGTGCGAGAAACACCACCGAAATCCGCAAAAAGAGCCAGCCGGCTTGCGGAAGGGTTTGGCCTTAGGGTTTGTTATTGATTGAATTGGGTTTGGTAGAAGGGGTGAGGAAGAAAAATATTTTAAATAATCATTTTTTAAAACCAAACAATTATAAACTGCGCAAAAGTTGAAAGATTAAAAAGAAGGGGGATATAGGGAGGGGCGAGAGGGTTTTTTCCCTAAATTTTTTTTGAAAAAGGTTGAACAATGCCTTACCGCTTAAAAAATGCGTATGCCATTGGAAACCAAAAAAAATTTCCCCCCCCCCCTCCCCCTCTCTCTATTGAATTCAACCTTACTGTCGATAAGTTAACTGTTTGTCATCAAAAATATGCAATAAAAACTTGAAAAAATAATTTTTTTGAACCTTTTCTGGCATCTAAAAACAAAAATATGCCCTCAATCTTTCTTTACCCCCTCTCCCATCACAATCAACATTACCTACCTAAACATTCTTGAAAATATCACCCAAAATCAAATCCACCTTCGTTTACGTATTATAAATAGAAAAACCCATCAGTACCATAAACACTATAAAAAATGCCCTTTTCATTAATCTTTCCTTTCCAAAATTAAATTTCCAAAAAACGACTAAAACTTTTTGCACTTTTAGGATTGACCACTGCCGACAAGGTTGATATCTTTGGCTGTGTTTGTGCAGTGTGGTGAAATAATGCGAAGAAGACATTGAATGCATAATACAGGAAGACATTCTTGGCCGCATAAACAATCAAATTTCTGTTTGAGATTAAAGAAATTGCTACATTTTGCTAACAATTTCAACCTTTTTGGGATAATTTTTGAGTTTATAGGTTCTCAAGGTAAGTACTCTACCTGCCTAGCTCAAAAATGGGCCCACTATTTTTATAAAATTTTTTTATACCACCAATAGTACCCATAAAAACTTTTAACTTGCGCTTTTGAGTTTAAAAATTTAATTATTTAAAATTCCCGCCAAATTGGCAAATTTGGCATTGTGTTTCAAGCCCTTTTTTCATCGTTCCAGACATTCATTTAAAAGTTTCCTATCAGTATATCAAAAAAAAAAGACTAAAAGTCAAAAAATGACAAAGTTATAAGCTTGAAACACTATGCCAATTTGGCGGGAAATTCAAAACGTAGTTTTTTGTCACTAAAAAACTTCAAAAATTGCCCTAACGCAACATAAATTTAATAAACTTATTTTTTCAAAAATTATTGCCAATTTACCACTTATATTTACCCTTTCCTATACCACTACTAGTATTATATTGCCTTGGTAACTGATTTACTCCTAGTATTACTTACACGATCCAGTATTACAAAAAACATGGACACGCAAACATACGAATGTGATTGTTGTTTCTATATTAAAATTTTGAAATTTCCATTGGTTTCCTTATGACTAACAAGCTTAAATTCAAAAAAGATTCAGTTCAAAGGTAAAATACGATGTACTTTTTGATAGGATTTTTGTTACAAAAGCGGTCAAGAACAACGCCAAAAAAACCACTATAAATTACAATTTTAAAAATGTTTAAATTCTGAATTGCTATTCTAAACGGCATTAACTCAAATGCAAAATCTTTTTAGCTATACGTGCATTTTTTTTACCAATTGTCATACCTACAACAGTGTTTCAGCAATGATATCATTATTCAAAGTTTGAATTATTCAAAAACGGGTTTTGAATTCATAAAAAATTGAGCTTATAAATAAAAGAAATGTTGCGTTTTAAATATTTTTTTTAGTTTTTTAAAATGTACTTTGTGCCAAACTTTTTAAATTTTAAAAATATAAATAAAAGCTAAACTTAAGGTTTAGTGTCGATGGCAATATAAGTAGTAGCAGGTGTCTATACCTAATTCCTATCAAAAACTAATAACTTCAAGAACTATTCGGTGGTTTTAATAATTCTGCGCCCGTATCCCCAAAGATTCGCTTTAAAAAGAGAGCACAGAAATATTTGAACAACCAAATATTAACTGCTTACCATTGTAATCACTGTTGAATAACACTTTGCGGTCGTTGGCGGACGCTGGTGCGGGTGCCACATCAGCGTCCATACTCCGGCTATGACTCAGCAGGGCGGATCGTGAGGTGACGGCGGGCGTGGGAGTCTTGCGACGCAGCGAATCCACCGAAACACTGCTCAGGTTGTTCAGAGCACGGGCTGGGATCTGACGTAATGGTGGTGGGCGCGGACGACGACCTGACAATGAGTCGCGAGTTGAGGCGACAGCTGAAGTTGTCGCTTCACTACAACCACCTTGTTTGAGCTGAAAGTGGGAATTTATATTAATATACATAAACTTTCTATATTTACATGCTTATATTAATATATATATGTATCTAATACTAATATATAAACATGCTATAGTTATAATTTTTATATTAACACAGTTATACCTATAATAATATAGTTATACCTTATTTGACTCAAATTTTGTTAAAATCTAGTTAAAACAGCACTGTTTACACAACAATACTCAAAAATGTACCTAAAATAAGAGTGATATTTGACTGGATTAACTTCTTTTACAAGATTTAAAAGTAATCCAAATTGAGATTACTTTTAAAAGTGTTAACTTAAAGTATATCTACTGTCGGCACGCAATTCTAAGTGCCCTGCCATTTACAAACTGACTCCAACCTTACTTAGAAACTGTTTAAATTCAGACTATATTTCTAATTTTACTTTCAAAACATATTTTTTGAAAAAGCAAATTTAAAATGTACTTTGAAGGCTTGGATGTGATAGAATTAGGTACAATGATACAAGACATTGAATCATTAAAAACGTTGTTAAAACAAATTTGCTACTTCCTTTTCAGATCAACAACTAGCCCAGTACTGCTTACACAAAAAAGAAGCTTAAAGTTACAAGAATAAAATAAAGATTCTTAAAATTTACGTTTTGTGTAATCTTCTTAGGAATTTAACGTCAAATCCCAGCTTGTCCTACTACATAAGTTCCCCTTTAAAGGACCAGTTCGCTCATCCAAATATCATTGGCATTCTGTCGCAAAAAGCGTCGAAAATCAGGCAATTTCAATCAAAATCATTTTTCTCAAAAAACGTGAGTGGGTTGGTGTCGAAATGAATTTTATAATTTGGGACCGACCTGCTCAGGTTTTTTTCGAAAAAAATGAATGTCGAATTTTTGCGACAGAATGCCAATGATATTTGAATGGGCGAACTGGTCCTTTAAAGATACGCAAAAACTAGAAACTGTTTACAACAATACTTCTGCTTGACAAAGTCCTATATAACAAACTCTTTTTTTTACAGTGCCGGGCCGGTTTGCGAAAAAATTAAGGGCCAGCCCTGCGGCAAGCTTTAAAAGTAAGTTTGACGTGTTTCTCACCCCTACCTACAGCAAAAAAATGGACTATTAGAAAAAATAATAAAAAAATAAAAAAATTTAAATGTAAAATTTATCGTACAATTTTTGCTCAAAAATACTATAAACTGTACTCAAAATACTATAATACTATTGCTCAAAAATACTATAATACTATAAATAATATTTTAAAAACAATTGTTGGCTTCTATGTATTTTATGGTTGCATTAAAAATAATTCTTTTGTGGCTTACAGAATATACTTGATGTCGTATTCCTTGCTCAACAATTTAGTTTACTACAATTGGCAACATTATTAGTCATATCATAGTTAGAGTAGAATATCCTTAATGTTCATAAAGTAAAAAATATAATACAGTCAAAACTCTTATTTTTTAATAATATAACACTTAGATTACAGGACTAAATTACCATACAACTAGGATGTCATACAATCCAGGTATTTTTCGATAGAAGTTATATTAAAAAGGCCCAGTCAAAAAACTATGATTATAAAAAGAGTGTCATATTACTGATGGTCATTCACAGTTTTACTGCATAGAAACAAAAGTAAAAACGCTATATAAAACTCGAAAATTTTGTAAAACTTTAAAGCTGATTAACGCTTCCTGAATTTTAAAAACTCTCTTTAATACCCACAAAAACATAAAAAATAACAACTTTAGTCTAGCAAAAACACGACAAAAATGTACTTGTAAGTGCGCAAAAACAGCGGTAGAATTGGCATTCCTTAAATAAACGAAAAACATTTTTTAATGTATTCAATTAGGCCTTAATGCGCCGAAACAATGGAATTCGAAATTGAGCGTTTTGAGGTTTCTTAGACCAAACGTTGCTAAGTTACCTAAAAAAGTGTCCAAAAACCAGCTGCACATTAATGTGCACTTTCTTCGTGTATGAACAAGGTATGGGTTATTGAATTAGGACAAAAACGGGAAAAAGTGAGGGGGGGGAGAGGAGGCTGATAGTGGTAAATATGACAGAAATAAAGTGATTACAACTTATTGTAACTCAAGTTTTATAAAAATAATTTTTTGACTTTCAGTACGACCAGTACTATTTTAAAGCCCAAAATAGTACCAAAACTTCAAAATTTCAAAAAATTTTTGATCCACCTTTAATCCAATATTCCACCTAACCCAACCCTTACACCAAGTGTAATATAACACCCCTAAACTGCCGCGCCCAAAACACATTCCGGAATTCGTTGAACACATTTGACAACCCACTCTTACCCGTAATACAATGTTCAGCAAATAAAGCCAAAGACAAAGCCCCAAAAGCTAAAGGACGCGTGGCTTCGAAGCCGGATTAATAATATGGCAAAAGATCTATTACTTAATTACATCTTACCATTTTACACAAACTTTCAGCACATAGGCTTCAGAAGTATCATAGTAAAAAGAAGAAGGAAAGTAAAGGTAGGGTAGAGTAAAGCAAGGCAAAGACAGGGTAAAAGTAAGGTAAAGCGGCAGGTAAGTCAAAAGTAGACTATGACATTGTAGGGTAGCGAACAATAGGACAAAGTGAAATTGTGTAGGGTAAGATAAGGTAGGGTAAAGTAGGGTAAATTAGGGTAGGGTAGGGTAGGGTAAGGTAGAGTAGGGTAGGGTAGGGTAGGGTAGGGTAGGGTAGGGTAGGGTAGGGTAGGGTAGGGTAGGGTAGGGTAGTTTAGGGTAGTGTAGGGTAGGGTGGGGGGGGTCGGTAAAGATCAATAGGGGTCGGTGGAGGTAGACATAGAGAACGGGCCGGACCTGAGAAAAATTTAGGTTAGGCCGGGCCTAAAAAATTCCAAAAAAGCCCGGCCCGGCTCAAAATGTTCGGCTCGTTTGCACATAAAAAGATTTGGGCCGGGCCGGGCCTGAACAAAACTTAGATCGGTCCGGGCCAAAAAAATGGGCCCGACCCGTTCACCAAATTAGGGGTCGATAGGGTTCATAAAGGTAGGGTAAAAAATAAAACACCCCTCCTCCCTTCTCAATTCTAAAAATGAATAACTATTATTACACTACACTACATATCAATATAAAACAAAAACTTAATCTTGTGACGTAAATGACAACACAATAATATTACAATCCGAGTAGGTGTGAGTGTGATAACATCCTGACTGTGGTAAAAGATTAAAATAACAACCACAGTCAACCTATAACATACGTCAAAGGCTGACGTCGACGATCCTTAACTATGACATTAAGTACACACAAGAAAAGTGTAAATGTGTTTACATAGCTATTCATATGTACGAGCAAAGGAGGTTTTGAGTTTTGACATTCGAACAAGTTACTTTTTTAAAATTAAATTTTAAATCATAGAAATGAAATTTAGCCACTCCGTATTTTACATAAGCTTCAGGTACTCAAAGCCAATTTTTACCGTTTTCAAATTAAATCTTTATAGAATGGTTATAAAAATGCACTTTAAATTTTGTTATATTCATCTCGTACTCAAGACATATGGCCTATGTACTTCGAACATTTACGTTTTCGTCGATTTACATTTAATTAACATAACGTAATTACGAAACAATACGTCTCAAGAATGTAAAAGCGCAAATTTTATCTTAGATTTACTACAACATGACTTTATAATTTTAAAAAATTTCAAAAAATTTACAAAATTTACAAGCTGCGCCAAGAGTTCTGTTACAAAACTTTATCGGTCGTTTTCTCTATGTTGCAGTTAATTTTTTTATTTTTTTTTATTTTAGCTTATTCTCCGTGTTTTTTATTGTATAATAAAAGTTAAGTCATCATTGTAATTAATGGTTAAAAAATTGTAAAAATGTAAAAAATCATCTTGAAAAACTACGGTATTTAACAAAATAAGCTTTCAAAAACTAAAGTGAAATAAACAATTTTCTTTCTTTTAACACTCTTATCAACTATAATTCGTCCTTTAACACCCCTATCAACTAATTTTTCTTCTTTTATTACCCCTCCCAACAAAATGTCTTTTTTCCGCCACTCACGCCAACAAAAAACTCTTATTCTCCTACAATATTTATATATATAGTAGGCTCTTTTTATGCAAAAGATGACTAATCCACGAAAACATTAGGAAATACGGTTTGCGTATGCAAGTACGTTACATTTCCTTGCCAACTCTCGTTTTAACTCGATTAAAAATGTCGTCGAGACGAAATTATTTCAACTTTTGACGTAGTAAACAAACGTAAATAGATGGTTTTGCAACATTCTGTTTCTCTGTTTCGTACGTACAAATTAAGACATTATAGTATGTTGTAAGGTCTTAGTTTTGTATGTCACATTTAGGAACCTCGTTAGGGTGAGGGCGGGGGAGTACGGGTAAGCAAATATAATAGATGAAGGAGAGAATAAGGGTGGATCCAATAAATGAAAAATTTTTTGGCTTGCCCCCCTCCTCCAGAAAAAAAAACTGTAGGAACGTCTTTTTTCACATAGCTATTTTAGTATTCTCATATTAGGTTGTTCAAAAAATTCAGTGCCTAATCAAATGGAATTTTTAGAATTGCGGGGCACTGAATTATTTCAATAAACTAATATTATTGACAATCACTAGCATTGCCAGACCAACACAAAAAAGTCAGTGAGCAGAGAAAGTTACAGTAACCGTCAGCCAAAAAAACGTTTAAACGACCTCTCTAAGATTTTTAGCATGGACGTTAAACCTAAAAAATGCACACCTAGACACTCCCCCACCCCACCCTTTTCTAATCCTCCCCTTCAGCGCTTGCCCCCCCCTGCAAATATTCCTTCCCCCCCCCCTCCCCCAGAACGTGTCTTACCAATAATTTTTTGCCGCGACGCATTTCGTATGTAACCGGAGAATCGGCAAAGGTTTCGCACGTTTAATATCAAGGATAACATGGAAAAGCCCGCAGGCAAACCTTTTTCTGGGCCCGGTCAGGCAAATAATGAGATTTGGGCACAAAAAATGAATGAAATTCTTGGGCTTCTACCAAAAATTAAACAAGTCCTCGGGTGTTTTGCCGGGGTTTTCGTGATTTCTGAACTAATTTTAAGTGTATTTTAGTTTTGGCAAGAATAAAAATAAAAAAAAAGGTTAATTTTGAAGTTTTCAAGTTAAAAAAGATATTTTTTCTTATCAATGACAAACTAAAAAATACCTTTACCAACCCCCAAAACCCTAAAAACGCCGGTAAAGTCAACCAAACTCCATAGTAACGACCACTTTTTTGTATTTTATCAAATTTCATTTTCTTTTACGAAACCTGCCATTCTTTTTTGCACATTCTATGTTGACATAGTAAGACTTACCATCACAACTGTTTAAAGCACCGAAAATTTGGTAGCTCAACAACTTCACCTGCCCGAAATTAAATTTCTCGCGGCTTTGAAGCCATGTCGGGTAGGTTTTGACACACACCGGTTATGAGGAAAAAAGTGGTAATTGGTCTGGGAGAGTAATCTAATGCACTAAACGGTTTATGTTCTTTCAGGAATTGACGAAACAGCACGGTTGAAGTGATTGGAAAGTTAAAACTTTGCAAAAACATATTTTTAAAAATTTTAAATTAAGGCTTACAAGGAAAGTACTTAACCTGCAACTCTCAGAATTAACTCAAAATTTTTATACGGATTCTTTGTAGTGCCGTTAGTACACATAAAAAATCTTAGCTTGCGGTTTTAGGTTTTAAAATTCATATATTTAAATTTCCCGCCAATTTGGCAAATTTGGCATTGTGTTGCAAACACTTTTTTTGATGTTCCGAATAAGATAGACTTACAAATTTAAAATTGCTGGTTTATTTGAAGCTTTTCTATCCTTATATTAAAGAAAAGTAGTTAAAATTCAAAAAATGACAAAGTTAAAAGCTTGCAACACTATGCCAATGTGGCAGGAAATTCAAACCGCAATTTTTTGATCTCGATTTTTTCAAGTCTGGCCGCAAACCGCAACTTACATAAGGTCTTACATTTGTATGATCTTTCAATAGAAAAAAGTTGAACCAAACCTGAGCGTTGCAGATCGGGTACCTTCCTTGTTAGTTTAAGAATGGGCCGTTTTTTAGGCGTAACTGCTTCATTTCTATCACAAATACAAAATCAACGCTATAGTCAACTTATACAATTTTTCGATTATCACTGAAAATACCCAACCTGCCCCGCTCACAATCAGAATCATCTTAAAGTTTTAATCTAAATTTTTTGTATCACCAATAGTACTGACAGATATATTTAGCTCGTGATTTTAAGTTTTAAACTTGAAATATTAAGGTTTTTTTAAAATCTTTGTAAACAAGCTACGCTTACAAATTTCAAAATGCAAGTCAATCAGAGCGGGGCATGCTGGGTACTTTCCTTGTAAACTTTTTTAATGTTTTACTAAATCATTATAAAACCATCAAAATAAAAAAAAACTCGTATTTTCCTAAAAATGATGATTTTAGTACCAAAATATGTTTGACCCTCAAAAATATTGTTTTCCATATTGTAAAGTTACGGCCATTGCCTTGGCAATAAACAGTAGAATTGCGTGACAAAAATAACCAAATTTCAAATTTACGTTACAATCAACAGTTTGGGTTGTTTTCGAAAGTGTTTTAGTTTTTAGTCAATATTTCATTGCTTTATAGCCCAAAGTTTTATTTTTAGAACTATAGCACAGTTATAGCATAGTTATACCATATTATATATTTTATTTTACTTTAAAGTATCATAGCTATTATCTATAAAATAAAAAGGTTCTAGTACCAAGTACGTACGTTTGCACTGAAAAACAGTACAAACTGCCGTATTTTATATTAATTTTAACCCTGATAAACCAAAAATCCAAACCTCAAAACCAAACTTTAGCACGTATTAATGACCCAAGGCATCCATTCAAGAACGTCTAGGCAACCTTAAATAGTTTTGAACCATAAATGAATACATTTGGCCCAAAGTCAAGGAAAAGTATAATATAATAAACAAAAGTGCAAGACGTTTTGTCACAGACAAAAGTGCAAGACGTTTTGTCACAGATCTACAGAATCCGATATAAAAATATGCAAAAGACGATTAGACAGATATTGTAATTAAACTGTGCAATTAGAAAATTAACGTCCAAGACAAGAGACAAGCGTAATATGTTACCATATCTTCTATTTTTTCTAAATATGGTCTAAAAATATATGAGCCAACGCTAGATAGTGATATATTTAGATCTTATCACCTGAAAAAAATTTTAACAATTTATCACTTAAAAACATATCCTTCTAACACCTTATCACCTAAAACCATAACCTTTTAACACCTTATCACCTAAAACCTTTAACCTCACCTTGACAATGACATCGCTGGTGACAAAGTGCATAATGGCCTTCTGGTCGGCAACATGAAGCACGTTTTCCTGCCAATTTGGGGGTGTTTTCTCTTATCTTCTTCATTTGATGAAACGGCAAATTGCCTTCGCTTCCCTATGCTCGGACGATCCTCCGCCCCAAAAAACAATGTTTTTCATTTTTGTCGCCGGTGAAACGAAAAAAAAATTTCCCGCCGTTTTTTCGAGTAAAATTAATAAAAAAAAGTACGAAGACTTTTGCAAAAGATGACTTTGAAGACGTGCTCTGAAGACAACAATGGGTTTGGACATTCAGCATGGTAAAACACATGCGTACTCGGAATTTTTGAGTCCAAGAAAGATTGGCAGAGTTTTGGCAGAGAGCTATTACACTAAAAATGTCTAAGTTTTTCAAAAATTCGTATCAATTCTAGCTGAAGATTATAAAACCTAATTTTAAAGATATAACATTATCTAAACCAAGCAATATTTGTACCAAATTTAACATACATAACTTATAAAATGGCAGATACCACAGCTTATTAAAGTTTTGAAAAGTCATTTTTTAAATAGATTTTTTCAAAATTTTAAATTTAATTTTTTTTATATTGTGTCGTACGTAATGTCACAACAAAGTATAGATTACGCCAAGTATTTTAAGACAGGCTTTCCGCCAAATTTACCCGACTTTAACGCCGCAGTTCCCCACGGAATTGGTCGGTTAAGATACCGAGTCAGAAGCTAATTCCGAAGAACAAAAGTAATGTTTTGGAAAAGAAGATAAGTTTTCAGAATTATCTATATTCACAAGTTAAATGCGTATTTTACATCTGTCTATAATTCTAAACTTTACTTCACGAGAAAGACAATTTAAGTTCAGCCTATACTCAATTTGTTGCATTTAGTTGTCCAAATATAAATGAGCCTTTCAAAACAATTTGCTTAAGTATTCAAAAAATAAATTTATAGCTCATCCATATTTAAACAACCTTATATTATCCTTTAAAGCAAACTTTTACAATTTTCAGTACCAATAATATTAATATATTTTAATACTACAGATAAAAAAACTTCGTTAGTACTATTATTCTATAAAACTTTTCATTCAAAAATAATTTTTGCATCCTTTGACTCAAGTTTTAATGCAAAAATATGTTAATTTAAATTGTCATCCCGACTATGAATTTATAATTTCTCTTCTGAATATAACTTTCCTAATGGCTAGAGGAAACAATTGCAATCTTCCAAATGAATAATTATCTACTGTTTTACATTTTGACTTTTAAAATGAATGCAAACTTTTGAGATTAAATACTAGTCAAGATTGTACTATAAAATGTTATTTGTCTTGTACTCTTCGTCGCAGTTTGAACTTCTTTTTACGTTTTTAGGTTTTGATAGTACAAAGGTTAGTGCATGCTTTCTATAGCACTACTGGTACTAAGATCTTGTACTAAGACCAGTAGTGCTATAGAAAAGCAATAAAAACCATTGGTACTAATAGTGCTAAGTATTATGTTGTATTTAATGCTATTTACGAACTTATATTTCATAATTTATAAACTCCATGCCTACCCAAAAATAGAATGACTAATCGGTACTAGAACCTAATTTATAGTTCAAAAAGTGCTATATAATACCAAGCTTATCATATCATCCAAAACATCTAAAATTCAAAAAAATTCCAAAGATAAACTTACATCCTGAACCAACTGCTCATAGTCCTTAGTACCACGAAATGTCACAGACGCCAGTGTACTGGAATCCCCACTGTCAGCATCCAAAGCGCTTAATTCGAGTCGAAAATGAGGTGCTGCAGTCGAGGTGGTCGGTGCATTTGCATAATTGAATAGAAGAAATCTTTCTGAATCCGAACTGTCATCATCATCATAGTCTAGCTCTTCGTCAAATTCATCTTCGTCTTCTACTTGGTTTGGGTCTAGAAATTGTAAGATAAATTTAAACTTTGAAATTTTCAAAGTTTAAAATTTAAAAAAACCAGAAAAACATTTTTTTACCTTGTTATTTTTGCCGTATTTTACAAAAATTTTGATAAAAAAATTTTACAAATAGTTCAATGTAAATGCCTTCTTATATATCAAAACTCACCTAGATCTTTTTCCTTGTTCATTTCAACTCAACTGAAGTGAGTTATCCGTCAATCAACTGCTTGTTATTTGATGATATTCATCTCAACCTGTAATGTAAAATACAAAAAATAATATTATAATTAGCGATAGTATGACATCTACAAAAATCATCGCAAAAATGAAAAGCAAAGTATAAAAATAACAAAGTAAACAAAGTTAAAACAAGGTAAAACAAAGATAAATCTCGTTATAGACAGCAATACAACTCGATCCAAAAATGACTTGTTGAAGTAAAACCTACAAAAATAATAAAAATATTGATTGATTTAAAGAATTATAAAAAGTATATCTCTAGTAAATCAAATCGCTCAAGAATTTAAATTCGATCGTTATCAAGAAGCTTTGGTATAGAAGAGTTCTAAATGGTTTCTGTAGAGCTTTTAAAACTATATACAATATAATTACCCAATCATCTTCGATAATGTAAAAGTGAATTTATAGAAACTTAAAGTACGCTAAAATTGTCAAGAAGTCAAAAGTATATCAAAAGTTAATTTTTCAAAATAAGTTTAATAAAAAATTTTATATTTGGTTGTTCAAATAATTTTGAGCTCTCCAACTCTAAAAACTTTCTTTGAGAAAAAGAATAGCATTGTTTGAACAACCTAGTAGAACATCATTTTAAATCACCATGCCACTATAAACTATTAGGTTGCTTAAATAATTCTGTGCCTCCTCTCATAGCAAATTTTCCGTGCTAAAAAACACAGAACTATTTGAACAACCTAGTATGTTTTTTTCAAAAAAAAAGTAAGCAAAAACTGTAAAATGTAAGATCTTCCAGAAAACGGAACGAAATACTTTTGGCTAACACAAACAAACGGCTAAAAACAATTTGAAGTGACGCAAACTGGCATTAGTATCGTTTTGAAGATTATCGTCGCAGTCAATGTCCACAGTCTTTTCGGATAGTGAAGAAGCCAAAAGTCAAATGGACATACCATTGGTTTTGAGTTTGAATTGTAAAATACGAAGTTTCCTATATAGCTTTGAAATACAGTACAATAAGTTTAGCGTTCGAAGAGTACTATTGAGTACTAGCTAATATTATACCATTTTATAGTATAACTAAGTACTAGCACTAAATTATACATTGGTATAGTACTTAAGTACTAGCTAACATTATGCTATATGAATTCTTGTTGAATCATACTATTGATTCGTACTAATGAGTACCAGCAAGTATCGTACTATATAGCATTACCTGAGTACTATAGCACCATACTGTACTATTGTATAGTATCTATGTACTAGCTAATATTGTAACATATTATTTTAATGAAGCACTACCACAATATGATACTATATATATAATATAATAGTACCTAAAGACGCACTTAACCATCTGAAACCAATTATGACATACTCAATCTATTGTAAAATTTATACCAAGATTGGCAATAAACCGCAAAAATCTCAAAACTAATAACCTTTATTTACTCGTTATAAAGTAATGTTACGCCAAAATATCCGAAATTGACATAGCAATCGTCGTCAGCACGCAATTTCATCGAAAAATTGAATAATTGCGTTTGAATTTAAATTAATCGTTTAATTGTAAGCAAATTAGGTAGTAATATCTGGTTGTAACAAGACAGTTTTTAATCTTAAACTGTCATAACGTATTTAAACTGTCACAACCTTGTATAGACTTTTTTAAATGAGTACGTAGCGTGTACTCGATTATAGTGTAAGCACTTTCAAATCTTTAAATTGGCTAACACTAAATGTCACAGTACAAAGGGCAGAGGGTAAAAAGCAAGCAGTAGTCATGCCTAGGGACGAATATTAGGAAAGGCAAATAATAAAAACGGCAAAAAAATTAACAGTACATCATTTTTCCAAAACTTTTAAAAGTTTTGCAAAAGTACCTAACCTGTCCTACCCAGAAAAAGCCCAAAATTTTTATATGAATTCTTTGCACCACTAGTAGTACCCATAAAAAATTTTAACTAGCGCGTTTCCGTTTTAACTTTGAAATATTTGAATTTACCGCCAATTTGGCAACTTTGGCATTGTGTTTCAAACACTGTTTTCGACTTTCCAGACCAGCTACGCTTACAAATTTAAAAAATTAAGACTATTGAAAGTTTTTCTGCTAGTAAATCAGAGAAAAATGATTAAAAGTCAAAAAATGGCGAAATTATAAGCTTAAAACACAATGCCAAATTAGCGGAAAATTGAAAACGTTATTTTTTATTTCGATTTTCTCCAGATTTCCTAGAAAGCGCAATTTATTACTTTCCTGAAGGTATTAAAATTACATGATTTTAAAGATCCTAGATCTTTGAAAACTCCACCTCCCTCTATTCTACCCGCCTCAAACATGGTTTACAAAAATTTCAAAAATTAAATTTGTAATTCAATAAAAATGCAAAAAACCCATGCATCGTATTTCACCCTTAAAATTAAAACACTAACAATTACTGTTACAAAGTGTTACCTAAAAATAGAAAAGTATTCTGTGCACGTATTCAGAATATGCAGATTAAATTACGTTAAGAAAGCGGATTATGATTATTTCGTGGACTTATATATTGTTTCGGCCTTTGAAAGCATGTTTTCTTACTTTTTCGCTTAACAAGGTTAAGGTCGAATTAACGGTCTCTTAAATAGGTGTAAAAGAATGTCATATACCTATAGCAGAGGGTAAAAAAATGTCGAATACTTATCTATGTATAAAAGCATGGCTTATGTTCATATATTAGAAAATAAATGTTACACGCTTATATGTACGTGTAAAATGAACATGATTTACCTATATATGTGTAAATGACGCTACTTGGAAAACAGAACCCGCTCAAGAAAGTTTGGGTTTGGGTGTGAGAATGCGGGTTGAAACAATGATGTTTTATCTTTGTTAACCTAGGTTTCCGTTCAAAGTTTAAAACATTATTATATTAGAACATTCCATAACCTTATCATCCCACAGTCCCTTTACACATAGATTCCTAGAACGCCACTACAGAGTTTTTTAGAGGTTTTTATAGATAAATCCACCACCATTTATCCTTGACCCTAACCTCAGAAGCAGTGATGAAGTTTCACCCAAAAACCTTCAGAAGCCCACCCACATAGTAAAGCAAAACTCACTTCTACTTTTACCAAAACATAAAAACTAACTCTTACCAACATATATTGTGGTAAATCCCAAAGTCTACTTATATATTGTTGTAAATCCCTAAATCTACTTGAGTTCCAAAGTGCTACCCTAAGGTCTAAAATGACTTAATTGTTCCTTTTTTAGTTTCGGATAAGCCCAGACTCGGAAAAAGAGAATACTTTTGGCTAATTTTGCAGGTATTCATAATGAATCTCGTAAAGTTGTGGCTATTACGAAATCTTACCTATGTGTTGAATGTCCTCGGGGAAAACGAATTCGAAATTTGTGAAAAAGGTCTTTTGAAGTAGAAATTTAAAGGGATTCTTGGAGGTTTTGAGCTAATAAGTAACAATATTGGGTGCTAGATGTAACTTTTGACATAGGATAACACTAACATACGCTTTTTGAAATTTTGGGTAGTGGTACTATAAAGTACGTCATCAAAATGCCTAGTACTATAAAAATGTAAAAAAAAATTTTTAAGCCTATAACAAAATTTAAGTCTAAAATCATCATCAACTTCTCAAAATATAAATTTTAAATTTCAAAACCTTTGCAAAAACTTTCTTTCCACTTTATCGCCCAAAAATTTGCAACAAACCTCTCCCAAAATCTGGCCGGATTTCATGGAAACCAAAGTAAAAGTTACGTAGACATTACAACTGGCCAAACCCTTGACCTTTTTGCATTTAATGCCCTGAGGGCAATTTGCTATCGGATCCGTGAAGCGGAAAAATAAAGAAACCTTTAAAGAGCAAACGCGTTACTGCCTAAATTATTCATACAATCGGATTTCACGTTACTTTACTAGACTAATTTGCTATGTTATGGCATTTTAGACTACTGAATTTGAAAAAAATTTGAAATCTGAAAAAAATACTTGAAATTGAATATTTTAAAAATATTTTTTTACTGTTACGAACAGTACATGATATAAAAAATGGCATAAAATAAAAAAACATAAAATACAGTAAAAAATTTGTTACCTAGATTTAAAAAAAAACCGTAAAAATTCAAAAAAACTAAAAATTTCAAAAAATGCCCAAGGCATTCTTAGTATAACTAATCTTTTCCAAAGGTCATACGCTAGTTTCTTAAGCGATTCATTTGTCTTGTCAAAGACCCTTTGGCAAGTTTTCTGTTAACGACCGTTGCTGTGGCATATTCAAAATTTTAAAATTACTCAAACAAAAGAAACGTTTTTTTTCCAAAAACTGCAAAAAAAATGTTTTGGGTGAAACACTAAAGGTATTTTGAATTACAGTTTTTTTATTTTAATTTTTTTTAAAAAAGTTTTAAAAAAAACTTCGCTGGAGAACTAACATATTTTACAATTAATAATTAAAAATGAAATTAAAAATACATATAACCTTAAAATTTTATGATTTATGACAATATGGGTAATAGAATGAAATATATTATTGAATAAAACAACTGCAGCCTGCGCAAACTCTTACGGTTCGGCCGCACGGTGCGAAGCGCAAAGCATTTATTTAGCAGGATTTTTGGCAAAAATTGAAATACCAAGACAAAATAAAGACGTAATATGATGGTAATAAGGCATATATATGTTGTAAAAGATATGATCGATGACAGAAAATGGTCAAATGTATTTTATTTTATTATTTTTTATGTTTTTAGGCTAAAAATATATGGATAACAACGAAAAAGTAACAGAAAAGAGATGTAAAAGACAGTTTATAATGTGACAAATTTATGAAATCTTCTTACAACTAAAAAGTCAAATCGATTTTGTTTTCACAAATTAGCATGAGAAATAAAAAGTGGTCAAGTTCGTTGAAACTTTCATTTTTTTGCAATTCTTTTTGTACATCGGTGACTCATCTGGTGTACCACCCAAAATGTCATGGTCTGCTTGCACAGAATCATCTACGATTACAGAATCCGAACAGCACGAACAGCGGATTGAGAAAAATAAAACCGTGCTGATTGCCACCAACATCTTGATTGTCTTGGCCACTTCGTTTCATCTCGGTTTTAAGGTCGGTTTTTGAGTGTAATATTAGGTTTTAGCTTGAGTTTTGGGTGTTTGAAAGGAGGTAGAGTCATAGTTTATTAAAAAGAAATGACTTCAAGGTTTATAATTGTAAATTCATCAATAATTCATATTGTTTTAGTTGATCTACGCCGATTTCATTGGGGAAGGAGACGTTTTTCTGGCTACAGAAGACTTCAACAACTTAACCGATGCTGAATTAATAAAACATCATTTTACTCGCTTCGAATCGCCTTTATATACTAACCTAGCATGCATGTTTGGAGCCGCAATCGTGGTCGTCTGGTCGAAACAGTTCAGTCAATATTCACCTAGATATTGTCTTATATTCGCAATATTGGCTTCGTTGGTTGGAGCTCCATTTACGGCCGGTTGTTTCATTTGGAAACAGCATTGGATGCAGACTTTGGGGCTTTGTTTGTCAGATATTGCTTTAGTTGTGGCCGTTTGTTTTCAAGTTTGTTTGGTTCAGGACATTAGCAACACGAAAATGAAGAAAAAGTTTACTTTTTTTACTGGTAAGTTGGCTGTTTTGTTTAATTTTGTTGTAAAAAGTTGGTTGAAGACTATTTCGAGCTATTTTTTATAAAGTTACATTATAATCTTCTCTCAAAGTCTGGCTAGTTTTGAGAAATTTAAAATTTTCGAATATTTTTAGGCATTGCGTTTGCCCTAGGCACTTTTGCGGCCTGTTGTTTGTGTCTGTGCACCTTTACCTACCCAAGTCTACGTCTGTTTGTTTACCTGGCACTTTTCTCGTTCATTCTGCCAGCTATCATCTTCATCTTCAAGATACCAGATCCAATATTTCACTTGTTTGAAGAAGATTCGAATAGTTGTGTCATGGAAATCCTAAATGACTCTAATACACTAGAGAACACAAAGTTACAAGAAGCATTGGAATTCTATCATAATGGGAAGTTGACTACGGAAGAAAGCAAATTGATCTATACTAGATCGGTGGCTAAGGTAAGGAATGGCATTTGTTAGGTTCTACTTTGATATAAGGTTGTTCAAATAATTATGTGCCTCTCTCAAAGCTAATTTTTGAGGTCAGGAGGCACAGAATTATTTGAATTAATAGTTTTTGAAATTGTTTTTTAAACTCAATAAAAAACGTTTTTAAGGTTTTACATTAGTATTATTTACTATGGCCAAAAACATAAGCTTGTTATTCATTAGATGTTTTTTGCCTTAAAAAGTTGTTTTTCATTCTTTATGTTTTAAGAATGCACTTTAATATCGTCTGTTTTAATTTTTGCTTTGAAAAGTTCAAATTCGTGGCCAGATCAAAGGGACCAAGTTTTTAAAAATAGAATTTTATAAACGACCTTTTTAAAAAGCAAAAAAAGGTTTTTTATATTTATTAATTTTACTGTAGAATGATGATCTTTGGACAAAAAATGAGATAACACAGTAAGACATGGTATAATATAATATAGATCAATGTTACAAAAATATGTTGAATTTTAAAAGGTGTAAGGTCGCTTTTTTAATTTTTTATGTTAATTTTTCTTATTTAAGTATTTTAGGTTGTTCAAATAATTATGTGCTCCTTAACTTTGAATTTTGCTTTGAGAGGGAGTACAGGATTATTTGAAAATCGTAATAGTTTTTAAAAAATTAATTTAGTGTCCATACGACGGTCTTCTGCATGTTTGGATCGATAGAAATGGCTGTACGGTAGCCATTATAGCAATTGTCACTAATATGATGGGAGCTGTCTGTGATCATTTGTTTTCCTTGCGCTGGTACATTCATCATGTTTACAAGGTAGGTTTTTTACTTTTAGTTTTTACATTTTTGGTTACTTAAAGCTCGTCTGGAAGCTCCTACTACTGCTATGATAAAGGTTGACGTTTTACATTATATTGAGTGGTTTATTGTTTACTGTAACATTTTTAATTAATAGGCGAAAACATTTGGAGGATTTTAAGGATATGAAATTTCAGGACAATGAAAACCTTACCATAATCTTTACGTTGACTTTTGCTTTTCTTCTCGGCACACTATTGAGCATTCCGATTTCGTTCGTTTGCTCCAGGAGATATGTCTTTTTGGTAAGGTAGTCAATATTATTTGTTGCTGTGGTATTTAAGACTATCATATTGACTTTTTTCATTTTTTTTACATACAGTAAAATCTCTTTAGTGTAACCCTCCATAGTATGGCATTCTCTTTTTAATGACAGCTTAGTAGCACTCTTTGTAATAGAATTCTTATTAAACATCACCTGGATAGTGTGACTGTCTGAGTAGAAGTATAGGTTTTGACTAGCCTTTTGAGTATACTAAAGAGGTTTGACTGTATTACTCTAGCTGGCTTGTAAAAGTTTGATTATATATTGAGATTGTTATATAGGTTCTTTGCAATTTTTCAGACAGCCAGTATGTTGTTGTTCTTTTGCGAGGTATGTCACGGTTTGATGCATTGTACGGTGTTTGGAGAGATATTTCATCGTAAGTTTTTTTACTTTTTAAATTATGATTAACTAATGTTTCGATAGCAAATATTTTTATTGCGTAAAAAGTAATGAGCTACTGAGCTCTGTATCAGCTTTGAGAAATAGCTCGTTACTTTTTATACAATTTAATATTAAATTTTTCAAATAATTCTGTGCTTCTTCTCAAAGCAAATTTTTGGGCTTTGAGGACACAGAATTATCTGAACAACTTAAAATAATAAATAGTATGAAAATGTAGCTTTATCATCAAGTAGGTATAAAGAAAAATATGATTTTAGCCGAACATGGAAGCCTAATTGGAATGTTTTTTCGAATTTTACAAACAATCGCCTCTGGTGCAACGTTTAGTACACATGCATGGACAATCGGAGCTGAGCTGGCGCCAAGGAATATTCAGCTTATGATCACTGGTGCTGGAATCTTTGTTCGCTTTTTCTTTGCCGAACTGTTTACTATCACTCATGTGGCTTTTAGGGTGAGTTTTCGATGTTAATGTAGGCAAAAGAAAGGATTGTTTAACGCTGCACGGGGCTTACTTCAAAAAAGTTTGAGAAATTCTAAAATTTTTAAAAATAATTTTAATTTTTACGACGTAATAACTTTGCGCGTGACATTGATATCCATTTAATCAAGGTTATATAGCCATTTCAGGAATACGAAACCTATGCTCTAGCCCCGATGATATGCATAGTAACAGCTTTGGGAATAACATTGATTTCTATGTATATGCCTCAAGGCAACGGCTTCTTCAACATGTACTCGTGGTGGATCAACATTGCCGAGGACGCGCATGCTCAGACCTATTTCAACAAAAACAAATACAAACTGTATACCAACTACAATTACAACCTCGACGACCTCAAAAGCTGCAAAGAGAAACTGACACTAGCAGTGGATAAGAACAACAAGGACGAACAGCAGCTTTCCGTGCTGAGTAGTGAAAACAAGATGAGTTAATCTATTCGATTAGGCAGTGGCAATAAACTAGGTTTTATAATATTATACTAGATATGGAAGTAGGAATAACCAACTCGGCCTTAAGATACAGCCGGGCTTATCTTTTGCTAAATTAGAAACGGACAGAGGCTAAAAGTTGGGCCCCGGGCCTGGGATGGGTTTCAAAAGTTGGGTCTGGCTCGTTTCTCACTCCTGTTGGGAAGAGACTACTGTAACAGGTTTTTTATTTTTAAAACAAAACATCAATCAAAGTATGGTGTTTTTGATAAAAGATGACTTGTTTATTTGAAGATGATTATTGTAATGTTTACTATAGAACTAAAGTTGAACTATTAAGTGTTAATACAAGGAAAAGTTTAAAATTTGATAATGAAAACAACAGTTTTGTAAATAAAAGTCAATTTTATGGGAAGTTTATGGCATAGTTTATATTAATATAAGAGCTTAAAGTAGGTTAAGTTTATATGGTATAGAAAAAAATCATATCGACTATAAGAAGAAAAACTTTGTAAAAGGAAATTTTTGGTATACAATTAAACCTCTTTAGTACGACATGTCGCGACACTTAATGGGCCGAACTAAAGTGTCATTATAACCAGGGTATCATACTATCCATTTTGGTTTTTAATGTTTCTGATATCGAAGGCTTACTATTTATTTTAATATTATATGTCATTTTTTAATAATACAATACCACTGGCGAGGCAGTAACACTGTCTTATCAAAAAGCATTAATATATTCAAATTAACATAGTTATCATGACTTGTAGTCCCTTTTTGATTTGTGGCTTATAAACAGATCAAGTTTTGATTGTTTACCTTTACTTAAACTTTACTTCAAAGCGCGAGACTTTTGACATGCTTATCTCGTACCTTTATGAGATGAACTAATTTACTTAGTAAAGTCATGTTTACTTCAAAATCTACCGAATATCATGAATAAATAGAGTTAAATTAATAACAAAAATAAAATAAGATAAGTGAAAAAAATACCAAAACAATAAATACGTCATCCTCAAAAAATTACTGTACTATAAATATGATAAACATGCTTTTAAGATTACATACAGTAAGTTTTGAAATGACAAAACAAAAAAACAAGATTTGGGTAAAATTTTAAAACTCACGGTTCTCTGGTATAAAATCATAATTGAATGTTGTTTTGATCATGTTATCACAAAGACAGTCAGTACTAACTATTACTTCCTTGTTTGTCAAATTTTATCGAAAAAATGTTTAGGTGCTAGACACGGTGAAGGAATTGTGATTGTAGTTGATAAAAACTGTATTTTAGTTTTTTGTTTACTCAAAAGCTTTTCTATTGTTCTTACAGTTGATACTGTAAGGTAATTTGCTTCCTTGTTGATAGTGAGGTACTGTATTGGCTTTGACTTCTAAAAGTTTGATTTGTAGCTATTTTTTAAATTTTTTCTTGTTTTGGTAAAACAAATTTTAAAATTTGTTTTTTTTTGTCGGGCTAAAGTTGTAACGTGCTGTGCTTGAAATATAGGCTCACATCCAAACAATAATACACTGCTGCCAACTACCCTCTTATTAACTTCTTCAACCTCAAATTTCCCTATTTAAGAACCTATGATTTTTGACATTATACCTAAAAATAAAAAATTTAAAATTAAAATAAATATTTGCCTAAATGTTTTTTAAGAGTAGTACTGTTAAGAAACTTTGTACTTTTTCCGTTTTCCATGAGACACGTTTTATCAGAAAGGTTGATAAGATTGGTCAGAAGCACCTCCCACCAACGTTTGTGCACCACTGATAAGACATCTTATGACTTTGGCCTTTAAAAGAGTTCACAAATTAAGCGTGATCGAATTCGAAGCTATGTTATGGCTTTTTATTATATTTTAGGCTTATCAGAACTCGTGGTTTGAAGTTGGTTTGTGGTTAAGGGGTCTGGGTTATAAATTTTTAGTTAAATTTTAAATCTTTGGTAGTTTTAGACTTATTTTCTGAACAGAGCTTTATTAATGCTTTGTCTTACCAATTCATAATAAGATTTGATCTTTGTGCACTATGCTTTTACAACATAATATTGCATAAATTAAGCAAACCAGACGGTTTTCTTTTATCAATGTCTACATTATGCTTAGTGTTTATTATGTTCTCGTGCATGTTTTATGACCTATAAGTTTTGCCTTTTGGTGACGTCATTTCTCAAAATTTTAATTTATTAAATTTGTTCACTAAATTCTGTGCCTTCTAACCCCAAAAAAGTGCATTGAAAAGGGACATAGAACTATTTGAACAATCTAACACTTCAAAAAAAGTGAATTTTGTTTAAAAATCAATATATTTTGTGAATTTTCGTGGATGTAATAGAATATAATTTTATTTGTTTATAACACAGCTTTTAGAAAAAAAGTTGAAAATTATGACAACGATAGAACATTTCGATTTTCAATCCAAAGACACTGTTTGCAGCGATGAACATCGCCATCTTATGTCATTGTTGACCAGAAAGTCGGAACGATTTCAAGAGATTAGCAAGTTTCATTCTGTTCAAAATGTAAGGGTTCTTTATCTAGTAGAATATATTATAAGGCTCGGCCGAAGCCCGGCTCCAGTCCGGGCCGCACTGGGCAATTTTGAAAGAAGCCAAGTTGGCACATGTCGGCCCAAAGGGCCGCGGCCAAAATCAAAGCCGTAGAGGCTCAGCTTAGGTTCCGCAACGAATTTTATTTGCAAAAAGCGTAAATGGAATTTAATCTTGTTATTTTTGTTTACTTAAAAAAGAATCAATAAACTTATATATTAATAAAACTAAATTTTAGGTATCAAAAACCCAATTAGACGATGAAGACAGTTTCATGTCGGTAGTCTACAAAATTACCGTGACATTCAGCAACGATATGTCAGTCGAATATTGTTTGAAAGTGCCGACTTGTGACAAAATGAGTCATCTTGGTGTAAGTGCTCTACTACCTACGTTTTGGGTTTTTAGAGCTTCTGGTAAAACACAATGGTTTTATTCTAATTAAAAAAAATCAACTTTTTGTAAAACATTTGATTGTAACTAATGATAGCGAAAATTTTTTTTAAATTTTTGTTACATGTCATTCACTTGATATAACATGAAAACAAGTAAACACATTTTGAAACAGAAAACTTTTTTTTTCGTAATTACAAAAAGTGTCATTATCAGTAGGTTTCTATTACTTCAAACATTGCAAAACGACAATGATAAGGCTTAAATTTAATTTTTTTGTTTCTTTGTTTGTTTGGTCTGATAATTTGTCATAAGTAGACCTAAAAAGGGGTTCATTCGGCTCCCGGCTTTGGCCTCAAATTTGTGAGAGGCCGGGCCGAGACATTTGAGCCCAAGGGCCTATAGAGGCCCCTTTATAGGTATAATCATAACAATAAAAAATTTTATTTAAAAAAAATTTTAACTTTATGTCGTAGTTTAAAAAAAATACTTTTTTTTAATTTTTGAACAATTATAAACTTTTGTTTTAGAAAAACGAGTTCTACCCGATCCTGTGTCTCATTCACAACAAAGAATGCGATTTTTATGAAAAATTTCAAAAAATCGACAATCTTAATTTGCCGAAGACGTATGCCATTAAAAGATTGACTCCAGAAGACCACAATGGTTTTATTCTGATGGAATTCGTAAAAGGTCGTTGTGTACCAGTCGAAGAGTCGCTAAATCTACAACAACTTCTAAATGCTGCTGATCAAATGGCATTAGTACTAAATTACAGTATCAACGATAAAGAAAATACGGAGGATCCAGAGTATCAACAGTATAATATTGCCGGCAGCGATGCTGAAAGCTTTAAGAGTATGAAGAAGCCTATCATGGAGTATGTTGGCAGTACTGAAGGTGGGTTTGGAGGTCGTTTTACCGGCGTTAGGCGGACTTTCTTTTACTCTTTTCCTTAACAGTTTTGGGCTAAAATTACCTGCACTATTGATAACTCACAACATATTTATATTTTATTGATAACTGTGCTTTCAGAAACTAAAAATTTGAAAAATCTCATCAAAAAGCTGGGCCGAATCTTAGAAGACCCGGATTACATCGACTTTATAGTGGCAAAAGCACATTTACAGTATGGTAAGTTCAAAAATCGTATTTATGTTTCAAATATAACATTTATACTGTAATTTTAATCTTTAAAAATAATTATTTTTCGTTTTACAGAAGTCCCAAGTCTATTATGTCATGGAGATCTCTGGAGCAATAACCTCTTCTTTGATGGTGATGCTGTCAAAGCTATAATTGATTGGCAAAGCTTTAGTGCAGGTGAGAATGTAAACATTTCTGTCATTATATATTGTTTTATCAAATTTTTTTTAATTTTCTTATAGTAGGTTTAATTTTTCAGGAAACCCCACCCAAGACCTAGTCCGTCTTCTGATCCTCAATTGTTCTCCAGAAATCCGTCGAAATCACGATGAAACCGTCTACAGACGTTGTTACGACACATTGACTAAACTCCAAGGAAAACCTTTATCATTCACTTTTGAAAACTTTTTGAGGTCAGCCCGAGTTCATTACTTGTATCAAATCTACCTTGGTTTATATATATTGACTCACAAGTACAGTAAGACTAGTAAAGAGCTTCAACGGAAAGTATTTATCGACCGAATGGAACAGGGTATTATCGACAGTTTGGCGTTGATAGAGAGTGATGAGCAGCTGAGGGCGTTTATGTAAAGTCCAGAAGCTTTGTCTTCAGAAGGCTGTGCTATCATCTTCAGAAAATCAGATGATAATGATGATACTAACTCAGGATGTAAAATTGGTTTTTTTGAGATTATAATATGTTATACATAGTTAGGAGATACTCTGTTGTAAATACATAGCTAAAAGCTACCTAGCTATGTATAACATAGAAAATAGACAAATATTTACAATTTGAATATGTTGTTATTGTTAATAAAGCTTAGAATATTTATGACAATTTATTTTTGGCTAGTACTTCTACAGTTATTGCATCATCTACTACATTCAAAAATTAAAAATGTAAATATGCATTATAGTACTATAATGTATATTTACAGTACTTGTCTGACATTTACAAATTAAATAGTACTAACTCACACCCATTTAAGCTAATTTACAGCTCCACTTTTTACAAAACAGTAGCTTGGTATTAACCATTAATATTAAGTTAAAACCAGTTTTTTACTTTTGTTTATTTGTAAATAACACACGTCAAGAATGTAGTCTCTGAACAGTGGGAATACAAAGCCATGCTGTCTTAGCAGACAGTGCTAACAAAGTCTTAATTAACTTTGTTAAAAATACGTCAAGAAAAACAAATCGTATGAACTTTTTAATTAACACTGCTGTAAAAGATCGTTCTTTCAGTTTGAAAAGCAGTTTGAATTTTGAAAATTATGAGTTGGTGAGCCTTTCTTATTACAGTACTATTAAATTTTGAAAATTTTTTGAAAAAGTTATTAATTTCTTCAAATAATTCTGTGCTCATAACCCTTAAAGTTGCTTGAAGAATAGGCACAGAATTTTTTGAACAATTTAATATAATCTTAAAAAATACTTACTTAGTAAGTTCATACTGTTAGCTATTAGTACAAAACAGGGTTTTAATTTGTTTTTAACTTTTTTTTGTAACTTTAACTCTTTAAAGTGAAAGATTATATCTTGACTTATTACGATACACGATATGTAGCACATGTTTTGGCCTATATTGTGTATTGTTTTAAAGTTTATGTCGTATTATGTATAATGCTTATTTTAATGTATGCACTTTAAACCATGCTTTAACATAACAGTTTATCTAAGTATTTACGTACAGAATGAAACTCTATATAATGAATTGCTCAAAATATGTTTATGTATATTAAAATCTGTTTGTTATAAAAAAGTTTTGTTATACATGAGTTTTAAATAAGCTGAGCAGTGTTGGCTGGAAATTTTAAATTTGATTGTTGCATGGAATTTTTGTAATAGAAGAGTTGGATATAAGCGAGTAATAAGCCATTTCATTACTTTTCCTTTCTTTATAACTTTTCAACATTAAATCTTGTGCCTATTTCACTATAATTTTTGTTCATTGTTTTAAAAAAGTGTGCCTATTTCAATAACCACAAGTATAAGTTTTGTTGCTAATGAAATACGTATTCTACTAACAAATTTTTACTATAACTTCAAATTTGTAGTGTAAAATAGAAAGTTCTTACTCTCAATTGCACGAATTGTATTTTAATATTACGAAGTAACGTATCCGGTACAATTTTATTTTAATACTTTGTAACTATAATCTGTATAAGATATTTGAATATTATGAAAATTACATGACAGTTAGTACTTAACATGTTAAGGTCAAGTTTAAACTTACAATAAAGTACCGTAGCATTATAAATCACTATTCTTTTTGTATTGTCACAAAAACTACAGTTTAACATTGAAAGTAATTTAATAATATAGTATGTACATTACAGTGAAACGTGATCTAAAGTATTAGATTTTATGATCACACATTATTACTACATGTTAGAAATTACGTGTATACACATTATTCTGATACTTATAATAACGTGGTAAATATGATAGTTAGCTTGATTTTATTTAATTGCATTTTCGTTTTTAGTACATACATATATATCTGTCTGACAAATAGTATTTTTGATATAATATGTTATATTTTACGCTAATTAGCTATTTTAACATAACTAACAAAATAATAACATATATAAAGTAATGTTACCGTGTCGGCGTTAGGCTCTACTACATTTACACTGTGTAATCAGTTCATAGCGTATAATCACTACCGTTTTATCAATGTATAATTATGATCTTTTATATTATTATATATAGGTTTTACAACATAGTACTTAAGACCCACAAAGCATGATATGTAAATATTGTGTTCTGAAATAAGTGCTGAGATAGTACTGCTAAACTCCTTGTGATTTGTTTTTTATTGTTATTGTATCAAATTATTCAAGTTACAAATAGAATATGGATAGCATTGTAATTGGATTGACGTATTTGATATTATCAATTGTACTGATATTTTTACATTTTTGTTGCATGAGAGTAAGTGCGTATTACATATGTTGACAAAATAATAAAATTAATTATTGAAAAGATTTTTTAATTTTAAGTATTATATGTTTTGTAGTATAGGTTTTTACTTCGTATTTTACAATTTTTAAATCTTTTTTTCTTCTGTTATAAGGTTTTTTACGTTGATTTTAACTTTTAAATAGCTATTTTACTACTGTCGATCGTACTGGCATATGATGTGCTATAAGATTCTATTCTGTATGAGTATCACCGACCTAATACAACTGTTTGGTCATGTCTATACGGGTATCTTGTGCATTTCCAATCAACGGCCATCTTATTGGAGAGAAAAGGTAAGGTAACCATTTTCTTGTGTTTCTTATTCTTCTTGTTCTTGTTCTTCTTTTTCTTCTTCTGGTTTTTCTTCTTCGTCTTCTTCTTCTTCTTCTTCTTCTTCTTCTTCTTCTTCTTCTTCTTCTTCTTCTTCTTCCTCTTTTGGCTAAACTACGGTACTGTTACTAATACAATATCAAAATTTAAACTTTATTTTTAAAATTTTAGATAATTGGAGGTGCAGCGAACGCCGCATGGTGCGTTATGTTGAGTCAGACCATGGTGTTGGCTTTAAATCGTTGGAGTGTCATTGTCAAACACTTTCACAGCCGTGGTAAACATAAGAAGTACACTTTTATGGTATGAACTTACGTTCACATAATCTTTTAGGAATAACTGAGACTATATTATATACATATTAAAATAGCATTTTCTGACTCTTGAACTTGAAATTTAAAACATTTTGTTTTATGAACTAAAATACGACGTAATTTTAAAAATTAAAAAAAAACTTTAAAACTAAATTTTGGTACTAAATAATATGTCTTTTTAGTTCAACACAATAGCTACATACGGCTACGGAGCTTCTTTTATGATCGTATATCTGACTCCTTACTGTGGACTCAAATTTGTTTCGCCAGGCTATTACTGGGAGTACTCGGACGATGCTTGGAGTTTAATTGTTAGTGAAGTTGAGTTTTATTCAACCTTAATTATCATATTGATTACTCTTTTTGCGTATGTTTGGATCGTACTTCACATTGTTAATCAGGTAGGTTCTTATTGTGAATAGTCTTTGTTAAATTACAGTTTTACACTGTAGATTTATGTAGTTGTGTTACATTATTGATTTGTGTAGTCATTTTAGCTTGTTCGAATAATTGTAGGCCCTATTTTTAAACCAATTTTTTAGGCTAGGGCACATAAACAACCCAATAGATTCATGCACCCAATATCTGACATATTATTTTTAAAATTTCAGAAAAACAAAATAATTGACATAGCCAATGCCCCAGCCTCAAAGCAAGAATACAAAATCCTGTTTCAAGGAATATTCTTGTTCTTGTTCGCTTGTTTTCAAATTATAATTTGGCATTGTGGAGACATACTGCCATCTCCATTGAACGGAAAATACACAAATGCTGGCATTCATACAGGATGGGTACTGTTCTGTGGAGTTACACCTATTCTCAACCTTATAATGAACAAGTAAGTTGTCTAAGTGTTTTTAATGAGCAGCAAATAAGTTGAAGAAGTGTTACTGCTTATAAGTTTTGTATAACGAACAATTTTTAAATTTATAAGTAATTTGATATATAATATGAGAGTCCTACTGTAGACGGAACTGGTAGTGTGTAGAAAATGAAAAATATTTTTTTATGGCATTTACTTCCTTTTTCAATTTTTCAAAAGTACAAGCCAAATTTTATTTTTTTATTTTTAGAGACCTCAGAACCCGTGTGCTACATGACTTGAAACTTCCACAACAAGCTACGCATTCTGATTTCTTCTCAACTAAAGTGCCTTACTTTTCCAAAACTAGTGGGGCATATCTTCGATGATCAAATGAAGTGATACTTTTTCTGACTTTATAATTTATTTAATGTTTGTTACTGTACTTCATCTGTCTTCGGTTACTATAATTTATCTTTTTGCCCTAAAATCTTTGTCTTATTTTACTTTTACTTTCACTCAGGTGGCAAAGTGCATCAACAACACACAGCAGGAGTATAATTCTTTGTAATAAACAAGATAATTTTATATTATATTAAAGGTTACCATGTTATTTTGGTTGTTATTTTCTAAATTGCTTATTACTGTACATAAATAAAATTACTGAGAATGATCTTATAGTATGATATTATAGTATAAAAATTAATAATTAACTTGTATAAGTATAAAATAATAAATTAAAGTGCAAAAAAACGCCTTTTTAATTTTTTTTTACTCTGTATTATATTATACTTTCCAGGTGTTATTTGGTATGGCTTTCAGATACAGTAAAACTACTGTATACTATTTAAAACTCCTTCATAATGAACAATTTAAAATATTCGAGTAATTCAAAGTTCTATCATAACTAAAAACCAAACTAAATAATACCTAGACACACCACAAAACGATGTTTACAAGTTACATTACATTCAACACCATAGTTAACAAACAAAATTACAGTACATGGTAATTAGAAAGTCGCAAAACATATCATCTTTCCTTGTCGTCATTACCTTTACTTCAACACAAATGTAACACCTGAATACAAAACATTTGGACATCTCTTCTAATTGTAATATTCACGTTCTATTAAACCACAAGTACTATATCTCAATGAAGTAAGGTTATATTGTAGAGTTTGCACTGTCATGGAGCATTACATTGTCGGATTTAGCTATTTTATTGTGGCACTAATTTTTATGTTTTTACATGTTTGTTGTTTGAATGTAAGGATATACTATAATATATATTATATTATGTTAAGCTTTTGTTATAGACCGTTATGTGTTACATTTTATAAGAAACTTTAAGTTACTGAAAACGCTCCGTATAGTATAGTAATTTTGAAACACTTCTTTATAGTATAGTAATTGATTTAAAAAATGTTGAAATTACAGTAACTTTTTAGGTTTTTTACAATTGTAAACGCTACTGGAAGGTAATGTGCTACAAAATTTTGTTTTGTATGGGTATTACAGACTTCATCCAACTTTTCGGACATGTCTATACAGGTCTTCTCTGCATACTTCAGCCAGAACCAAATACGTTAGATCAAAAAGTAAGCCACCAAAGTTTTTATGGTCAAATGAGTTTTTATCACTAAATATTACACTTTATGGCTCTAGACTTGGCTCTAGAGCCACTTTCTGGAGCGGACTGGACCTGATTTCAAAAATAACCGGACCAAAACTAAAAAAATTGTCTTTTTTTTGTCAGCCAAAACGGACTTTAAACTATAGCCCAGTCCAAAAGCCAGACTAAAAAAACTAAGCTTCACTCGGCCTTTTTACAAAAATCTAGCTACTCCATAAAAATTTACTAAAAGTCACGTTTATAACATTTTTCAATTTTAGATAATAGGCAGCGCTGCCAACGCAGCTTGGTGTGTTATGACAGCTCAAACGATGATGTTGGCATTGAATCGTTGGACTGTACTTGTTAGAAGGGTCAACCGGAATGAATATGAAACTAGGAAGTCATTTGTGGTACGTGTATCTTGAGTTTATTATGAAATTTTATACCCGAAAAAGCATTTTTTGCTAAAATGTAGAAACTTTGTACTTTTAACAAGGAAAGTACCCTACTTGCCTCGCTCAGAATCGGCTCAAATTTTTTCTATGAATTTTTTGTACCACCAATAGTACCCATGAAGAATTTTAGCTCGCGCTTTTGAGTTTTAAATTTAAATTATTTGGGTTTCCTGCCAATTTGACAAATTTGGCATTGTGTTTCACTTTTTTCGGGCTTTCCAGACAAGATACGCTTACAAATTTAAAAATGTAGGTTCATTTAAAGGTTTTCTACTAGTATATCAAAGAAAAATTATTAAAAGTCAAAAAATGACAAAGTTACAAGCTTGAAACACAATGCCAAGTTGGCGGGAAATTCAAAATGTCATTTTTTAATCTCGATTTTCTCGGGATTTCCTGGAAAGCGCGATTTAGTACTTTGCTGAAGACCTTATATTTACATGATCTTTCTATATAAAAATTTTGAAGTCAATCAGAGCGGGGCAGGTCGGGCACTTTCCTTGTAAGTATAAATTTTGTACCTAAAAGTATGGTTTTGTATGCAAATTTTGACAGTTTTGCTAAAACTTGATACTATGAACTTAAATTGTATTTTTAAAATAGTTTGTAGGTAATGTAATCTGTTATATATTTTATAAGTATAATTATTGTTCTCCTTACAAATTTGAAATTTCTAAATTTTAAAAAGTTTAAAAGTTTAAGTTGTAACAAAATTTCAATTTTTTAATTTTATATTTAGTGTTAAAGCTACAAGTAATTTTGTAACATAATACGAATAAGCGGTGCTTTAAAGTACTTAACTAAAATACAGTGTAGTATCATCATGAAGTGTAATAATATTAGGTTGTTCAAATGATTCCTAATCTCAAAAACTTGCTTTGAGAGTGGCTACAGAATTATTTGATTAACTTAATATGACCTTGTACTACAGAACTACAGTATCAAAAAATGAGAATTGAAATAAGATGTCAAATTTTAAAATACAGTATCAAAAGCATGAGCACTCAAATTAGATTCTAAATTTCAGATATTCGTAGCTATAACATACGGATATGGTGGTTTTTTCATGGCAACGTACATTACTCCTTACTGCGGGTTAGAGTTTGTCCGTGAAGGCTACTATTGGGAATACAACCATGAGTTATGGAGTGATACGGTATCTACTGTAGAATTTTATACTACTGTACCTATCATGACTGTAGCTTTTCTGGCTTACATATGGATCGTTGTGTCTTTGATTTATCAGGTAAAGATTACTGTAAAAATAGCGTTTATGTTCTTATAGTTAGAGCCAGACTTTAAGTAGTGAAGAAGATAGTAAACCTTCCTCCCCTCTTCACAAAAGTATTTTTTTCATGTACTTTTCTGATAACAGTACTCATCTCACATTTTAAAGTACAGTAACTAATATATCCTTTTAGAAAAACAACTTGACAATAAAAGCTAAGACTTCGAATCAAGAATATAAAATACTGTTCCAAGGTATACTACTGTTTCTATACGCTACATTAGAAATCGTAATGTGGCATTATGGAGATTACCTTTTACCTAAGGCTCTAAATGGCAGATACACAAACGTAGCGATTCAACTAGCCTGGTCTGGCTTCTGTGGCTTAACTCCAATTCTTAACCTTATTATGAATAGGTAAACATTATTTTAGGTATTAAATTGAATGGCCATATAATATTAAGTTTGACAGTGATATATAGCTATATAAGATTCTTTTATCAAAATGTTGTAAAGTTTCAAATTACCATCCAACATATACTGTTTTGCTTCGATAACCATCGTATTTTAACATAAACTCTCGTAACACATAAATTTCAGAGACTTGCGAAGTAGAGTATGGACTAGTTTAGGTGGTACCCCAAGAAGCAAATCAGAAGTCACAATAAGAGTGTCATCCTTTACAAAGCCTTATAGTAAATCCAAATCACAAGTTTGACTTTGGAGTTTTAAAAAAATATTATTGAAATAAAAACTTTTTTATTTTTTAATTGATTTTTATTCGTTTTTTTTAATTGCTTTAAAAACATGACATGATTTGCCTAATTATATAGTATAGTTCGTAAGAACTAATCGTTTTCAGAAATCAAAAAGAGTTTCCCGCTAATTTGGCATTGTGTTTCAAACACTTTTTTTGACTGTCCAGACAAGCGAAGCTTACAAATTTTAAACTCTAATTTCGTCTAAAGCTTTTCTACTAGTATATCAAAGAAAACTAATTGAAGTCAGAAAAAAATGAAAAAATTATAAACTTGAAACATTATGCAAATTTGGCGGAAAATTCAAAACGTAATTTTTGTTCTCGGTTTTCTTGAGATTGACTAGAAAGCGCGGTCTACTACTTTGTTACAAGTTTTATATTTACATGATCTTTCTATATAAAAAGACTTTAATTCAATCAAAATAGGGCAGGTCAGGCACCTTTTGTTAAAACAGAGAAAAAGAAAAATTTTACATTAAAGTAACATACAATATTGTACTTTCCTATAAAAGATCAAAAAGCAAAAAAAAGTGAAAAACTTTAAGGTACAGATAACCTTTTTTTTATTAACCAGTAGGTTTAGTTGGGTTGTTTGTTATGATTAGTCATGAACAAAAAGTTATTTATCTTTTATGCATACCATAATTTTCTAAAAAAACAAAATAACTGTGATTATACTACAGCAAATAACTGTTTTTAATGTGCGTTATTACATTTAGATAAAGGCAGAAATGCCACCTCAGAATAAGCTATGTGTAAAAAGAAGTAAATTTTGCAATGGAACAGTAAGTTATAGGCTTGATTTATATGATTCCAGCGTTTACATTCATTGTTCTTCATATTTGCTGCTTATATGTGAGTTTTATAGGAATATAAATACAGTGGATGTCCTGTATAACGAAACTCCTTTATAACGAAGAAATTTCAAGTCCCCGAGCGATTCGTTATACAGGAGTTCCACTGTAGTTATAGTATCAAAGCCGTACCGGTGGCTGAAGCACAATCTCAATTTTTATATTTACAGATTTTCTTTACTTCTCCACGTTACTGGAAGCTAATGTGCTACAAGATTCTGTTTTGTATGAGTATCACTGACATTCTCCAACTACAAAGTCATTTCTTCACGGGTGTTCTTTGCTTTTTTACTTTGGAACCATCGTTTTGGATTGGAAAGGTATTATAACATTGTACTTTACAATTTGATGTTCATTTTAGGTTATTGCTGCTATTGGCAACTCTGCATGGTCAGCGATGATAGCACAGACATTGATGTTGGCTTTGAACCGATGGAACGTTCTGGTACGAAATTCACAGCAAACCAATGAAGAAACTAAACGTTCTTTTATTGTAAGTACTATTTTAAGCTCCTTTATAGTATGTACTAGTTATGAATGTTGTACTATATAGTCAGACAGTATTGTACTATATTGGGCCGTTCAAATAACTCTGTGCTCCCTAGTCCGACAAATTTGCCTTGACAGGGGCACAAAATTAATCGAGAAACCTAATATATAATACTACAATACAGACTGATACTAGATAGTACAAATTTTTTTGCCAAAAAGATAGTATCCATAAGTACAACACTCTTTTAAGTACAGTATCTTTCTAGCTTAAATGTTGACATTTAGATTTTTCTTGCAATAACATATGGTTACGGTAGTCTTTATCTTCTGTCATATCTGTCACCCTACTGTAGTATAATCTTCAAAATACAACAGTTTAACTGGGCCTATTCTAACGAATCAATGAGCGATACTGTAGCCTATTCAGAATTATGTGGCACTACACTAATGATTACTGTAATGTTGTTTCTGTATATTTGGATCGTGGTTTCTCTGGTTTACCAGGTAAAACTTGTAATTATCTTCTGGTTTATCAAATAAAACATATAATTATTGAAGTTTTACGCATTTGTTTTATCACTTTATTACATTTTTAACACTCCTCACCTTCTTACTTTTAATATTTTAAAACTTTTTAAAACTTTGCAGAAGACCAATATTTTGAAATCGATAGCAACTGCCTGGAGGGAATACAAGATCTTGTTCCAAGGTATATCAATATTCCTGTTCGCCATGTTTATCAACATTTTGTGGCATTATTCTACTATCGTTCTTCCCCACGCCTTAATTGGTCGATACACCAGCTCGTTCATTCACTTTGGCTGGATTTGTTTTTCGGGTATGACCCCTGTCATGAATATTATAATGAATAGGTAAGTGGTCAAGAAAGTCGCTATTTCAAAAAAAATCAAGCCTTTTGTTGAGAGAACTGCGCTGGGTCCCTGAAGCCGAATTTTGAACTTGGCTCACGAAGCTGCATGCTGCGGTCCACCCAAAACTAGACAGGCCGGGTCTAGCGGGCCTCTTTTCAAATCTAGTCTCCTCTTAATTTTCAAAAAATAGTTTATCAGCACTAGATAGTACTTTTAGTAAATATTTTTGAGATTCATATAGCTTTTTTTCAGAGACTTCAGGAAACAAATCCTTCAGATGGTCTCAAGAAGAGATAACACAAACCAAGTGCAAGCAATTTCAAAAACTAGCTCTTTTTGTAGTCATACCTAATATATTGTACATAATATGTTATTCAGCTTGAGTTCAACTCAAATTTTTGACGGTTCACCTGCAAAAATGAATTTTAAAGAAATTTTAAATAAATCTCAATTTACATATTTCATAAAACCTTACTGTGCACGTTAAACAACATCATTCAAAAAGGTTATTAAGCTATTTTTAAAGTTTAAAAACATTACAAAACTTAATAGGTATTGTTGTTGTTTTGTTTTTTGTCATATACCATAGTTTTATTAGTAATAGCTTCAAAGAACAACTTATTTTGCTAACAACATTAATTGTAACACCTGCCAAGTTTTATTAGATTACTACAGCAATATAGTAAATGAATGATACTTTTAAGGTTGAGCTTTAATAAATAAAAATCAGCTAAGAGCGGGTGATAATTCTTATAATACTAACATGGAAAACTACATTATTGGATTTGGCTATGTCATCCCATCGATCACTTTTATTTTTCTACATATTTGTTGTTTATATGTGAGTCGATACATATTTAAAACTTTTAAAACTTTTTTGTATTGATGGTGCACCATAGTATTGCTAGTGCACCTTAAATCCTATAATAAGCCTTCAAAGCCACCATAAGCCTTCAGAATCATATAACAAATTGAAATCGTTATCTACTGATATTTCAGGTCTTCTTTACTTGTAAAAGCTACTGGAAGTTAATGTGTTACAAAATACTGTTCTGTATGGGAATATCAGACATGCTCCAACTGTACCAAAACTTGTACATAGGCCTGCTTTGTATATTCAAACAAACACCATCTTATTGGGGTGGAAATGTAAGAACAGTCACTTTTGACCTTATTTAGTGTTTTATTTAGCCCTAGCCTAGAGTTCTAGTCCTAGTCCTAGCTTAGAGCCCTAGCCCAGAACCCTAGCCGAGAGCCCTTTCCTAGAGTTCTGGCTCAAAGCCCTAGTCCAGAGCCCTAACATAACCCTAGCCTAGAACCCTAGAACTAAAGCTGGCCCTAGTCCTAGCTAGCCCTGGCCCTAAGCCTAGCCCTAGTTCCTAGCACTGTCCTTATATATAAAGTAATGTTAAGTACTAAACAAGGTTTGAATGAATTACTTTATATTATTATAGATTGTGACCGGTATCGGAAACGCTGGGTGGTCAGCAATCATACCACAAATATTAATGTTGGCTTTGAATCGATGGAACGTGCTTGTTCGAAACATACCTAACGAAAGGTATGAAAAGACGCATTCTTTCATTGTAAGTGCTAAAAAGAATAATATACGTAAAATTACTAGAGTAATTTAAGGTTTTATTGGATTGAACAATACGATTTATAATCTTAAAATTATTGTCATTCTTCTATCAAACGTATTTTAGCCGTAAAAAACCAAATATTTTAGAGTTTCCTTGTCATATCTTACAGTTATGCTGCTGCTTGGCTTCTATGGTTTCTTAGTCCATACTGCTCGTTAGCTTATACCACTAAAACCAATCGCTATTCAGCTCAACCAAATGAGTCCTGGGGTTTGTTTGACCAAGGCTTTTCTTGTTCAGGTAAAGGTTTTTAATTAGTGCCTAATCAACAAGAAAAGTTCAAAATTATAAAGGAAAATTGTAAAGAAAACCTATTGTTTCAAATATAAAAAATTTTTAAATTTTTAGACGTTTGGGGCTTCACCGTAATCAATATTGAACTGTCTCAAACAATTCCGATGCTCACTTTTATGTTGTTGCTATACATTTGGATTGCCATTTCTCTACTTTATCAGGTAAAAATAACTGCTTTTATTCTAGTTTGCCATTAGAACAATGTCATGGTAAGACTAGATTTAAAGGGCCCTTAACATTAGAGAGCAAAATTATAACTATAAATCAGTAACCCCCTCTCCCCGAAAAAAAATTTTCGAAAAAAGTTAAACGTGGTCCCCCTGTGAATTTTTCGACCCCCTCCCCCTGACCAAAAGACCCCGCCCGGCCCTGATTGAAAGCATCTGTAATCCGTTCGAAAAATAAAAAATTTCAAATTTTGTCATTTTAGAAAACAAGCCTTTTAAAAGCAACACGCAATGCCTGGAGGGAATACAAAATTCTGATTCAAGGTGTGGCGGTATTCTTATACGCTGTGGTTGAGACTATACTATGGCATTACTCTGATATCCTTCTTCCTAACTTTTTGATTGGTGAATATACCAGCCCGGCCATCAATATTGGCTGGATCTTCTTTTGTGGAATGACTCCTATTATGAATCTTGTCATGAATAGGTAAGTCTTTCAACACTGTACCAAGGAACTAGTCATGTCTGATTCTATTAGGCTTGAGTTGTTAATATAAAAAAGTCCGGCCAAATGATAAGATTAAGGTCAAAAAACACCCCAGAGATCCGTATTTTAAAACTACACGGAGTTTTTAATGCCTAAATAAATAAATCATTTTTCTACTTTAGTGACCTCAGAGAAAGACTACGACGTATATTTACAAAACATCGTGACAAAGCAGGCACAAAAGTAAAGGTACTATCAAGCATTAGAGTTTGCGACAGCATACCCAACACACATGGTTCTAATCATACCTATTAACCTATCCCTAATCTTTAACAATTGTAGAAATAAAACAAAGTATAAATGTTATAGTACTACCATAAAAGATTGTTTCAATATTTTATTATACGACATACATCCTTACAAATTTTCAATGCCTTATTATATGTACTTAAACCCAAATCAACTTAACAAGACTGTTCTACGTCGAATATACACAAATTAAATTAGCAGTTTATGTCAAAAAAGCATGTGCCAAACCGCCATGTTCCTCAACTAATAAGGTATACTTTTAAGCAGTAGACTATAACTTGTAGTAGAAGTAAATACTATTTACTTGGCTTTTGATATCTTGCTGTTTACTTCAGTAAATCTAATTCTCATAATTTATTTTACTAAAACAAACAAGGCAATGTGCTAATATTAGTAAAGTTATTCTATATTAGACTGCCTACTTATGGAAAACTATATTATTGGTCTGAGTTACATTATTCCTTCAGTAATATTGATTTTTCTGCATATATGCTGTATAAGAGTAAGTTATTGAGTTTTAGAGTTAAAAACCTTTAAAATATTACTTTTCTAATTAATATACAACATATTTTTCTAGACGGTATAGTCATTTTTTAATCGAACATAATTTAAATTTGATCATAGTAATGATAAGAATGGTGTAAATGAATTAAATACGTTTTATAATATCCTTATTCTAGGTATTTTACGCCTCTAAACGCTATTGGAAAATCATGTGCTACAAAATACTACTGTGTATGAGCATAACAGACATCATTCAACTCTTTGGCCATGTATATACTGGCTACCTAGCTATATCGAAAGAAGCTACATGGTATTGGGTTGAAGTTGTAAGTAAAATCATAGAAAGATGTTGGTACATAAAAAAATATGAGTTTCTGAGTTTTTTATGTACCCTTATGCTTTAAGCCGAAAAAATTTAAGCCTACAAACCGCCCAAAAATTAAATCTAAACTAACTGCTAAAGACCTATAAATAGTACGAAGACAATGACAACTATCAGATGGTTGAAATAACTCTGACTCTATGCCTCCCGCCCTGAAAATTTGCTTTGAAAAGGGGCACAGAAATACTTAAACAACCCACTATTATAAATTTTTAAAATTGTAGATTATTGGAGGCCTTGCCAATGCTGGCCACTCAGTAATGCTAAGTCAGACAATGATGTTAGCCTTCAATCGATGGAGCGTGCTAGTTAGAAAAGAACAAAGAAGTGAAGACGATACGAAACGAGCTTTCATAGTAAGTCAACATAATCTAAAAAATTGTTTATTAAAGTTATTCTTTTTACCTGTTTACCTTTTCCAAACAATATTGGAAAAGGTAAACACCCTTCAAAACTTAAGAATTCTATTCAGATTTTTGTGATAATAACATATGCGTATGGTGGTTTATTTGTGATAACATACTTTACACCATATTGTAATTTAACCTACTACGCAGACGGTTACTATTGGGCTTATACTAATGATTCGTATAGTCAAATTGTAGCCAAAGTTGAGTTATACACAGCTATAGCAATAATGACAACAACTTTGTTGTTGTACGTTTGGATTGTGGTCTCTTTGATTATGCAGGTAAGACAATATTTATATTTAACGAAACAGGTTGTTCATATAATTCTCTGCCCCCTCTATAAGCAGATTTTTGGAAGTAAGAGCACAAAATTATTGAAACAACCTAATATTAACAATTTCAGAAGACAAACCTGTCGCAATCGTCGAAAAACGCTTGGCAAGAGTATAAGATCTTGATCCAAGGTATCTTCCTGTTTGTGTATGCTATGATCGAGATTATTGGCTGGCATTACGGAGATATTATCCTTCCTGCAGCTCTAATTGGCCAGTATACAAACCCAGTGTTTAATATTGTTTGGATTGGTTTTTGTGGCCTGACGCCAATAATGAATCTTGTCACAAATAGGTATGTTCTTCGTCATAACAATGTCTCAAGTTTGTATTTGTTGCTTATTATACATTGTAAGTCATAACATTCCTTATGATATATGTAAAACTACATTACACATGGTATATTTTAGTGGCTGCCAAATAATAATTGTACCTAAAATTTGCAAAAAAACATACGTGCAAAGTTCAACTATGTCAACATTGTCATTATAATGTGTTCCTTTCTTTTCACAAAAGTTTTACTAATCTAAATAACAATTAATTTCAGAGATCTGAGAAAAACAGTTTTAAGTCACCTTACCGGCAAATTCGACGTTACCACAGTTACAAAAATGCAAGAATCATCCCATACAAGGACGTATAATAACAAACTGTAATCATAAACATGATTAACAACTTTAAAAACAAGTTTAATTTAAAACACAAACCTTTTATATTTAATAAAATTGAAGTTTCAAATTCTAACAATAAAAAAAGAAATTTGAAGGTCATGTTACCTGCTTTAACATTTTGAAACCCTAAATCTAAAAAATCAACAATTTATTACAAATTTAACAAACTCAAATTTAAAAAGGTAAATTAGTTACAAATTCAAATATTCCAAAGCTTGATCGAGTTATCCAACGGCACTTTCAACATCAGATACTCATCATGAGCATTCTCAGCTTCAAACCAATCTTCACCATCAATTTTAGGTGATGGGTATACCCTTTGACCATGAGAAGTGGCCAGCAAAGGCTTCGTAGGGTGCAAACTCAAACCAGCAACAGTAGTTCGACTTGCGTTTTGTATGATAATGCTGGGTTCGATTGAGTTGTTGTATAGTGAGTTACTGGGTGGTGATTTCAAATCAAATACGTTAATATTCCCATCAGTAGAGCCGGAGATTAGGAACTTTTCGTCTGCGTCTATGTCAAAATGAATACGTTGATTTGTTAAGGCTGGCCGAGAATATTTGGCCCAGACTTGGTTTGGGAAGCGGATATCGTAGCATTCAATATCTTCACTCTAAAACGGGTAAAGTAAATTGAAAAAAAAACATTAAAAATACGTTTTTTACCATATTGAAGATACGTTTTAAATATTTAAAGCATATACACTTATATAAAAATATATTTCCTTACCGCATTGCCTCCGACAAACAACCTTTGACCATCATTAGAGTACCTTAACATTCCAATAGCAGCTGCTTCTGTCTGAATCAAAGTTGTACAAGTATTAGTTTGATCTGCGTAAATTCCGACAGAATTTTGAATACTTCCAACAGCAAAAACACCATCCATAGCAGGAGAGCATGTTAAGGAAGGCAGCATTGAGGACTGGCCACCTTCTCGTTTTTCTAAATTTACAGGTAGACAGAACATTAGACGTATTTTACTAGAAACTTTTTAAAAATTTGATATTTAATAGTACGTAAGCTTAAAATAAAAAATTATGTCACTTGTTATGATGTTTCAACAGCTACTCTCACAAAACTTACTATAAGTTTTCAATTGACTGATCTGCTTGCCTGGTCGCATGAAATCAAACCTTCTTATACATCCAGAATAAGAAGCATAACACTTCAAACCATCGTGATTAAAATCAAAAGCAAATGCATGTTCCAGAACATCCTAAAGATATAAAATCATAAGTAACAGTAACACTTACCAAATGATTCATCCCCCTGAAAGTTGCCACCTTGTTTCCAGACGCTGGATCCCATAGATGAATTGGGGACCCTGTACTCGATGTCCCAAAGAACGTACTATTCCTACACCATTGTGTATAGTACACTAATCCCCCAGATCTTTTGGTATGTTTGAGAACTGACTAAAAAATATTTTAGGTGATTAAGTTTATCAAAAGCTTAATTTTGTCTAAAAACTGTAAAAAAACGTTGAATCACACAATTTTTAGCAACAAAAAGCTTTATCAAATCAAAAATTACCTTATCATCCTCGTCCATCTCAAAAATCCGTACTCGTCGATCTTCAGAATCAGAAATCAAATATTGCCCATCTGGAGAGAACTTGGCAGATCGAACATAATTATTTTCTGGACAGTTTTCAGCAAACTCGAAGTTTGGCGTCGTTCCAGATGAAAAACAATCCGACACAATGCATCTAAGCCTCTCGTTAGCATCGAACTTAGATGTACCTCCAACAATGTTATCTTCTAACCACTTATAAGATGTTTTAGGTACCTCCGGACATTGTTTTTTAGCTTCCACTAAAGTTTCAGTTGTTGTAGATCGTTTTAAAGCCTAAATAATGTGTTTATTCTTTGCCTATCGTTTTTTGTCAAACGTTTAACTAAAGAATAAATTTCAAAACAATAAACAAGTTTATATTATCCATTCCCAAATATTTACTAATACATGCCTAAAATTACAAAACTAATAAAAAAACTTACAGTGCCTTCTGAACTGTTTTTCTGGCTATTCCCGTCCTTATCAGAACCAGATCTCATTTGATTGAGAAGAAAAGCCAAACCAGACTGTTGTTTCATTTCTTTCGCCAAATTAGCCCTGTTGCTACTTGGTTTTTTAACTTCAGTCGTTTCTACACGTTTTTCTGTTACTTCAACAGCTGCAGAACCTTCAATAACTTCTACCGTTTCTAAAAAATAACAAAAACCGAGTAATACTCAATTGAAAGATAAAGATATTACCTTCTACAACATTAGAAGTGCTAGCCACAGCTTCTGTAGGTGTTTCTTCTAAATATTCCATTAATTTCACTATAAATTGCTATAGTTTACATAGAAGTTATATTAAAAGCTAAATTTCTGAAAAAAAATTATAAAAATATTTATTTTTCTACGTAGACGAAGTGCCAAAAAAGACGAAGTGTCACGATATTACCGAAAATTATTGCATACATATGGGCGATTTTTATGGTCGATTTGTTACTTTTCCAAATTTTTTCAACATTGTACAAAACTTTACCAACTTTTTACTTTTTATCAAAGAACGATCACATTTCTCCACCGACGCACGTAAGTCTATCACAACATCCAATAATAATGTATTTATTCATATGAAAATAATTTTATTGCAACGATATGTCAGAATTATTAAATAAACACGATTTGACAACAATTTACAGACATTTTGGGGGCGGTGCAAGAGCGTGGAACGTTCGGTTCGTCATTATTAAAACACTGAGATTCGGAAGCAATGATTGGTGCGAGTGGACAAGTGCAACATACCCTTTGAGAATGAATACAATCGACATTGTAATCGGTAGTGCTGGTGAGAGGAAGAAGGTGATATAACTGTGTGTAGGTGAGTTTTACATGTCATTAACATATTTTATGTTATTTAGATGTGATTTGGCTTTTTTACAAGAATTTGAAAGACTTGAAGTGATAAGTGCGATAAGACCTGGCTATATGTGCTTTTATACCTATAGAGTGTTATTCACAGTGAAGAAAGTGAGTGGTTAACATTAGCTATGGTTAAAACTCAAAACAATGTTAACAAGATTAGGTAACAAAGACAGTTAACAAAAAAAGAATGAAAGATGAACAATTTAGGTAATAAAATAAATTCAAACATCTATATTTTACAATAAGCTATAAATTAAAGTTATTGCAATAATATTAATTTTAATCCGAGCTGTTGCTCATCGTATTTTCATCTTTGGTCGTTTTTGTTGTTTCTGTCTTTTTGGCCGGTGATTTCGACCGTTTTCCAAGTTTGTGTGGCCATCTCTGATGCACATCGGTCTGAAATTTAAAATGAAAACGTTCGTTTGACTCAAAAGTGCTGTAAATTTATATTATTTTAGGTTCGGAACTATATTTATACCCAAAACCAGGTTTTTTATACCTAAAAACCATATTTTTTAATTGTAAAACTAAATTTTTGTGTCTAAAATGACTTCTGATTGTGTTACTCATACCGTCGTTTCTGCTTTAGTCGTTGTTGAAGCTGTTGGTGTTGGATTTGGCTTTGTTTTATCTTCGCCTTTCACACTGGTATGACTTCCAAGTTGACTGAAACGTCTGAGCATGTTTTTATACCTTAAGCAACAGATTCCTGGCCCACATTGCGAATATCCTGGAGCACATTGGCACGGTGTTGGACCTGCTACACAAGGCGCCGTGAACGGGGCTGAAAGTAAGATGGTTTACATGTTTTTTTATCTTGTTTTAGGTGATTTTTGTGTTCATCTTTAAGGTAAGCCTTTTTAATGTTGCTAAACTATTTTTAGGTAAATTTTCCTCACATACCATGTCGTTCCACACAAACTCCTTCACATTGAGGTCGACAAGTTGGTGGACAAATGCTCTGAATTGTGACGAGATAAGACTGAACACATTGGGAATCGCATGCAGGTTGGCAAGATGGGATACACCCTGGTCCTACTGGTGGTGGTTGTACTGGAGATGGCAGAAAGAGTGGGATCATGGGTCGTGGAGGGATTGGTGATGGCAGAGGACCGGGAGGAGGAAGGGGTGAAGGAATAGGCTCGAGAACTGGTGGAGGGGGTGGTGGTGGAAGTGGTGCAGGTGGAGGACACGGTGGTACTTCACAATGGTTAACACATTGTGGTAGACAGGCTGGTTGGCATTCTGGAGTGCATTGTGGTGGAGGTGGCGGCGGAGGAGGTGGTGGTGGTAATGGAGCAGATGCTTGAATACAGGCTGGCAGACAAGCTGGTTGACATGTTGGTGGACATCCTGGGGCCAAATACGATGTGGTTGGAGGTATTTGTGGGCCTACAATTGGAGGCAAGGCAGAAGGTGGCACCTGAAATGGTGAATAACCGATGCTGTTGAAACCGTATTGAGACGGTACCTGTGGAATACAAGTTGGAAGACATTGAGGTTGACATTCTGGAGCGCAGGCAGGGGATGGAGGGGGCGGCGGCGGTGGAGGTGGTGGAAGAATTGTTGGTGGAGCTGCTGGAAGACAAGGACAAGGTGCGGCAGCTTGTTGACATGGGCTACATGTTGTTTGAATGCATTGAGCCGAACATTGAGGTTGACATGCACTTGGACAAGCATATAATGGTTGTATTGGAGTTATTGGTGGCAGTGGAGGTGGCGCATAACCGCAATATCCAGGACAAGCACCACCAGAAATACATGATGAACATGCCTGGGTACAAGACGGTTCACAAGCTGGTCTACAGCCAGGGAAACAATTATCTGGCGGTGGTACGTGGACTATTGGTGGTGGTAGTCCAGTACAAATCGATGGGCATGGTCCTCCTCGAGCACATGGGTCACATTGTTGTACACAAGATGGTGTGCATTGTGGTTGACAAGCTGGAATACATTGTTGACCTGGCCCATAGAATGGCTGCGAATAAGCAGGTGGTCCAACTGGTATAGGAGGTGGTGGAGGAGATAGAGGACCACAGAATGAGGGACACCCTTGGCTAGGGTAACCACATTGAGAACAAGCTTGGACACAAGATGGTTGACAAGCTGGTGCACAGCCTGGGAAACATCCTTGGTCAATCGGCCCGAACTGTGGAACAGGTGGAGGTAATGGTGCTGCTGGTACGGTGTAGAACGGAGGAGCTTGAGTACAGAACCCTGGGCATCCTCCGTTAAGTGCACTACATCCTTGACATTGATCGATACATTGGGCATCACAAGCTGGTCTACATCCAGGGAAGCATGGTGCTGGGAGGGGCGGGGCTGGCGGTGGTTGGATGGGCATGGCAATCGGTGGTTCTGGAGCTATAGATGGTGTACAGAATTGTTGGCATGGACCTAAAATTATATTGTTAGCTACATTATGTAGTTATTATATTTTAAAAGAATACCTAGAACCCTTTTTTCGACCTACTGTATTGCTGATTTAACACTGGATTAAAATTGTACGCACCATTTGCGCAATTATTACAAATACAACTAGGTTGACATGCCGGTTGACACAGCGATGGGCAAGGCGACGGGAATGGTGCTGGCGGTGGTGGTGGTGGCAAGAACTGAGGACCTCGGGGGATACCACAAAATGATGGACATTGACCTCCATTGTTCAGACAATTATTACACTGTGATACACAACCTTGAGCACATTGAGGACGACATCCTGGTGCACAGCCGTCGAAAAAGACCGGTGGACCAGCTGGAATAGCGGGACCTTGAGGTATGAAACTAGGATCTGGACCGTAGTCAAACGGCGAAGCTGGCCCGATAATCGGAGGCGCTTGGCAATAGCTAGGACAGTTGCCACCGTTATTGCACGCATTGCATCGTTGGATGCATTGCGGTGTACAAAGCGGCCGACAACCCGGCAAGCAAATGGTAATTGGCTGAACTGAAAGTAAGTAAGCTTGGATGCAGCGTAATGAGCAGCTAGGCTGGCATGGCCCCACACATGGCAGACCATTCGGTAGTACTGTAAGACCGCCGCCGCACCAGTCGGGACAGCCAATGCCGGGGATTCCATTGATACCACAGCCAATACACTTGTTGATACAAGAAGAGGAACAGTCTGGTCGACAGCCAGGTAAACAAATGCCATTAGGTATAGGGCCATTTGGAATGATTGGGTTCGGTCCAGGCAATATTATTTTCTGTAGACAGTTGTTGTTACAGTCAGGTCGACAGCTTTCGGGACACACAATTCTTTGGCCGTTGATGATGACGACCTGAGAGTTGGGCTGTGGTGGAGGAGGTGGATAAATGATGTTGGTTGGCGGAGGCTGGACTATAATATTTGGCTGTGGTGGAGGTGGCGCCGGCGGTAGAATGATTTGCGGTGGGGGTGGTGGTGGTAACGTCGGCGGAGGAATCACAATTCTCGGCGGTGGCGGAGGAGGCGGTGGTGGTGGGGGTGGTAAAGGTAGCGGCGGCGGTTCAATAATTCTTGGAGGTGGTAATGGTGGCGGTATCGGTACTATTGGTTGCGGAGGTGGTGGAAGTGGTATTGGGCCACCTGGTGGGAAAGGACCACCTGGAGGGAACGGCACGCCCGGGGGGAAAGGACGGCAGCCGTTACAACCTGCAGAAGCATTAAAGCATTAGTTAGCGCTTATCAAGGCATAGCTTTGTTAAGTAGTTTAGCACAATACTGATTATTGCTTGATGAATAATATAACTTACCATTGCCAGAACAGCCATTGCAACCGCCGTTCGGCCGAATATGGACCACTAGAGTTTGAACACATTCTTTCCTACAATCTGGCATACATGGCACTGGACAAGTGATGGGGCCAAATGGATTAATTGGAGAGGGAATGTTTGGCCCACCGATTCCGTTTGGACCAACAACAACAACTTGGTTTCCTCCGCTAAAATAACAGTGTTAAGATGCTGCAAAACTAGTCGTTACTCTTGGATAAAATTAAAATATTAGCTTGTTTAATTAATTCTGTGCTCTTAACCCCGCACAGGATTATTTGAACAACATCATAGTCATTTTTTAAAAGGCTTACCCAATGCATCCTCCTCCTAAACACCCGCCGCCACATCCTCCACCGATGCAGCCGCCTGGCAGGCCAATGCCTAGACCTCCTAGTCCACCCAAACCTCCCAGACCACCTAAGCCGCCCAGACCTCCGCCCAGCAAGCCTCCAAGTGGATCAGTAATGATACCAGCTCCACCAATCCCATCCAACGGTATCAGCAAGAATCTTCGTATACATTGTGGTAGACATAAGGGCTGACATTGCTGAACACATGGAGATTGTTGTGGTGGAGGTAGGTCCCCAATTGGTGGTTGAAGAATCACTGAAGGTGGTAGTGGGCATCCGTTACAACCTTGTGGACAATTGAAGGCTCCAAACGGACCTGGAGTACATGATGCACAACATTGTCGTTTACTTCGGTTCGGCTTCAGAATATTGAGTAGAGAGTGAAACCTGTGGGATTCTGAAGGCTTTTCCGACTCTGTTGCTGAGTCGTTATGTGGTTTTAACGCTTCCTGAAGGTGGAGTAGTGTTAGTGGTTTGTATTGTGACAAAAAAAGTTCATTCATTATAAAGATACTGTAGATAAAAAAAATTAAAAATTTTTTTTATGCTTATCAATACAAAAAACATCTTCAACTATACTCAATGCAAACTTACTTCAATTTTTGTTTGATTTTTTTCATCTGCGTGGGCAAGAGTTAATGCAGTGAGAAGTACAACTAATAATAATTTACATGAACCCGTTCTAGTCCTACTCGGTAATATAGGGCCGAGATCGGCCCAATTTCTGTGTCTCATAGACACGTTGAATAGTGGAAGCTAGCTAAATATGGCAACGGAGTCGTTTTTGTAGAAGAAATAAAAGTGTAGAATGATACGGTTGATAAGTTACTGTGGTCGTTAAAATATGATAAGGGGGTCGCCTGAAATTCAAAATTTTTAAAATGAAATTTGATTTAAAAAAAAATGAAAAAAAAGGAAATTTTAAAATGGAAACGCGTGTTACTCAATGTTACTCAATGAGAAAAGTAAAAAAAGATGACTTATATTGAAGATGCTTGGTTAAAGTAATATGAAAAGTATAGAGGGACGAAAGATATGGCAAGTCAAACCTATAAAATGACGAATCATTATCACTACTTTCAACTAATAACGATCACCTATCTCACATTCACCCCACCTAAACAACCTCTATCATCACCCCTCTCCAAATCACCCCAAACAACCGCCCAACGAAACGCTGAAACAATGTGATTGAATGGCTTCTCAATTGTTTTCGATATGATTGTCAAATTAATCTGAGGAAGTGGCCTAATCCCCTTAACGCATGCCCCACCCATGCCTAGAACCCAGACAATCGCGGCCCGTAGGGCTTTCGATTAACAAGCGCAACTTAATCCGATTTGGCCGCAATTCGATCGTTTCACAGGCGATTTTTTCTTCAATTGCTCTTGTGAATGGACCCTATCATATTGTTGTCATTGGTTTCGAGGGTCAAAGGACAACCGGAGGAGATTAGGTTACTGCGAACCGGTTTCTACAAATTAACACAAAATAGGAAACGGAAGTCTGGAAGGCAGGGAATTGAGGTCAAAAAGTTCAATTTTAAAATTGTTTAGGTATGGGTCGATTTTCTATTGATAACAAGGGAGTTGAGCATAAAAAGGTACCAGAAAAACCAGTTTCAAAAACTGCTAAATAGTCTCAGCTAGCAAGCTATCAGAGGTCAAATAATTTACATAGAGAACTCTTTAGGGCTTTGCCTTTCAAGCATCAAAATACTGATAACAAAACTTTAAAAAAATCAAAACTATGGTCATCGATCACGTACGAAAACACCCAGCCTAAAAAAGTTTGGGTAATTTTTGTTTAGTTTTTCAATACGAACGATAACCGAGTAGCCCATATTACGCGGGAAAGCACTTCACACGTCTGATGAGTAACAGTACAGTAGACAATGTAACCAATAATATTTTCAAAAATACAAAAGTTAGTTAATTTTGAATTTATTTATATTAGGTTGTATAAAAAGTAATGAGCTATGTCTGATTGATAGGATGGAATTCTGTAGCTCATTACTATTTATACAAATTAATATATTAGGCTGTCTCAAAGCAAATTTTTGTGGTTAGGGGCACAGAATTATTTGAACAAATTGGTATTTGTACTGTACTATAATTAAAAATTTAAAATAAAAGAAAAAAATTCAAAAAATGAAATTTTTTTTTCTTAACTTTACGCTTATTTTTAAACATTAAACGTTGTATTATAATTGCTAGTTTATTTAATAACAAAACCCTTAAAAACTTTAAAAAAAGTGAAAAAAAATGAAAAAATCAGCCTCGGGCGTTTGATTAATCCGCTAATCTAAATTAAATTGAGGAACTTTTTTGAATGGCTTTTGTTTTTTGCGCGAAAAACAGACAGGTATCGATTACAGCACAGTATAAGTTACGTTTTTTCAACTGTTTGTTCCGGTTTCAAGCAATTTTTAGAAGAATGTGAAGGGGTAATTAAAAAACTTTAAAATTAAAAAAAAATAAAGTTTTAAATTATATTTTTTTTCAAATTATCATAAATTCCGGGTAATATTGGGTTTTTTCAAATAATCATGTGCTCTCTCTTTAAGCAATTTTTGGGTATAGAGGGCACGGGATTATTTGAAAAACCTAATAATAGAAGATGGCATAAAAATTTAAATAATACCAATTTTAAGTTCTATACTGGTTTAAAAAGGCTTTTAAAAATGGCAAAAAAACTAGGATTTAATGTAATTTACAACATCCAAAAAGACTACTAGATAATACCTAAATACCTATTGCATAAAGATGACAATCATCAAGCAAAACGGTCTTGACTGCCAAGACAAGTCCACCCACTAGGCTTGTAGTCAGGTATAATTTTTCGGCTTGGCTTTCCCGGGCTTTAGTTTGAACTTCGGCTTTTGGGCTCAAGTGTGCATGCCCGGCCTTTCAAACTCGATTTGGCTCGGACAGGCCGATTCATAAGTAAAACAATATTTCGTTGGGGGACCTAAGTTCGGCCTCCCGGAGCCTTATTTTATGCCCCGGCCTATGGATCTACGTGTGCCGGCCAGGCTTCTTTTTAATTTAGCTTGGCCTTTCAAAACTTGCTTTGGCCCGACATAGCCCGGACCTTAGCCAGAACTAGGGGCCCTCTCTAAAGGTTTAATACCCCCAAACACCCTACTTTTTGACCCCTTAAGTTCGAACCCAAAGATGCTCGACTTAACCTCGAAATGCAAAAGTAAAATTAAGTCTTCAGGTGGGGGGCCAAGTTGCGTAAACGTGATCGAAAAAAGGGTTTTTGTGTTTTCTGTTTGCGAGCCTTTCAGGGCCGTCCATTTTGACGTTTTTCTTCCGAAAACAATTGAGCCTCCAAAAAACGCGCGTTAAACAGAGCCAGAGGCGATCGCCCGTCTACCGCAACTTTTGCCTTCTAGGAAACCGTTTTTTCACACGTAAAGGTTTAGAGCGATTTTGAGTTTTGACCATGGTGTTTTTGGTTTGGATAAAGTAATGGAAGTACAGTATATGGTAGTAAGTATTCAGCGGCCGAAAAGTTTATAGCTGTGCCAGGATGAAAAATATGTGTTTTTCTTAAAAGAACTTCACAAAAAGCATGCTCACAGGTTTGTTAAATAATTCTGTGCTCCTAACACCGAAATTTTGCTTTGAAAGGAGGCACAGAATTATTTAAACACCTAAAATCTTGATCAATTTTTAAAAAAATCAAAAAACATTAAGTTTATTAAGTGTACAATTACAATATTAATAACAATTCTTTGTCAAGTAGGTACAACACATTACACATATCAAAAGGAATTTTAAATGCGTATTTTACTTAATCCTGCGAGTTCTGAAAGGGATTCCTCCAAGCCCACAACCACCAAACATCCCACCCATGCCAAGACCACCAAGCCCTCCCATTCCAAGGCCTCCAAGTCCGCCTAGTCCACCAAGGCCAAGCCCGCCAAAAGGTAGACCACCAAGTCCAATACCTCCTAAACCACAAGTTCTCAGACAAGTTGGTACACACATTGGTTGACAACAGGCACAGCAGCCGCCCTGAAAGGTTATGTTGTGAATGATGTACTGATTAAAAAAGATTGAAAACTGAAATTCAGTGCTTTGTGAACAATAAAAATTTTAAATCTGATTTTTAATTAAAAAATTTAAAATTAGCGTCACCATTTTAAAAATTTCGCTTAAAAACCTCAACTCACCCCGTAAACCGGAACTGGAGCCGGCACGGGTACCGGTGCTGGAACAGGTACTGGCATCGGCATTGGCATTGGTAATGGCATGGGCATTGGAATCGGAGCCGGCACAGGTACAGGGCAACACACTGGACTAGCCTGCATCATTCCACAACATCCACCGCCCAGAAACTGACGTTTATGCCTGATCAAAGGCTTTGTGTACTCATCTTTGTGGTTGTCCTTTAAAGGAGACTTTTCTTTGTGGAGGGGGTAACCTGAAATATGTATTGTCGTGTTTTAAAAAGTTCTTTGCTTTTTTTTTAATGTTTTTGAAGTTATGAACATTCTTTTTGTTACCTAAAATTAAAAACAAGATCCAAAAAACACGAAAAAATTATATTATTCTAGAGATACCTGTACTACTTTTAGTTGTATCTTCTGAATCGACTCTAGTGATACGATGATTGTAAGGTAGAGTGATCATTGAGCCTTCCTGAGGCGGTTTTTGTAGAGAAAGTGTTTCTGTAGAGACATCTGTTGATGGTGTTGTTGATAGTTTTCGATCGTTGTAAATGAATTCTGGCTGAAAAATTTTTAGTAAAATTTTAAAAAAAGTTTAAAATTTCAGCTACTTTTATTTTTTTTCCGTATTACTACTGTCAAACCTCTTTAGTGTGCCATTCAAAGGAATAGTCTAAAGTGACATTATAAACTTTTTTCAAAATTAAAAAATTCCTTACTGTATGTATTTCAGCCAAACATTGTAGCTTTAGAACAGTAGCAACAATAAAAGATGATAAATAAATAGTTAAATACATAATTATACCTTTACCCTTTTACAATCAATTTTAACACGTATTTTACCACAAAATATACACTCAAAACTTCTATAAAAATCTCCAAAACAATAGTACCAAACACAGTTTCGAAAGTTTCAACAATAGACTGAAATATCCGGAAATCGTCTCGAGATCAATCTCAAACTTGAAGACGGCTAAGCACCACCGAACTTGGAGTGTTCAGGTTAACAACAGAGACGATTCGTGGCATCTGAAGAATCCGTAAAGTGGAATCGGCGACGTATGTAAATGTTTGCATAGTTCGATTTACTTTCTTACTGACGCGATTTTTACTCCAAAATGCTTTTAATTTGGCGGGTACGGTAGGGAGATTATTCACACTTACTAGGGAATTACACAAAACATACAACCGGGTTTTAAAGCAAGCCCTATATAGGATTAAAGAGCGTAAGAAGCTACCGGTAAAACCATTTTCAAAAACCGCTAAATGTTCTTGGCTAGCAAGATATTAGAGTTCCAAGAATTTACTCTTTGACCTTTCTTTTTTGCCTTGAAGAACACGAATGGTTTGAAGCATCAATCCAACGTGATTAAGGAATCAAAAAGCTAGTTTGGCTAGTCTACAAACTTTTCGGCCAAAATTGTCAACTTTTTTTATAATTTTTTATCTTTTCTTATTCTCCTACAAATATGTATGACAAATCACATTCCACAAAACAATGTTCAAGAACCCCAGCTCTCATGTCCAGATATTACGTCATCCCAACGGCTCTCAAGAAGCGCAACTTTAGTCCACTTATCTGCCTATCAACTGGTTTCAAAACCCTTAAAAATCTTGTCTGGCGGAGTTTTTTGGTCGTTTTTCACGACGAGAGTTTATTGTTATTGTACAGTAATGACACGTTACTTTGGTCTTGAAAATAAAGATAAGGATTATGAGAATGGAGGAGTATGTACAAGATTGATAAGACCGAGTTGTGATAAGTGATTGTGACAAAAGTAATGAAAAATATTATATTATACATAAAGTAAATTTTAATAAGAAGCTGATACATCTTTCACACAGAAAAAAATGTACAAGGAATATATTATGTACCAAAGAATATATACATACTCTTAAGATACTATAGTAAGTAAAAAGAAGTGTTAATGAACATACAAAACCCAGCAAAGTAAAGGCCAGTAAAAGCCTTATTACGAACTATAAAAACATTTATAGACCTTGCTTTACAAAACTTCAAGCAATGTATATTTGTTTAACTTCCGCATCATGATGCCGATGAACATGACGATGAGCTTGTCGACCAACGATAATCAACATGCAAACCAATAGTAAAAAGAAGAGACATAACGCAAATACTGCTCCAAAGAAACTTAGTATAGCACCTTCTTCATCCATCAAATGTTAGTCAATCATTTAGAATTTTTTCTGAAATTTTAAAAATCTTTTTGTAAAATTATGTTAAACATTGCAAAAGCGCAATAAAAAGGTACGACTTCAAGCGTTTAATAAACTTCACAATGTAAATCTCAAGGTACAGTATCGAAAGTTATACCAAAGACGTTTCACTGTACTAGCTCTTCCTTTAAACTATAAAACCTCACCCATACAACAAAATACTGTTGTCTTATTATGCTATTTTGAGGCCACGCATGCGTAGTACGCGGAATGTTTACGGTTTAATTGTTCATAACGTAGTCGGATTATGAAGCGTTCCGCGTAGACAACGTTGAGTGTCCTTAAAAATAAACGCAAAAAAAAGTGAAAAACTACAAGAATCTCAAAGCGTCGCGCACTGGTCATTCGAGAAAAGCGGCCGTAAGACGACAGAGAGGTGAAGGAATAGAAGATGATTTGAGAGATGGGACAAAATACGTTAGAGATAGAAAAACAGATATTGCTAAAGCTAGAGGGTAAACGAAGACAACTGTAAAGTAATAGAAATAGACACATCATGACAGAAAGATAATAGATCAAGAGAAAAACATGTTTATAACCAAGTAAATAAGAGTGCAAGTAAATTCTGCGCTGACCAAAGAGACAGTAAATACACAAAAACATAATAACTAGTGATAAAAACAGAAGATATGAAGAATATTAGCCCGCAGTAAAAAATAACATACAAAAGCGCAAGAGACAGTAGTAGAAACACAAGATAAAACAAAAGACCGTAGTTAGAGACGTCATAACAGCAGTTAGACACAACATAACAGTAGTTAAAGACAGCGTAAATTATTATTACCGTGCCTCAAGATCGATTGGGTGGGTGGAAGCACACGTCCGCACTTGAGCCTAACTAGTATATAAAGTTAATGCGAATGGCTAACACCACATCAGTTCAAGCAGTTCATCTACAACGTCGTTTAGTTTTGAGGCTAGTTTTAGTTTAGCGGCTTGGTATTGTTTTGCTTACTGTTATTAGGGTTTGGTACTGTCTTGATGAATTTTAGTACACTTTGCCTTAGTACTGTTTTTAATAAGCAGTATTACTTCTAATGTATCCTTGAATTGTTACTATAGTTTCTTGACTTGAAATATCCCAAATCATATAAAAACAATGTTTTATAACTTTATTCTAAACCAGTCGTTTAAAACCCGTTTTTTATCCCCTAAAGTACCTTTCAAACCATGCCAATATTTGCAAACATTATCATGTTTCAATTGATGTTGGATCAATCAGCTAATTTAAGCCTAAGCTAACAAATTATATAGTCGCTTTGTTGACAGTGTACTTAATCGCCAATCCCCAAACGACCTGCGGCCGGTCGAAGTGCGAGCGTCTTGGATAAATATTAGGATCTCTAATCACTTTATTATTGAGCGCACGCGTTATGTCCTGTTATATGACCATGTTTTTATTCTAAAAAAATCGTTTTTAGGCTTTAAAAGGTTTCCTGAGTACTTCACTATGATTTCCTTATTCAATTAACTGTACTGAACCCTATTTTTAAAGTTTGCAGCCATACTTTCGACCTTTTTTTTATCAAAAAACCTAAAAAAACAGTACCATATATACCACTTCGTGTAAAAAACAATCAAAACAACTATAACTGCTACCCCTATATCAATATCTCCAATTTCAGAGCCCTGCGCACAAATTTGTCTACAGCCAACGCACCTGCACCTACCACACCCATCACCCCTCACGAATCATGAAACGTTGGCAATTTGCCGTCTTGTGCGCCCTCTTGGCTCTTTCAGCTCACTCGGTAAGAAACTCTTCCGCTTTACAAGATATAGAAAAACAAATAAACAAGACGGTTATCTGTGAAAATATAACTGAAATACAACTGAAGACAAGTTTTGAGAGTTAACTTGTATTTTAGTAGTAGAGATTAGATAGTAAACCTTTTTAGTCAAAGTATAAGCGGGTTTTGATTAAAAAATTTAGAAAAGAGAAAAATATTTTCGAATAAACAATGTGACATTTCGTTTGCAGCGGAAAAACAAATCGATTTTTCAATGTTTTAGGTACAAAAATGACTCAATAAATGGAATAAAATTGAAACAAAAAAAATTTCATACTACTTTCCGTACTATTTATTCCTTCTTTTAGATACTCTAAGATACAATAATACAAAATTACGTTTTCAGGGTCCAGTAGAACGTGCCCGCCGTCAACTAGGCGGAGGATGTGGCCAACAACAACAGCAATGCTGCTGCCAACCCGTACAACAACAACCACAGTGCATGTGTATGCCCGTCCAACAAGACCCATGTTGCCAACAACAGCAACAACAACCACAATGCCAGTGCATGCCTGTACAACAACAACCACAATGCCAATGCATGCCGGTTCAGCAGCAACCACAATGTGTCTGTGTGCCAGTACAACAGGACCCATGCTGTCAGCAAGACCAACAACAGAACTGTCCTCAATGTCTCCAGGTAACCATCCAGGCCAAACTTGAACCCCAACAACAACAGCAACAAAACCCATGTTGTCCACAGCCTCAACAGAACCCATGCTGCCCACAGCCTCAACAACAACAACCACAATGTGTCTGTATGCCAGTCCAGCAAGATCCATGTTGCCAACAACAACAGCAACAACCCCAATGTCAATGCATGCCAGTTCAGCAAGACCCATGCTGTCAACAGCAACAACAACAACCTCAATGCCAGTGTATGCCTGTGCAACAGGATCCATGTTGCCAGCAACAACAACAGCAGCCTCAGTGTCAATGTATGCCAGTACAACAAGATCCTTGCTGCCAACAACAGCAACAACAACCTCAATGTCAGTGCATGCCAGTCCAACAGCAACAGAACCCATGTTGCACGCAACCTCAGCAACAGCAGCCTCAGTGTGTGTGTACTCCAGTACAGCAAGATCCCTGCTGTCAGCAACAACAGCAACAACCACAATGTGTCTGCACTCCAGTGCAACAGGACCCATGCTGCCAACAACAACAGGCTCCTCCTCAGCCACAATGTGTTTGTACGCCAGGTAAGGGTAATAGTATTGCCGTACTAACTCTTACATTGCACTAATACTAAAGATTTTTATTTTTTTCTAAATTCAAAAAAGTTCGCCATAATTAATTTTTCCAAAAATGAAAAACTTCAGTCCAACAAGACCCCTGCTGCCAGCAACAACAACAGCCTCAAGGTCTGACAATCCAGTCCATCACTATTCAATGTACTCCAGGCCAACAAAACTGCCCTCCAATGCCTCAGGTAATGCAATGCCAACAAGCTCAATGCCAATGCCCACCACAGTACGTGCAATGCGCTGCCAAACAGTGCTGTCTACGCTACAGATACATGTCTCGTCGTGCTAAACGCGCCTTCGAAAAGCGATTTTTGGCTAAACGTGCTTAAATGTTCGAGGAGCTAAGAATTAATTAATATTTCTGTACATCTTTGGTAAACTTTGGTATCTTTATAAGCGTTTTAATGGCTATTGGGCTAACTTGAGACTTTTTCTGTGTTGCTATGGTTAAGGGTCACACTATGTTGCTAGAAATCTCATACTACTAACCTGGCAATGTAAAATAACGTTGTGAAGGTATAGGGACAGTATAATAATATGTAGCTCTAACCTTAAATTTATAAAAACTTTTATAAATGTACAAAGTTTCTGGTTTTCCGGTAGCCTAACCTGCCATTTGGTACAAAAAATGGTACTATTATAACAAATGCGACTTACTAATATGGGTTGGTGAAGGTTGCAACAAATGTCTGTAATAACATGTTAAACTTGCTCAATTACAATTTTTTTCTCTACCTTTTCTATTCTTGTTCACTGCACTTTTATTGGTACACTTTGGTATACTTATGGCCTACAATGCAATTGTCATTTATAGCCCAATAATGCACTTGTCACGTAAGAGTTATCTACTTTTATTGTCACAACACATACACCTATCATCACAGTCTTTAAACCTAAACTCGGTTTTTCGAATTGCACTATGCCTATTTGCACGATAATCTCAGCACAATTTTGCCATCTCACACTCACACACTCTCTCTTTTCTCTCTTTCTGGGTTGTTTCTTGTTATTGCACGGTTTCTCACACTTCTTCGACACTTCTAGAGGAAAACATTGTTGTGTTGTACTTATGCGATTATTTTTGAATAAATTTTGAATTGTATAACTTTTGTTTTGTATCTTATTCTTGATAGTTATAAAAGCGGTTATAAAATACCATAAAAATATGTTTATATTACAATTACCCTCATTAGCCATCAAATCAAAAGAAAACAATTGAAAGATGTCAACTTCCGCCAAGCATAAAATTTTGATAAGAAAAGTAAGGTTTGATCCTTTATAACATAAAATCCAAAAATAAAAATAAATCATCATAACTTTCGAAAAAAAAGAAATATAAGTGCGATTTCGTATTTCAAACCTTAAAATATGTAAATCTACCTAATGACCAGTCTAGCATTTTATAGTTTGTAGCTAAAAAATTTGTATTAAAAAAGTTTTAGAAAAATTTTAACTTGCTTTACTTAAAAATTTTTTCATTCTTTCAGTTATTTAGTATTAATTATACACAGAAACCTTGTTATAAACTACTTTAACTACTGAAAAATGGTCTAAAATATTGAGAGGTCGTTATTAGACTTCATAAACGTAGTCATTATGACAGTTTTATAGCCAAAGAAGCCGTTATGACAATCAAATTCAAAGCAAAACCTTTCATTCTCCCATAGCAAGACTAAACAGATCATATACCAAAACCTAACGCTTCTTAAAATTAAAATACGCAAAAGTACGTTTCCACTACTCCTACATTATCAATACGTACGTCTCCGCTTCTCCTAAACAACACCACAGGTCAAGCGACTTCAACCACCAACAAAACTTTTGACATCAGCTGTAATCTGCATGACTGTCTGACTCAATATAACCATGTGATATTACTATACAATGTACTGCTCAAAACACGTTGAGCAGTATAAACACAAAAATCAACAAACTTTTCCCTCCCGAATGATAACGCAAATCACTGAAAATGGACAAAAACGAGAACAAAGTAAGGGCAGCCGGTTACGTTTATCGATATTGTTATGAGGCTTTTTACTATTTATGCGTAAAGTTGTAGTTAACGCATATTCAACTTATACTAGCATTGTAAATTGGGCAAGTAGTACCATTTTTTAAATTTCGGCAGTAAATTTTTAAAAAGTTTTGAAACTTTGCTTCATCTGTAATTTTTGGGTCATTTTGAGTCATATGTTTATATAAAAAATATAAATCCACAGTTCTTGTCACTGTTTGTAAATACACTGCCTGTGGCCATTATTTCACTGTATACAGTGTTTTAGGTCGTTTTCCATTAAGCCTTGCCAATTATTTTGCCAAAAAAGCAATTTTAAGTCTAACCGCTATTTTTAAGCCTAAATCACCACATCTTCAAATTTAAATTCAAAATTTCAATTTTTAAAATTTAAAAATTTTTGTAAGTCTACTCATCCCAAGCCTAATGCGGTTGTTGACCATAGCGATTAAAAACCTTCCGATAAGTTATCAAGTTTTCCTCGGATTGCTCTCTTATCACTTTCACGTCCTCCATAACGCAAGCCTTTAATGTTCTGCGAGTTTTGAATTCAAAGTTTAGGCCTTTCCTGTTTGCAAATGTTAACAAAACATTTTTATTTTATTTACAATTCCAGTTTTATTGTAACCCTTATGTTTATAACTACCATAAGAATAAATTCGTATTTTACATTACATATTAGGTTTTTCAAATAATTCTGTGCCCCATCACAAAACAAATTTGAAGATTTAAGGGATACAGAATTATTTGAACAAGCTAATGGTATAATTTACTTTCAACTTCACTTTTTTTTAAATTTCATATTTAAAGCTATCGTATTTTACATTATCTTTGTATTTTAAATACCTAGTATTACGTTAGGCTTTAAAATTTACTTTTAGCCATAATGGTGATAGGCCTTAGCGGTCATTATGGTAAACTTGGAGTGCATGTTGGCGCGCGACCGTACTTTTTTATATCTATAGCGGTTTTATTATCATGTCCAGCATTTTTTGGACTATACTATTTGTAAGTTCATCATCATAATGTTTCATAGTGATGAGAATACTTATTAGCCTAAAGACATGTAAAAATCAAACCTTAATTTTATAAAAATGCATGTGACAGAAAATGAAAAGTAAAAAGCTTTTTCTTATACCCATTCAGATACTAGGTTGTTCAAATAATTCTGTGATCCTAACCAGGGACGTCGCTACAAATTTTCTCTAGGGAAGGGGGAGGTCGAAAAAAATTTTTTCGTCCTACCTGTGGACCGATTTTTCAAAATTTTTATTTATCGTTTTTTCACGTACAGGTACCTACCTGTGGATCCCCCCCCCCTCCTACCCCCTCCCCCAAACGACGTCCCTGATCCTAACCCCAAAAATTCGTTCTTAAAGAAAGCACAGAATTATTTGAACAGCACAACAAGTAATTATTATACCTACAAAATCTTATACTATTAAAAATTCCAGCCCCTACCTAGACCAACGTTTATCAGAACAATTCATTGAGCCCTATGCTCAATCACTTGAAGAAGTCAAAGCGCAAAAAACGTTTTTTAATCTACATGGTGAACCATGGTATATGGCGGTATTTGCCATAGCCAAAGATGGCAAAAACATGCTCGATCTAAATATTTATGGAGAAGCTGCCAAATTCTATGAATCAACGTTAAGCATGAATCTGACTTCAGAAGGCGAGCGATTCAACTTTTCGCAGCTTTGCAAACCATTATGTGGCATTAACGATCAACTCACCAAACTTATGGTAAGATTTGCGACCAAATAAGTATGCCTAATTCAGAGACAGACATTCAAATATAATTTTTATTTTAATCACTTAATTAATGCTATCTTGAAAATTTAGGATTACGCATTTTTCGCCACCATCAGATGGCCCGTCTCTCAAATAATGGGCTACAATGTTAACATTGGAAAACACTTTTTCAATCGCACGGTAAATCCAACTACTGGTGAATTGGAAAAAGCCGACATTTTAGCTTTATATTACACTGCAATGCAAAGTGACCACCAAAGCACCGAAAAGTTGCGCGTTTTTGAACGTGAAGTGGCTAGGTAAGCCTGTATAATATAAAGGAAAATCCAAGACTTTTTCTAAATATAATAACAGGCCCCAGTCTATAATACAGAAGGCTTCAACTGAATAACTGAAAAATATTATATCTTAAAACCGTATTATAACAAAGATTTTAGACTTGCTGAAATAATCAACAACAACAATGGAAGCAGCATCACGTTAGTAGTACATGGTACCAATACAGTTGGAGAACAAATTAAAACCGGCTTTGAGCATACTGCTTTCTTCATTGGTCTTGGTAAGTTTTACAGTACAAAATCCTATTTTAGGCAACGCTTTACCCAAAAAAATAAAGAAACCTACTATAACATAACATATTATTTTAAGTGTACTACTGCCAATTATCTAATTTCAGGTGTCCTAATGTCAACGCTCGCCTACCTCATCTTGTTCTTCGTATCTGCAAAACGCCGAGAATGTTTCAGTTTGGCTAGACTTGGATTGGCTTTAGTCAGTACATCAATCTTATCATTTTTGGCTATTGCAACTGGAGTCGGCTACACATCATTATGTGGATATTCATTGAACTTACTCTTCATCATATCTCCAATTGTGCCATTATTCTTCTTGAATCGTGAGTTTTCGTTTTTGGCGGAACTTTTTTGTTACCTAAACTTCAATTGTCGCCACATGGAATTCTATATTACCTAAAATAACTTGAGGGCTTACCTTAAAATAACTTGGAGGCTTACACATTAGCCTAACATAACTTTAAGTCTTACCTAGTACCTAAAATAACAAAAACCTTTAGACTTCCGCTCCATACTTTACATCTTCTCCACCTTTGACGATCAACAACCCAATGCCAAACGTTCTCAATGGAACAGAGTCGAAACGTTGGGCGCTTTGTTTGAAAGAATTGGACCAGTTCATCTTTTGACTAGCTTGGTACCAGTATTGGCATTGTTATCCAGTTCATTTTTCGTTAGTCCGGGCTACGCTTCTTTGCTTATCACTGTTGGAACAGCCTTGTTTTTCCAATGGATCTATCAGGTAGGATAATATAGGGTAAATCAATAAAATTTGAAGTTTTGTGTACCTAAAGTGACCAAAAGTGAAAGAACTTATTTTATATGGAGAGAAATCTGAATTAATCTAGAAAAATCATGCAAAACAGATATAAATATGCCAACTTTTACCTAAAATAATATTCATTAATAACTTACGTAAAGAATCTTCCAGATCTTCATAGTATGCCCTCTCCTAACCTTCACTCTACCAAAATCAAACAAGCAATACCAGTCGCCAGAGAAGAAGATCTCAACGGCTTCCTTCGTCAAAGCTGAATCCGCCTGTAATCGATCTTGTATTCAGCCATATTCTGTTGTTCTTTCGTCTGGATTAGGTAAAGTTACTGGCTTTTTATTGCTTGGATTGTTACTTGGAACTCCAGTCAGAATGGGACTAGAAAATCTACGATCGGATATGAACTTCAGGTCCATTTTGAAAGATGATGCTCCTGCTTTTAAAGGGTTTGAGCTTGTGGATAAGGTAAGGCTGGAAGAAAATACAAAAAATTAGAAATTAAATTTAGGTATTAATTTGCAATTATTTTACTTTTAAAAACACAATTAACATAATAAAACATTTTTTGCCCGATTAGGCATCAAAAAACGCAGTTTCTTTTAGACTGATTGGATATTGTAGTAGATCATGAATTCAAAATGATAAATTAAAACTCGTGATTATAAAAAATATCATTTAAATTAAAAAACCTACATTTCGTCTTGTTTTTGCCATAAAAAACAAGCCAGAACGATGAAAACCCAAAAATTTGTCGTTCGAAAACAATTTTTTGTTTCCCTACCTGCGGCCGGTGGACGTTCGTATAAAATGTCGCTTATATCACTTTAGAGATTTATCATTTTGGGATCAATTAAAGCTTGAAATAGCTATTTATTAATAGGTATTATGGCATTTTTTTAGATGTGGAACGACTTTCATCAAATCATCTTCTTCATCCGAAGCCCTCCAGACTTTTCGAATGAGCAAGGTTACACTTTGTTCAGGGTAAGGTTAACATGTCAATATGATTTTTCATTTTTTAAAGACAAATTGGTTTTTAGAAAGTTTTTTTTAAAATTTTTTATTTTCAAAATGTTTAGAAATTCATCGACGACGCAGAAGACATCCCCAACTCTCACCATCCTTCAGCTCACCAAAGTTGGATCTTTGATTACTTCCCAACAGAACTGGCCATGGATTATAATTCAGAAAATGCCACTTTGTTTGCTCCTGACATGAAACGATTTGATCATTTTATCAATGGTTTTCCTTACGATGCGTGGAAGGACGGTGTGAAGTATCGTTTTGCTGATGAGAACAAGTAAGTTATATTATCATAGACAAAACTTTGAAAGTTTGAAGCTTTTAGATTAATTTTTTTATATTTCTAGAGTATGTTAGGTATAAAAATAATGTAAAATAAGTTTTTAAACATTTTAGTTCTCTGATTATTATCAGTCATTCCACTAAAGAATTTGACAACTGCACAGTGCAGTTCGTGGGAAAACCGCGCCTTTTTTTATTCCACTGCACCGTGCAGATTCCCCCGCGATCGCTTGCAACCCCAAACGATAAGAGAAAGAATGCACAGTGCAAGCCCCAATTGTCGCACTGGTCGGTTGTCGCAGGAGTCAGGGGACTTGCGACAGTCAAAAAAAGCTTGTCGCAAACCTTCCATTGAACACAGTGGTGGTTTGAGCGTTGCGACAACCGCGACACGGTGTCGCATCGCCTTTTGAATTGCGACGCGACAGTTTGTCGCAAAACTTTGCACCGTGCGACATTGCGATTAACCTCTCGATGTCGCAGGGTGCAAGCGAATGTCGCACGACTCGCTGTATGTCGCGCGACTTCCCCAAATCCTCGGCGCGACAGCGATTCCTCCAAATTGGGGTTTGCGATTTTGTCAAATTCTTTAGTGGAAAGACTGATACCTAAATTCTTTAAAATTGCAGAACAAAGCCGATAATCGACCGAATGGTGGTAATGATGGCTTATGACAAAGTAAAAGGTCTTGATGGTAAAAGACAACTTCTGAAGCAATGTAGAAGAGTTGTAACGCAGAATCCGCAGTTAAATGCTGTAGCTTTCGACACGGATTCTATTAATGTAGATATTATTGAGAATGTTCTACCAACTTTCTATGTGTAAGTTCATGGTAATGTAAAATACGGTGAATCGAACAATTGTTTTTTAAAATGTATATAGAAAACATTTAAAAAATATTTTTAAACTTAATGAATTTTATTTTAAGAGTTCTCATAGCCTTCATAATCTCAACCTTCACCATCTCCTTCTTTGTCCTCTTCAACTTTGTAATGTCAGTTCTAGCAACACTTGGCACGATATTTGTAATAGCAACATCGTTAGGAATCACGTTACTGGTTTCCAACTTTTACTTTGACTTAATGACATTGTCAAGTTACATTTTGATTACTGTATTCTCAATTCAAGTCAGTTTGACATTTGTCGGCGACTTTTTGACTGTTTGGGCACATGAAAACAGGGTTCAAAGGGCATTGGCCAGCTGTGGAAGCAATGTTTTCAAGGTATGGGTTTTGATTGAATTGGGGTAGATTTTCTATTCTTTTGGGTAATATTGTAAGTATGGCAACATCTATGTAATGTATATTTGAAAGGGAGCTTGATAAGCCCGACACATGAAAACCAGGGCCACGGGGCTCAGTTTTGGTCCCGCAACGAAAGATTTGCTTTGCGAAAAGTGAAAAAAAATCTGCCCAGCCCCTTTGCAGGGCTAAATGACGATTTACTACCTCCAGTTTACAAAATATTCTTTAAGAGAAAATTCAAAAAAAATTTTTAAAAATCATTTTAGGCCTTATTCCTGACCGTTCTCTTGTTCGGCCCATTGACAGTGTGCCATGTCCAACTGTTCCGATGGCAAGCCTTTTTGGCTTTGTTTGGCACGTTATCCGGCGTTTTGAGTGCCATTTTTGTTCAACCTCTGATCGGCGGTGTTATACCGACCAAGCTCATCTCACAAGAGTGTTGCATTTAAGTTTGTCCTAATACTCAACTTTCTAGTCATATCAATATTAATATCACTTTTTTGATTTTTTATAATTGGAAAATATTATAAACTAATTAGTTTTGACATTCTGATATTATCATGATACTACATGGTTCAGCACCAGCAATAAATTTTGACACATAGGGCCGAGCGTTGTCATGAAGAAGGATATTTATAATAGTACTGTAGCTTTATGGTTTGTGCTCAATCTATCACAACATACAGTATCATGCACTAATCGGAAGTGACCGTTCTGTTTTCAAAACGCCATTATTTACAGTTCAATTTCTATATATGTATCAACAAGTTAATAATTATTGACGCATTTACGCTTATTTGTTAATAGTTCATGTCTGAATACCTGCTAGATCAATTTATACGGTAGTGGGACATTTAAATGGTGTTATAGTTTGTTTACTGGGTTTAAAAATACTAAAGCGTGAACAAGTTAAAATTAGGTAACAAATTGGTTTTTATAAATTTAGGTAACAAACTCATTTTTTTGGAAAGTTAAAAGTATCACTGTAACCTATTAAACTATAACTTAAATTTTAAAATTCATTAACATAATCTTACCAAAAGTAATATGATTAGGTTATTTTCTAAATGGAATTTGAAAAAATTTGTGTAACATTTCGTGTAAACATTGCCACTTTAACTGACTTGGTAATTGTTTTTGAGATTGTATTTTACGACCGAAATTAAGTTGGCTTTAACTTTTTTGTTTTTCAGTTTAAGTAAAATGGCCCAGTTATTCGAATAGATAAAAGTTCAGGCTTTGTTTTCGGCAGAAGTTGGAAAACTTTTCGATCTTTTTGTGGTTAGGGCATTTATTAAGGCAGAGCATTACTAAAATCAGATGACGGTACTGAAAGATTAGGGTTGTCTATAATAACCAGAGTAAGATAAAGGTTGAGTTAAAGTGTATATAGTATAAGATGAGTAGAGGTAGGAATGTAGTAGGTCCTTGCTTGGGGATTAGGTTATTGTCTAATTAGGGTAGATCGAGGATAATAGCAAGTAAAGCTAGGGTATACGTAGGTTAAGGCTAGGGTAGATCTCAGGAAGGGTAGGGTAGAGTAGGGTTATTCACTGGACTTACTGTTACACCTATTTCTGCTTCAAGTCATTCTCAAAATCATCTAATATTTACATGTCATATTCCAAACCCACACACGTTTGCACTTAATGTTTAAGCACGTTTGAAACTCTCCAAGACGATGCTATTTTTAGAAAAAACGTCAAAATTTTTAAATTTTAGAAAGAAAAAGCGAAAAGGTACAAGAGTTTAAAGGGGATTCATTCTAGCGTGGGAACAACATTGAACTGGTTTGTGTAGCCACAAAAAATTTAAAACTTAGGTAAACAAATACTATAGTAAGTCTGAATTTTAAAACTGTAAAAAGTAGAATGTACGAAAGTCAAAGTTATTTTGTTTACAAAGATATTAACATACCAAATTATTTTGTCGCCGGCAAATTATACAGTATTTTGTAGGGTACAGTAGGGTGGGCAAGTGTATATTGCGTATGTATATTGTACGTATGTTTACAATTACGACACTTTCACATTAACGTATGTTATTGTTTTTGGCAGGTGAAAATATAAAGTTATTGTTAAGGTTATTTTTTATGTATTGGAGGCGGAGGTTAATGTCAAAGACGTATGAGGAATTACTATATAAGTGTGTTGCGTACGGTATTTTCATTACCTCGTGTTAAAGACAGGTAGTTTCGTATTTTATATTGTAATGACAACTTTATGATGTTTATGGTAATTTATTTATTTTTTAGTCAGTTTTTATCATTCGGGACCAAGATTTCACCTAGCATAGCGTTTGCAACGCATTTTTCAGTTTTAAAATGTTTAACTTTTTTTCTTATTTTTTTGTGCTAAATACCTGGCGAACTTCTAACTTAACTTTTTCAAATTTTAAATAAGAAAGTTGTTATTTTAAAGCCAACATCATGTTACAGTAATATTTTTTTATGTTGTCTAGCCAAAAAACTATGAATGTAAAGAAATTGACTTGCATAGCATAGAGCATGAAATTATCTGCTAATGTTAGAGCATGACCTTTACAATTAACTCTAATTTGGCTTTTTTTCAATTTTAAGTATGTAGAATGTTAAACGTTTTGAAAAATGGCTGACAAACTTTGTAAACATATTCTAGATTGTGATTTTTAGAGAAGATGACGTTGCTCTGTACTGTCAAGGCCTACGTTTATCTTTTAAATGAAGTTTTTAGGGGAAAAAAGGCGGAGGGGACTGGCATTGTGTTTCAAGCTTATAACTTTGTCATTTTTTGATTTCAAATTATTTTTCTATGATGTACTAGTAGAAAATCTTTAAATGTAGACATGAGAAACGGACCGGGCCTTGGATAGACGGGCCGGGCCCGAAAAAAATTTCTAAATTTTTTAAAATTTTTTATTTCAATGCCCGTTTATGTTTTTAGATTTTATTGGGTTCTACGATCCATAAATGATCTAAAAACACAATTTAAAGCCAATTTTCCGTTTAGTTTTTAAGTTTTAAAATTTTTAAAATTTTTTAAAACGGGCCGGGCCTAGAAATTTTCTGATCGGGCCGGGCCTGACCAAAATCAAAAACGGGCCGGGCTTGAAAATTGGGCCCGGCCGGCCCGTTTCTCATGTCTATTTAAATGAACCTACACTGTCAAATTTGTATCGTGTCTGGAAAGCTGAAAAAAATAATTGAAACACAATGCCAAATTTGTCAAATGGGCGGGAAAACAAAATAATTCAAATTTAAAACTCAAAAGCGCAAGCTAAAATTTTTTATGTGTACTAATGGTGGTACAAGGAATTCATATAAAAATTTTGAGCTAATTCTGAGCGGGGCAGGTCGGGTACTTTCCTTGTAAATAAAGTCTTGTCTTGTAATTTTCAAAATAATTGCTAATTTAGCGATTTGTTGTCGTATTTTCCACCAAACCCTTAATACTTTGCACAATCCTGACTCTATACGAACCCCCCCCATTTCTATTTAAAACCTACTTAATAAACTGAAAATGTAAATAAAATACAGTAATGTCATCGCGTCTACGATCCCACGAAAAGTAATGCCAATTTTTGTAATTAATTTCATGCCTTTTTCGTTGAAACCAAAAAAAGTTTTGGAAAAGGTTGGCCGCCCTCTTTTCCGAAGTCAGAATTCAATTTGGACTCTCATCTTGTCAAAAACACACACTTGACGGCACATTATATTATACTACTCGGGTTTATCGGTCATATCACTTTCTGATGCCTTTAGTATGATGTGGCATCATTTCTAGTCTTTAGTCAGCTTTGATTGAGTGGGTTTTTGAGGATGGTACTATATAGCACTTTTGTGGAAATCTTGTGTTTTGAAAATTTTTAATTAAAACTTTGAAAATGAATTTTAAAAAATTATACAGAACTTTGTACTATATAGCACGTGCTTCAATATTAGTTTGGAGTTTTTAATGCCTTAAGGATTTGGTCACCTTAAGGCTTAATTTGGCTTTGGTTGAGTGGGTTTGAGGTTGGTACTATATAGTACGTCTTGAAAAAAACTTACTTCTTAAAATATTTTTTTAATAAAAATTTTAAAAATAATTTAAAAATTCATTTTTTAGGTTATTAAATACGTGCTGTACACGTACGCACTTACTTGAAACTTTTAATTTTTAAAATTTTTTTAAAAATTAATTTTAAAAAATTAATTTTTTAGCATTTATTAGTTGTATATTTTTAACTTAATTTTATAATACTATTTCATTTTTTATTATATGTAAAATGAATTCTCTGGTCATATAAGCGAGTATATTATAAACATGCGAAGCTAAAACTCTTTTTATGGTTCACAGTAACCCAATCACTTATTAATGCATCTACCCACCCAGTAATTCGTATATACCTTTGTACGATATGTCTCATATTGACAAATTACAAACGGCTGTATTGTTGTGGTAGGGTAATAGAGGTGTCAAAACAACTGATGATTTTAATTTTAGATTTGTTTTTGGTATGTCGTCAATAACATATAATCGGTCATACGGATTGTATTTGAATTACAGGCAAACCTCTTTAGTATGGCACTGAAGGGGCTGGTCGAAATCTGTTTTTATATAGTACCGTATGATAATTTGTTAAATTTTGGTACGCATGGTACCAATTTTTACGTAATATCTAGTCGAGTTACTACTGAATGTTATCAATGGTCACGGTCCAAACAATAAAACCTGTACTATAACTTTAAACTCATTATTGCGCTTACAACTTTAAATCAAATCATCTCTATGACTTCACTGTAACAAGATATACCTAATTTGTTGCAGGTTTCCTACTGTAACTCAATTACTGAGGGTGGACTTGTAAATTGTCAACATTTTCGCTTCCGACAACTAGATGATCCATTTTTAAAAAGACACAAACATAATGAAATCCATCTTTGCTCTCACCTTCTCTTTTGTTCTACTGGTCAATCAATGTAAGTTATTACATCCATAGTAATGTAATGTAAAATACGGCTTATGGTATATGTTATAATTATTGTTTCTAAATTCTAACTACTAGGTTGTTCAACTAATCCTGTGCTTCCTCTCAAATTTAAGTTTTGGTGTTAGGGGCACAGAATTATATGAACAGCTTCAATTACAAAAAAATTCTAAAAATGTCATTTTAGACACAATCGCCTTCCCAATCGAAGCGTCACAAATCCGCCTTGAACAGCTTCTGAGTTCAGAACCCAATCTTGATGCTCAGCTGCGCCGACTAGATATGTTAGCTGATAGTTCACTTCGGTTCCGGCGAGCCGCGCCAGACTTGAGATGTAAAGGCGGAGAATGCATCGTCCCTCGATCAATACGACAAATCCTACCTTTTGTATAAAAATTTCATAAACTTTCTTTTTTATTTTTGGTATGGTTTTTTTAATTTAAAATTTACATGTATTACTTATATTATTATACCTACTATAATATCTTCTTTTTGAACATTCCAAGCCAAAAAAAACGCTAAAACTCAACTAATGGTCATCTCCAGCTTATAAAATTAAAAAGCATTGTAAAATACGTACCACAGTGGCAGAAAGACAAAAATGTGATCAGTTAAACTATTTCACTTCATGGAATTCAGAGAGATTCCCACTTTTAAAGTAAGTAATCGTCACTTCACAGAGCATGACTCGAACCCGCGGCCTTCCGCTTATAAAGCGCAAATAAAAACCACTCGGCCAAGCGGCGCGTTTTTGTTTGGGTTTCTGCTTCTCTCTTTATTTCTTTCAAGGAGAATATCCCCTTGTTTCGGGGTGTTTTGTATTATTTGGGATGGTTATATCACTCTTTTGACTTTATTGTAAGATATTTTTATCGTAGTTATCTTTACGAACAAAAGATAATAAAATCTTTCAGAAAATCTTGAATTTTAAGGTTTTTTTTTTCGATACATACATCAATATTTTTGAATAAAAACGCGCAAAACGTAACCTTTTCAGCCAGAATTATATAGAAAACAATAATACTTGTTGTTGCCAACATTCTCAATCAAAAAACAATTTATTTGTAGGTAACAAAATTAGAAAACAACCCGGTTCGATCGAAAATAAAATAGAAAAATCTTCATTGAGCAGTTGGTTCGGCTTCATCTTGTTCGTGCTTCTCTTCCTCGATTTCTTCGCCCAGTGTGCGTAGGTCTTCGATGGTGACTTCTTTGGCCTGAATGTAGGCGACGGCTTCGGCCACGGGGCCGGCGAGTTCCGAGGTTTCGCCGACCAGCTCTCTGCAAGTTGATTTGGATTAGCTATGATAATATAATCAGAAATTTTTAATTTTCACGGCCATAACAAAAAAAATGTTTCATAGATCAAAGCTATTCATCGCTTAGACTAGTAAAAAACATTTTTTTCGTATTTTAGACTCCAAATTTACCCAATAGACAAGCTGAAAAACCTACTCCAATATCGTGCTCTCCCTTCGACTGGCCGGCTGACTCATCGCTGACACGTTGACATCGCTCGGATTGGTGTGGAACTCGACTCGCGGCCGTTCCTCTCTATCTGAAGTCTGGGATTTCAACGAAGATTTGCGACTCCAATTGACCGGTTCATTCTCTTCATGAATTGTGAGCATTGGATGGTTGTAGAATCGTTGGAGGTCCGCCTGACTCGGGTGAACAATCTAAAAATAGGAAGAGGGTTGAGATTGGGGTATTCATTTAGGTATTATAGGTGATTTGAAGCACAGATTCGTGTCGATAAGGTATCTGAAGATACGATTGGGTACCAGTAGATACAGTGAAAGGTATCTGAAGCTACGGTAGACGTATCTTCAGACAAAACACAGCAAAACAAGCACAATGTCGTCATACTTTTAACGGTGGCGTCAGAAGGTCGTGTACTTCAGAATTGTTTCGCTGCTCCAGCTTCAGGCGATGACGTTCAATTTGTTCCATAAAGTTCTGTGCCACTTCTGGATGAGGTTCTACCGTGTTGTACTGACTACCGTATTGAGACCCATCTTCTGGTAGACCCTTTTCCACATCCGTCTCTGCCATGTCGTGTGTTGTGTTGGTTGTGCTGGTGTTTGTGTCCGTTTGAGCGTTAAGTGGTACGCCGCTTTGGGCATTTTGGATTGCGATTCTGACCTAATATGGGATGGCTATTATTAATTTAGGTGTAAAAAAGGGTACTATATCGTAATTTATGCCAATTTTCAAATCCAGTTATACCAAGTACTGAATAAATAATTTTTTTACGACAGAAAAGGATGTTTGAGCTAAAAGTTTAGAAATGTTTATAAAGCATTAGCTTTTCAATTATGAGTTTAAATTGGCATAAAGTTTAATAAGTGTTATAGGTTAATCAGCCGGAAACATTACCGTCTAATGTTGTTCTGAAAGATATACCGATAGTGAAATTGTCCTGAAATATGGGAACTTTAAGCTGGAACTTAAATATGATAAAATTAAAACTAAAATAGGTAAGAAAATAAGAAAAATTGCTTGTACTAGCTGATAAAGATAGCATAAGATAAAAATTGTAAAGCGTTTTTGAAAATGTGCCATTTTTTATGTTAAGTTAGGTGAAAAAATAAGTAATAAGCATAATTTTTAGAAGCTAAATTCCTCTTTCATACTAAAAATATTAGTTTTTGTCCCCATGACACCTTCAAAGCCAAAATGATACATAAATCTTAAACTTACATCCTTCAAAGCCACAACACCCACCAACCGACCTCTGTCAGTGACATAGGCTCTATTCAATGATAACAAAGAGAACACCGAGTGAACCTTGTACAATGATGTCCGTCGTACCAGTTGGAATGGTGCCGGGTCAATCAAAACTTCATCAATCTCGATTGCTTCATTTAATTGCTGCATTTCCCACTCCCTTCGCTCGTCCTCGAACAGATCGTACTCGGCCTTCTCTTTGACTCCTTTTCGCTTTTGCAAATTGAAATGATTCTTGGCGTTGCGGAGGAAATTGGCTAGGTTTTCTGGAATTATTTAAGTATTTTAGGTAATATTCAACATGGATCGTAAGTTTACGTAATTTTGAGATTGAAAGCAGAATTTAAGGCTATATTAACTAAAAAACGCTATTTTAGGAGCATAAAAAGTAGTAAATTAAAATAAGAAAAGCTACAGAGCTTCAAATACTCAATATCATCTCTTTCAATCAAAAATCAACCATGTATTACCGTATTTTACATATAACCCACATTTTTCTACTGCATTTTATATAGAAAACAGATTGTACTACAGTATTTTACATAGAACCAACTACTAAACGTACTAGTGACCGTATCGTAGCCAATTTTCGAATGCCATGAGTGCTTTTTCGAAGTGTCTGAGACCTCAGAAGCCACTGATTTCGTTTCTTCTGGCTTGTCCAAATATCTATCATCATTCTCGTATTCTTTACTGTCACTGTGAATCGACGCACTACTGAAGGCATTTCGGCGGACTCTTGGCGGAGGATGTGTTTTGCCATTACCTCCACTAAAGTATCGTATCTTCTTAGACTTTGGTTGATTCTCTTCTTCTGCTGTTACTGGCTCTATTGTGAACCTGGAATATAATATCATAGGTTTATATTAAGGTAGGTATCGTTACCTGCTTCTAGTAAAGGACTGTCTTCTCGGAAACTCTTCTTCTTCTTGCTCTACCACCTTCTTCGCTTGGTCAGCCAATTTACTTTCCAATACCTCTTCTACCATCTCAATGTCCTGCTCATTAAAGTCCCCATTATGGTAATTGTCCTGTATATCAACGACAAAACTGGTCTTCTTGGAATCTGCGTCTAACACTTGCAAGAAGCGTAACGCCATATTATCTTTGAAATGTTGATCAATTGTTTCTATTGCCACTTTGATACGACGTTCAGCTTCCTGCTTTCGAGCTTCATCTCCAATCTGCTTGTTAAGGATTTCGAGCAGACGACGTTTGGCTATTGAACCAAGGAGCATCATGTATTCTAAAAGGTAAAATTGATGTTTAATTAACATAAAACGTTCAAATTCAAAAACTAAGCTTTAATTCTTCGTAGCTACGACCGTAACAACAAAAACACATGGCATATTTCGATTAAAAAGTAAAGATTACCATGATCATCTACAACAGGAAAACTGTGGACTTTCCTCATCTCTACTACAATATTCCTTATGTCCATGTAAGTCGTCTTTTTAGTCAAATATCGCACTGGCGTTACCATAATATGCTCTGCGGTAAAGAAATGAACCCTAAAAATGTTTTATCAATGTAAATTGATTTGAATTATAACAGCTACTATAATATAATAGAAAAACAGAATGACTTCCAAATCTTACGCTGAATTAGAAGGTGGAATGTCGGGCAAATATGGCAGATGTTTGATATTAATCACAGCATCGTATATCGAAGGTTGTAGGTGTTTACACACAGCGTTGGCTACAATAACAGCTACCTAAAATTGTATTTTACAACACCTAATGTAAATAAAACAGTATAAAGTAACAAAAATAGAATTCTGTTAGAAACCCTCACCATCAACGGAATGATATAAACCAGCTGTCCGGTCATTTCGCAACAGATCATAGCTACCGAAACACTGTGTGACACAGCTCCAGACAACGCTGCTGCTCCAACAACCGCGTATACCCCAGGGAAAATTGGCTGATCCGTCCCTCCAGGCATTCCATCAGGATACAAAACAGATACAAATTCGCCGACTCCACGACCAATAGCCGCTCCAACCACAAATGTAGGCATGAACATACCACAAGGTATAGGCATAGTGTTACAGAGGCCTGACAGGAAGAGCTGAAATATTAATGTAACTCTTGTTATCAAGTAAAAAAGAAGAAAATATAGCCAAACATGGATTTTAAAATCTTTTTTTTAAACTTTTTTGCTAAAAATATGAAACTGTTACCTAAAACAACATAAATACCGGCAATCACCCTAAAACCCAATGTAGAATGAAAAAACAACTTACAAAAGTAAAAGCAAACAAAGTAACAACCACAAAGAAGTTGTACGGACCATAACCTTCATGATTGGTCCAAGTTGAGAGTTGTTCCAATGAGCAGCCATGAGGACTTTCCAAAGATTTGACCGGCTTTGTAAAAGTGCAATTCGAGAACAAATCCACAATTGTTTGTGTGAATTTGTACTAAAAAAACTATTATTAACATTCACTTAATAGAAGATCATCAATATAATGGAAATACTTCTTGTTTTTCATGCATTATGTTATTCTTCAGTTCAAAGTGACGCCTAAACCAATAACAACAAAGAAAAACATACCCGACCAGTCAAAAACCGTCCATAACCTCTCGGATACGTTATAGATGCCACAAAGAAAGATACCACAATGGGATAGACAATCCAGCTAAAAATATTATGTTATCATTAAAAAGTCTACTTCATAGCAAATTAGCAAAGAAACACGAACATTTTTAAAGAATAAATGATGAAATCATACTTCTTTTGGAAAAACTTCTTTGCATAATCATTTTGACGTAGGAACATGACCAATGAGCGATAGAAGATGATGTAGGTTGCTGCGACGAAACCACAAATCACTCCGATCAAAGCGAAAAATGGAAGTTCTTCATACTCAAAAGCATCTTTCGGGAAATCCGTTTGGTAGAAAGCGACGAGTGTTGCTGAAATAGTAAAATAAACAATTTTACATTCTTTTTTATTATACCATCAACAATTTTTGCAAGATATCTGCCAGAAAGCATAAAACACATTGATAAATTTCTCACAGACAAAATCTTGTAAATTTCGTATTTTTCTCTTTTCCATCGTATAAAATGGAGTCAAATGAAAAAATTTATAAATTTTGGACAGTTTTGTAGACAATTATTATATTTTTTGTTATTTATGACAATAACTGACCTTCAGAATGTAGCAGTACAACTCTCAGAAGACGAAACACTGTAGCTCCACAAGCAGCAGCGAAGAATCCACGCCAATAGTTTCTGACGGAGAAATACATTGTTGTTACTTCGATGGAGAAGAGAACACCTAAATCATTTGAAAAATTGTAAGTTTGTTGTATATAATACGTAGTTTCAACAGTTTTTTTTTAAATTTTTCAAAAGTTCGATAAAATGCAAAATTTTGATTTTTAGGTAACAAATCACGTTTCTTACCACCAACAGGAGCACTGAAGCAACATGCAACGCCTACAGCACAAGCAGCGGCCAACATTTCGGACTTTCTACATTCATTTCCATATGCACCATCAAAACCGGCAGCCAAATTACTCAGTAAGTTTGCAGCGATTGAGGCCAGGTGAACGAAGGGACCCTAGAATGAGGTTTTACTGGGGTTTTGGGTCAAAACGTGTAAAAAAATTGTGGAAAAGTAGTAATATGAAGTAGAGAATGATTTTCTGATGCCTTTAGTCAAAAATTTAAGATTTTTATATTAAAAACGTTGATAATAAGGTTGAAAGGTTAACTAGTGTTTGATACCCACCACTTTGCCAATAGGAACTCCAGACCCCAGTGAAAACGTGAGTCCAATAAACTTTGACACTAATGTTTTGAACGATAAGTAATCCTTCAGAATCACTCCACGAAGAATAGTCTTCATCTCGGGGATTCCAGAACCAATAGCTTGTGGTGCAATGTAATGTACGAACATGGCCGAACAGAGGACGAGGATCTCGGTATAACCAACCCAGGAGAGGTATGTCAGTAGATAGTTTGTAGATTCGCTTTCGAATGACCCGCTTAACGTTAACAACACGATTTGGACTGAAATGATATTTGATTGTAAAGTTTACTCTTTTCTTTTATGTTTACGATAATATTCTGTGAGATACAAGGTATTTAATGTATATTAGGTTACAATATATTGTACGGTTATTTAGTTCAGCTCACAATAATTTAAACTTACATTTATTAAGATAATCAATTATTGCATCTACTATCATACTAGCTATTGCCATACCAATACCCAATATTGCTAATAACAGCCAATCGACCAAAGTTGATCGTATTGAAATCCAAGATAAAGCTGGAATAAAAGCATAAAATACAATAAAACAATTATTGTACTGTAATTGTTACGATATTAAAATAATGTAACATAACATCAATATGGTGTCAAGTAAAATAAAACTTAACCATTATTTAATATTTGGCCTAACTAGCTTGATTTGAGCTATTTTTGTGTCTTTTGTTACTTTATCTTTGTTTTTTTACTGACTGGTAAGTTTTTTTACAGTGCCGTCGTTTACTTATATATAGCTCACTACAATATTGTCAAATACCCAACTACAACAATGTCAACCCACTTACTTGGCCGCATCTGAAAGCACATTTTCTGAAGTTGCCCTAGGCATGTTTTCTCTTTCCTTTCTTCTTTCCAGTCTTCACGAGGATCGTGTTCATGGAATCTGACTGACTTTGATAACTTCTTTTGTTTAGGTTTGGCTTCTTCATCATCTGGCTTATCTTCATCTTCACTATCTAGTCGGTATCGGCCTAGTTGCTGAAATATATACTGAACTCACTACGGCTTTTACAAAGATAGCAAAACCTTTGTTAACTTTCTATTCATTTTTCTAACTTCCCATGATTTTTTTGAAAAACGCTGAAGTTACCATAGTTTTGGCTTTTGGTAAGGCTTTTTGAAAGTTTTGGTTCACTTATTTTGAGGCTTTAGATAATCTTTTACTGCATCAACTGCACGGTTATGTAACTTTTTTATAAAGTAACTTACTACTGTCTGTTCATAGCTGTAAGAACGATCTAACGTCTTCAATTCACGTTGTAGTTGATCGTTCATTCTTTAGCTTATGGTACAGTAAGATCATTCACGAGATCAAATAGAAGCCAACGTTGGAGCACAATTTTAATACTGTCCAATGGTTTAACGCGAACTTGGATACACTGTTAAAACACGTGATAACACAAACAATAATTGACTTATGGCGACTATCTTATCCTGAAAATGTCGTGTATATACGACACTATGACTCAAGTATATAAGGCTTGATCATACTAAATTTATGCCAGCTTCTGCACTACTAAACACTAAGTCAGTAAGTACTCAACCAACCTGATTCAAGATGTTACAATTGCTGGAAACCAAATTTCAATGAAATAGCGTTGGACAAAACTTTAAACCTCTGATATCGAATATTAAAGTAGCAAGGGATGGAGTGGAGTTGTCGGTTCAACATCGGGGGATTAAAATTTTTGATTTCGCGATTGCCACTGCACTTTGATGGTTCTCAAAGTTATTTGCTTCTGCTTTCCATCATATTATGGTCTTGTTGAAGTTTTTTAATGTTGTTTTTATGGAGCAACGAGCTTTTTGCAAAGAATTAGGTGCATGACGTTAGCTATTTGTTATTGGTACTTATTGGGATTTTTTAAAATTTTTGAGTCAAGAGCTTTATCTATGAATTCTTTGAGTTGTTAAAGCTTACGATTATTTGAAGCTTGATGAGTTTTTTCAAAAATTTTTTTAAAACAAGTGTTCAGTACGTATGTAGCTTTTGTTTATATACAAGGCAAGTGTCTGACCTGTCCCGCTCTGGTTTCAAGCTTTTTATATAGGAGTATCATGTAAATATAATACAAGCTTTTTAGAAAAAGTACTAATCTCTCTTTCCAGTCAATCCGTGAAAATTGAGATCAAAAAAGTACGTTTTGAATCTTCCGCTAATTGACATTGTGTTTCAAGCTTATAACTTTGTCATTTTTTGACTTTTAATAATTGTCTTTTGATATATTAGTAAAAAACCATTAAATGAACCTACATTGTTAAATTTGTAAGCGTAGCTTGTCTGGAAAGTCGAAAAAATGCTTAAAATACAAAGCCAAACAATTTTTTAGGTTGAGTACTTTGTTAGTTTGAAATACTCGACTGTAGGTAGATTCATATTGTAGTCAACTCTTGAATTGTAAGTTTTTTATGTTATATCGATAGGCTTTAGGCGGGTGCCACTTTTGGCCCCAGAAGATTTGAATTGTTAAATCGTCTTTTCAAGCCAGATCAATATTTTGAAAGCTCGGCTACATTACCATTTCTCGCAGGCCATTTATTTATCGACATTATTAAGATTTCAAAACAATTTTAACTTTCAAAGGCTAAACGGTTTCCTAACACTAACCAACCACTTGTTGACGGCCTCTTATTATCAACTAATATTTTTTAGCTTATTTATACAAAAACAGTACTTTCAATGTTTTTATTTTTCAATAATATTAACTTCAACATTTTATAGAACTATGTCTCTATTCGTCGTACATTTCACACACATGAGGATTGAACATCTTGGAAATGATTGAGGATTCTGCCGCTTGTTTGTGGAGAACCTGAAAGAAATAGATATTAATCTTTGTTTTAACAGTTTCTGGAAGCAAGGAAAAGCAAGGGCAGGTCAAAAAGTTTATGACAAGGGATATTTTGGTAACTACTTTAACTTTTGTTCTAAGCTAATATAACTAAAATGAGGTAAAAGTCAAGTAAAACAGATCAAAATCATAAAAACTAACCTGCACATCGTTCAACAGACACAACAAAGCGCCCATCCTCGCACCCGTTTCGTTTACACCGTATGTTATGATAATGTTGCTGTGGAGTTCAGAGTAAATGCGATCCCGAATCTTTTCCGAACCTTCGTAGCTAGTCGCCAAGCCAACTTCGTTCCACAAAAGTACTCCAGCTAAGGCAGCGATCTCGACTTCGCGGACTTGAAGCCGCTTCATCTTGGCTACAAAGTGTCGGCATCGTATCATGATGGGTCGACACATTCTGAAACATTTGCTACTTGATTTGACTTGTTATTATCTACTGTTTTCTTTCTTTATGAGTTACTACGGTATGTTGTTTAATAAAAAATGGCATAAAAAACCAAAAAATTGAGTTAAAGGGGCTGCAATTAGCACTGTTTTGGCGCTAACTGCCAAAACCAAGCCTCATTACCTGTGCAATACCACCTATAGTACATAATAAACATTAGTACTGTCAAAAACTTACTTTGCCGCGATCGAAGGGTCTTTGTCCTCCGCGAAGAAGTGCTCAAAGTTGGTGATATCACAATATTGTCCATAATGTAACACCCACCGTGTGTCGTCCCCTTGTGGGTACTCTTGCATCGTCTTATACGCTTGATCAAGGTGAGAAAAACTGGACGAGAACTGCCTTAACACAACAACTTTGATCTCGTGGGATAACGTGTCAAACGGCTGGAACCAGTCGTTGACCATGCTGAACAACAAGCTCAAGCAGCCTCGCTCCATCTTCAGATGCTCCGAGTGTTTCACCATACGATATTTGTCGGCCGAAAAGATGTTCTCCGGGTACATTACGGTGTAGAGACTCTTCTGTGATGACTGGTAGTTCGTGTAGCCTTCGTGCATTCGCTGTAGCAAACTCGGACCTGCTGGTGGAGTATAAGGTAGCAGGGCGATTGCTGACGTTTGATTCATGTTTCGTATGTTGTTTGGCATCATGAACATCTGGTTTTCATTGGCATTTAATTCATTTTGTTTTTGTGCTAGTAGGGTTTGTTGGAAGGTTGAGGGGATTTGGGTGAGGTCGAGGGAGGAGAACATGGTTGAGGTTGGAGACAGTAGATTTGGGGTTACGGTAGAGTCGGGCTGAGATTGAGATGATGGATAACATGATGAGGGCTCTGATGGGCCACAGCAGTCGACTGTTTTTACTTCTTTTCGTCTGCCAATTGGGTCTCGATTCATTTGTACGTCTGAAAATTCGTATTTTAGGTTACTTTTTTCAAATTTGGAGGTCTTTCGTATATATACATCTATTAAATGTTCATCATAACTTTGTACATTTTTGAATTATAAATTGTATCTTACGACACTTATTATTCTTATATTAATATGACACTGTTTTAAAAAACGAAAAGTAGGTGAGTGTCATTTAAAATGGATTTTGTGACCGTTTGTGACTTATTAATTTCGGTCTTTTGGATCCAAAAAATAACGTGGGAAACGCTACACAAAACTACTTTTTATTCAAACTTCAAAGTGCTTAATTGTACAGTAACCGTACTAATCTTGAAAATTGTATTTTGTAACCGAAAATGTAGGTTAGGCACATAGTGTTCATGCTTTTTATAAAATAACGAATTTTGAAACGGCAGAGATCAATTGAAAAAAATTACTTGAAGTTGAGAGCAATTTAAGTAACGGATAAGTGTAAATTTAGAAAATGATAAGTGGAAATGCCTACCTTTTTTGTTCATGCCCAAAGCAATACACTTTTTGAATCGACAGGCTCGGCACATATTTCGCATTTCTGAAAATGTGGCCATAAAATACAAATTGAATTTGAAAAAAAGTCTATTTTTTATGATTTTTGTGAAAAGAATCAACCAAAAACTTCATTTGAAAGCCTCATTCTTTCTACCTCAACATAAGTAATGAATAGGTACACAAAATTGACAGCAAAATCATCACATCTGTTAGCAGACTGATGTAAAGCATCAATAAAATCATTGAAAACGTTAACCTCTACCTCAAACTAACTCACCTTTTCGAATCGGACATTTGGCATTCTGCCTACACTTGTAGACCTTCTTCTCCGCCACCGTCCGCCGAAAAAACGCGGCGCACGCCCGACACGCCAAGATACCAAAATGGCAGCCGTGTGAGATGTGACCACAAACTAAACAACACTTTCCTTGATCATCGGCCGATGGCTGGTAGTCCTCTACATCTTCATTGCTGCAACTCTGGTCGGTCGGTGAACCGGCTTCGACCTCTGGCGATTCGCTTTCGATTGTTCTTTGATCCAGCGTTTCGAACATTCTGAAGATTGATCGTAAGATTTTTGAAAAATAATGTGATCTTTAAAAACAATCGTAATGTGAACAAAGGCACGGAACGGAACACGGCTCACGGATCTTTTCGACTTGAGCTAGGTGCTTAAAGATTGGGAAATATTGCGCCAAAAGTTATGTTACAAAACCTTACCGGTCTTAAAAAACCGTGTAACAGAACTTTGGTGCACCCTTATAGCTTCTTCAGGATTTTAGGCTGTTTTTGGATGATAATGAATGTAGAAAAGGGAACAACAAGTTTAAAAAAATATTGATGGGGTAAAAGAAAGTAAAAAGCCTAAAAATCGCTTATTTTTTCAAATTTTTAAAGAAAATTTAAGGTCTTCCGACGAAATCTAAGTTTAGGTAACAATAAAATCCAAAAAGACTTTATAAAGTATAGAAAACGCTATAATTAAACGTAGAACACTTCTTCTTATTAAAAATTTTTGAAAAATTTAAAAATATTGTATCTACAAACCAATTTTGCACCTCGTGCCCGACTCCACAAAACACCTTGGGATAAATACAAAAGTTGTGGTATGTTGTAAAGTTACAACGAAAAAGTGGTCAAGAATTAAACGCACAGTTTATTATTGTAAACTGCAACTTTTAACGGAATAAGACTGGATAAGCATACAAGCATATTGTATATATTATAGGATGAAAAGAATGTACCGACATGTAACTTTATTTACCTATATGGAATGTAACTTTAAATGTGGAAGGAACAGGGAAATGAATTTTGGTTTACTGGCTCAATAAAAGTGTAATGGTGACAATTGTATTACTTTACACAGGAATATTATGTTGTTCAAATAATTCTGCGTCCCTTATCCAAAAATTTCTTTTGGGAGGGGACACAGAATTATTTTAACAACCTAATATAAGGCAGTCTTTTAAAAGTTTAAGAAGGTTTGTTGAAAAATAGGTAACAAATTGGTGAAAAACTGAGTTTTTGACCTTTTTTTCCATTTTTTAAAAAGATTATACCGGGTACAGCCATAGCTTTAAAGTTATAGGCTTAAAGTAATAAATAAAGGCTTTACAGACTATTATATTTGCCAAATATAGCTTTTTTAGCTCTTAAACTGGCTAAGTTTAAGGCTTCAACTATAAATTTTTTCAAATAATTCTGTGCTCCCTAACCCCGAACATTTGCTTTGAGTAGGGCTCAGAATTAATTGAACAACCAAGGATATTAGGTTGTATAAAAAAGTTTCAGCTACTGAACTGTTTTTTGTATATTTTTGAAATTTTTTTGAATATTATATAAATGTCGAAAAATATGATTATAGGTTTTAAAAATGCTTTTCAAACGTAAATTATCCAAAATTAAAAAAAAACTAAATGTAAACAAAGAATCCCCCAAAACCCTTCAAAACCACCCCAACATAATATAAAACGAGCTAGCCATTCCCTAATCTCATCTCCACACAACTATGATGTTCCAAACATTGCCTCCCGAATTTCTCCCCACTCTCGACCAATTCGAAATGAAAGGGTAAGAGAGTAAGAGAAACACATTTATAGTTTTGTGCACAAACTACGCCCCAACTTACACACAATGCATACGCTCCAAGGTTTCAAGTAAATTTAATTTCTTCACAAGCGACGTCATTTGCTAATCGATGGAGGGTTTAAGAAAGACTGATTGTAGTTTCTTACTGTAGACTACAAGAAACAAATGTGGCAAGACACTGCTGTAGTGTCGAGGTGATGTGTGAACTTGAAACATTATGTTGTAAAACTGAGGTTGTTTACTTATTGGCAGTGTGAGGGAAAGGGAGGAGGGCGGTGATTTTTTGGCAGTTCGAGGAAGAGTAGACTTGGCTTGAAAATTGTGGGAGGGTTAATTTTTTCGACAAATTTAGGAGTTGTTCAAAAAGTAGTGGGCTACTAAACGGTATATTAAAAAATTTTAAGCAGCTTTCTTTTAGTTTTTTTCAAGCCAAAACTTTCGTTGCGGGATCTAAGCTGCGACCTGGAGCTTGGGCTTCGGCCGTCGGGCTCGTTTTGTATTAATCCGTCTACTTTCAAATTTGCTTCAGTTTGGCCCAGCAAGGCTTGGGGTCAGATTTTTTAGTCAACCGGGTCAAAGTCAGGCCGAGCCTAGTACGCCCCCTTTTAAGTCTACCTGCACAGAAAAACCTTATAGTAATAGCTTTTGTTATAAAATTTATAACATTAAAAGCCTAAGTCCAAACTTTCCTAAAACATTTAAAAATGTGAAGTTTGTGATAAAAACTCACATAGTTACTAAAGGTGTAATTACCGCTTATATAAACGTAGGTAGTACGATTAACTTTGTATAAAAAAGCAGTACGAAGAACCGGGTCAAAAAAGCAAAAGAAAGCTACAATCTCGGAACATATTGTGCTCAAAATATACTCGTAATGGTATGTTTATGTGATTAGGACACAAACTAGAACCACATGTTACTTGTGAAGCCTGACTTTGTGTTTAATGACATACCAATATTGCTAAACTGGTATGTAGGTTGAGGTTAATTTAAAATTCAAACGACAGTATGAAATACTACACATAACATGGTACACATAATATAGTACGTAAGAATTAAAGTTCTAACTTTTTTGTAACAATAATGTTAAACTTGATAAACATAGTACTCTTTGAATTTAACAAGGCTAAAGTGTCATGATTAGTCATCAAAACAATAGCTATAAATATGTTGTTTACACTAGTGCAAGAAGGGTGCTTTTGCAAGGTTAGTCATCAGCAAGTACTGCGACCAAGTCTAACTTGCTGTACAGTAAAATGAGATTACTCAGACATTGTTATTTAGAGAAGTACAGTTCCTTTCGGAAGAAGAGGTTATAGTAAAAGTCCTTGCAAAGCCGTAGTTTTTGAATTTTGCGCCAAATTGGTATTGTGTTTCAAGGCGATAATTTTGCCATTTTTTGCCTTTTCCTTTGATATACTGATATAATATAAAATCTTTAAATAGATCTAAATTCTAAAATTGTAAATGTAGCTGGTCTTGAAAGGTATTAAGTGCCGACATAAAGAACCCGCCATACTTTTCTTGTAATTTCCCGTAAAAAATGGCGGGTTCTTTATGTCGGCGCCTAATAAAAGTGCTTGAAACACAATGCCAAACCTGCCAATTTGGAAATTCAACTATTTAAATTTTAAACTCGAAAGCGCGAAAACTAATACTGGTGGTAAACAAATTAGATTCTAAACGGGACATGTTGGTACTTTCTTTATAAAATACAAATAGTTTTAGTTACATACTTTTATACCTACCACAAACTTTGACATTAAAATCTCGAAAACCAAAACAATATGTCAGCCTAGATTACAGTATGTTTTATATACACAACTTGTATCGACTATCTGCCCAATTCCAGTCATCCAAGTAAATTTACCGAATAACCGGTCAATTTAGCAAAGGATGGTGTTGTAGCGTTCTGCAGCTAAACATCATAAATTAGCTGCAGTTTTTGTAAAGAGGAAGGGGAAGTCTTCTATATTACAAAGCAATTTAATCAACAAAAAACCTAAGTAAATATTTTTGAAACTTTTTCAGTTTTTAAATTCATAAAATACAGTATATTGCCCACAGAAAACAAATAATATAAAAATAACCCATATCACGTGTTAACGCCGAAGGTATACCAAAAAAGTCGGATTGCTTGGAAAATAAATATTTTTTAACCGCCATAACGATCATATTACACTTGCTCTCTCCCCCCTTCTCAACAAACAACAACATACTAACGGTCGAGTGATTTACAATGTTTGTCAAACGCTTTTATGACTAATATTCCACAATCTGCTTCACTAACTACGAGCACAGTTTGAATACGATAACAAGGTGTACTCGTTGATTTTAGCGGAAGTGGGGGTTTCATAAGGGTTGGTGTGACAAAGATGACAAAAGTATGACAAGATTAGTCATATTTTGTTGGAATGTCAAGATGTGATGGTGAGACATTACATAGTAACCGTGAGGTTTACTAGAGCTTTAGAGGGTGTTCATTGTCTTAAAAATGCATAATTTATTGGGTCGTTTATATAATTTTGAGCCCCCTTGCAAAGCAAATTTTTGTGCTTGGGAAGAGGCACAGAATTATTTGAACAACGTGATAGATATATCGCACTAAGTTTTGCTAACTTTAGTACTACTTTGCCTGTAGTACTTTGGCGTATAATACCACGTGCTTATGCCTATTATATCAGCATTTCATAAGCCGTAACACATCAGCATCTGAGTCATCAGAGATATGTCGTATGATCAAATCGTCTTTACGTAACGCCAAAATGAACTAATTTAGCGGAGAAGGAAAGATGAAAAGATATGTAGGTAACAAAGCACTAAATACAAAACACTTAATACGGACACACGGCGACAAGGTCATAGGGTTTGTTTGTGGGTTATACACTTCAACCATAAGCCATAAAAAGTGCGTGTGTTTGAGTGTTAAGCAGTTTAACGTTAGTCTACAGAAAGAAAAGGATTTTAAGGTATATTTGCTTACATCTAAGGGTATTTTTTTACTTTGAACGAAGAAATACCTTAATATAATAAATTTAATACTATGTTTAAGATTTAAAAATTAAAAAAATGAAAAAAAACCATAAAAAATAGTTTCTGGAAGAGCTAGTTTTATTCAGGAAGGGAAAAGATGATGTAAAGTTACTTTTTATGATATTAAACCGCAACAAACGTTGTAATCAAAAATTTGCGGAAATTTAAAAAGTTTAAAAAACAAACTACTATAACATTATTAATCAATTTTGATTGTCGATGTAGCAGTTTTAGATACAAAATACTTCCTACACAAAACATAATTTTATAGAACTGACGTCATTTTTCGGTAGCTACGGGAAGTAGAGCTGTAGAATAAAAATCAACCCCTCTCCATTAAAAAAAGCTTTATATTTACAACTCCTTAGTCCCCGGGACTATGAAAAAGCGGTTGCTTGACCTACACAGGCTTCTGACTACGGCCTGAAGTCAT